CCCATACGCAGCCAGAGGTAATGGGAGTGCGGAGGCGAGTGTGAAAATTGTGATGAATACGCTGAGGAAAATGTGTAACTCTAATGCGCGAGAATGGAGCGATTACCTTCCAATTGTGCAGCTTTGTTGTAATCGTTACATCAAGAGTAAATCGATGACTTCGCCGTTCTCGCTGATGTTTGCCAGGCGAGTTACACTGCCAGAGGATTATGCCAACAAAGACAAATACCCGATCCCTAAGGATATCATGTCAGTAAAAGAGCTTGAAGAGCGTATTGACTACATGCACAAGGTGGTATTTCCAGCGATCAATGAACGAGAGGCCAAGATGAATGCGATTATGCAGAAGAGGTTTAATGACAAGCATATGCTCGTGGACATTCCAGTGGGTGCTCATGTGATGGTAAAGATACGTCAACGACCAAGCAAGTTGAGTCCCATTTATGATGGTCCATATACGGTCATTCGTAGAAATCAAGGCGGGTCATACGAGTTGAAGGATGAAATGAATGAGATTCTTCATCGCAACTATGTACCATCCGAGCTAAAGGTGGTGAACATAGATGAAAAGGCCATTGATGATGAGTATTTCGAAATTGAGGCGATTCGAGATCATAGGGGCAAAGCAGCGAATCGTGAGTATCTCATCAAATGGAAGGGCTATGGTGAACGCATGTGTTCGTGGATAACTGCAGAAGATGTATCGGATCCCCATATTTTGCAAAGATATTGGCAAAAGCATGTGCAGCTGCAGAAGCAAGAAGAAGGGCGCATCCGAGAGCGAGTGGCTCAAATGCCGAGTAAGCAACAGAGGAAACGTGCTGCCACTGGGGAAGCAGATCAGGCGGGGGCTCCTCAATCCCCAGCGAAGCGGCGTCGGGCCACTTATGTTAGGAAGAAGACAGGATAAGTGGGAAGGTGAGCGACAGTGGGGACGAGGTAAGAGTGGTGATCGAGAGGGTGTTGTCATGTGTTGTGGTAGCAGTGTACCTTTTTACCTGATCATTGTTTTTTTTTTTCCCATTGGGTTTTACATTGATTGGGATGTTTTAATGGCCATTGTTCCGAATTCATGATAACACATAGGAAGTATTTCAACGAGCCAAGCTTGTGTGATCTATCTCCTGTGGTGTAGTGTTTATCGAATCGACAATTCTTGCAGTATTATCGATTCTGGTGGGGACGAATGTTGAGGATATAGATCATCTCTGAGAGGCAAATGTATTAGGCGTCGTATATTACATAAGAGGATCTGAGAATGAGCTGAGATGCATAGTAGAAGTGAGAGGTCTTTATTCAAGCAGCACGAAGGAACATGAGTGGTGCCATCAAATGGCTAATCTATATCCTGGTTCCTAGAGAGTGGTAGCCTATGGCCTTTCGTCCCTGGAAGTGGGTTTCAATTCCGACAAATGTTCTTCCGTCAAAGCTATTAGGAAGAACATTCTATCCTGGATCATCTTTGTTGTTTATCCTTGACTGGCGGTTCATGAGTTCTGATGCAGCACATCCTCGTTACTGGTTCAAGGCTTATACAATTATCCCGCATTCAAGATCAAGGTCCTATTGCTGCGGCACTGTCAAATAACTATAAATACCTTTGATATCTACACTAGTTTTGATCCCTATTCAATCTTGGAATAACATAATAAATATATTCAGTTCTAATTGTATTTACTCTGTCTATATTTCGTTATTCTAAACATAGTGTTTTTAAATGGGTTTTTTGATGTACATTTGAGCGCTTTCATTAATAGATCCAAATAGCATGAATTTGAATGAGTGCTATTTGATGAGCTTTGGTTTTCAATTAAGTTGCGTTTGGGTGGCTATTTCATTACACCTAGAATTGAGTAAAAAAGAAGAGTATTTATACATTTGCAAGCAGCTTGTAGGATTATTAGTGATGATAGAGAGCTATAGGTGCTACTATTGCGTTATTTGGCAAATGTTGTTGATGCTTGATTTAAAGTGGCAATTAATGCAAGAGCACTGGCCATAAGGGTCAATTTGTGTAATCTTGATGGACTTGTTGGATGAGCTATCGTCATGGTATGATTTAATGCAGCCTTGACAGTTCAAGGTATAATGTTTGTTATTGAAGCATAGAACCCGTTATCTGGAGTACTGTGCAACTATGGCATTAGGGCATAGTAGTTGACATATTTGAATATGCCTGTTGTTGATTTGATTTTGTTTCGATAATTATAACATCACATATTACGACCATCATGGGTGTGATTGAATATGCTCTAATCAGAAGCGATTCATTCACACAATGTGCACGGAGATAAGAGTGCATCTTTGGTTTAGCATGTTTAAATGGTTGTTGATGTACACTTGAGCGCTTTATTAATAAATTCAAATAGCGTTAATTTGAATGAGTGCTATTTGGTGAATTTTGGTTTTCAATCAAGTTGCGTTTGGGTGGCTATTTCATTATAAATATATCAGATTGTAGCTATTTCTCCAATTTATCTTATTACTAGACTTTAAAGACAGGAAGTGAGAAATGCTTCTTAATCGAGAGGCCAAAAAACACACAACATTAATCCTTAGGCTTTGCTTATTGATTCTTTTTTTTTAAAGAATGTGTCAAATCGTTGTAATACCCTCGTCCTGGGACCCTAACCCTCAGGGGAATTTTTTAGTTTTTGTGAATTTTCTTGGTATAGACACAAGAAACCATTCAACAAGCTATATCATTAGATGCTTACAATTAATAGCTATAATATTCATTCAATTGGTCACGATTACTCACTTGCGAGTTTTCGAGAAAACACTGAAATACTCAAATTCGTTTAGCCTAAAAATGCTATTTAAGGCTCAAAGCTAGGGACCATTTGAGAGTCCGACTAAAATGGTCTAATTCGGTGCTTCTATCTTTGATCCGTTGTTTCTCCTTGACTTCACTATATAAAACTAAAACAAAAAACATATTTCAAATTAAGGTACTAAAAGACACCTTTTGGTTTAAAAGGTGTGTGTGAAAAAATTGCTTTTTTCCAGTAAATAGAGCTCTTCATTTTTTAACACGAGAACAAACGGAGTGCAGTAAAAAAGGTGTTAAAAAAGCAGGTAGAATACTGTTAAAATCATTCTTTATTCGAAATTAGGATAATGTGCAATAAAATGTATATTCTACGTCTCTATTTATATTATCTGGTCTATATCTCTTATCTGGCAGTAGTTTAGTAGTTGCCAGTGATTCCATTACTTTATATAGTATTTTTGTTGGGTCATTTAGTTGTTGATCTGATGGATCAAGAACGGTATTTCAATATATGGTTTTTGAATCATGCGTAAAGAATAGCTCTTTATTGTTGAGCCTGTATCCTTTTTAGGTATATTTATGTTACAACACATTACAATACCCTTGACATTTACTTTAGTATCCGTCATCTCTTATTTTAGAGCATTTAACCCTTGCTATCATCATGCTAATACTATTATTATGCATGCTTATCTGCTGATGGTAGCATGGTTTGATTGAGATAACATTTATTTTGGGCTTTGTTTATGATGGGAATCTAGTCTAGTTCACTTCACGGAGTTTTAATATCACGGATATAGTTTCACAATGAGGGTTTATTTGGAATGATCTAAGGCTGCTCTTTTTTTCATCAGCGAATGTACAGTACAATGTAAAATTGAATCTGCCAGAAAAATACACTTTTTTTGAGAATGCATTCAAAGGACACATTTATATATTTTTTTCATTATGATGCTACTAGGATTTACAGTATGATGATAAGTCGTAATATAAATAGGTCTATTATTACTATCTATTATCCAACAACAGATGATTTGTTAAATACTTAATTAGCATGATGATTTGCCCAAACGACCTAAAAATAATAGCCCAAGACCTTTAGTGTGAGGCATTGCTAGATATAACAATACTTATATTGGTTTCATTAAACTTTTCTCGCGTAATTATTTGACAACCAACTTAACGAGTGAGCATTTGTTTATATGCTTAGCGACCCCTTGAAGTGAACATATAATGTTCCTAATATGAAGTCTCTAGCGTCAACACACGGCTTCGAAAAGCTATTCTCTCTTTTTCGTAGTAAATATGAAGCGCGCTTCTGATCCTTTCCCACACTACAGCGAAGCAAGATATCACCAAGCGGTTTTCAGTAAGAAATTTCTCGCATCTAGTCATCGATCTAATTTATCGTAACTGCTTGTAATTAACAACAGGTTCTAACAACAGATTTCATATGAAGAAGGTCGTTGCTGAAAATTGGCATATTTCTTAAATCATCAGTTTCTCGGTGACAACTTTCCAACTTCTATAATACAAAAAGAACTGCTAAAGAGAAAAGCTGCTTAATTATACTGTAATTTTATATTACTATAAAAGCCTCTAGAACCTGCTGATTTACATAATAAAGCAATATGAACATGCTATACTGTCAGTCCTATTTTACACAATGATTTCAAATTTACATTTTGGAACACTACAATGACCCTACTACATAAAGTACTACTTTCTTATAGTAATTGAAAAATTGACATATCGTCTCCTATATTACAACAGATTCGCACCTACTACTTTCTATTACCCACTAAGCACCATAAAGAAACTTTTTATAGAGTTACTCTTCGATTGATTTGGACATTAGGCTTTCAATAATGTTAATACCTGGCTCAGCTTGATGATCATTTTATAATCTTCTTGGCCCGCCAGAATGCCATGAAAAGCTATAAATCTCAAGAGCCAACAAAGCCATTATCGTCCAACTTTGAAAGACATGTATCTCTATAATACCAGAGCATATCTATTAATAGTATATAATAATGAATAGTAAGCTATACCTTTATTTAAGACGTTTTTAAGTCTTTATAACTTTTAGTAGTTTTTCTCTGTATCTAATGCCTCTGACTTGTGGAACGAATTTCCAAAACCAAGGCGCACAAGTCCGATGAAAGTTTATAATTGAAAATGCAATTCTTGAGAATTTCAACCTTTTCTTTTATTTTCCACAATAAACATGTCTTCTGGAGGAAAAATCATATTGTGAGTAGACTATATCCACGCTCTCTAACGTTTATCAATAACAAGTGTATCAGAAATGATGGCAATACCATGCCTGCCTTTGGTTTAGGAACTTGGTAAATGGAACCAACAGATTTGAAACATGCAAATGTCAATTAATGCAAGACGTTTAGGCAATCAAAGCCCAAGGAGGTCTATACTGCTGTTTTAACAGCTCTTCAAGCTGGATATCGACATATTGATACAGCCTTTGTTTGTAAGCTAGCCAAATGTCATTCATTCAAATGACGTACTCAGACATGCTATCACAGATCGCAATGAAAAAGAAGTAGGCCAAGCTATCAAAGATAGTGGTATCGCACGTCAAGAGTTGTTCATTACCACTAAATTGTAAGCTGCCCTATCCTACAAAACCTGTGATATACTTTTTACTGATTGTCTCGTCATATCAGATGGAACAACAGCCATAGACCTGACCTCGTCGAAAAGGCACTTGAAGTTTCTCTTGCCAATCTTCAATTGGATTACCTTGATTTGTATTTAATGCACTGGTAAGCAGCACATCATCATTATACAAATGCCGAGTAAACTTATCAACTCCCCATTCAATACAAGGCCTGTTGCTTTTCAACCATCCAAATCAAACTTTCCCAAGACAGAGGATGGAAAGATTGCATTGGATTCAACTAGTTTTGTGGACACATATGCTGTAAGTATTTATATTAAATTCTCACTGATGACAAAGCTTGAATAGCATTTTTCAGGCAACACAAAACATGATGCTTGGCCCTAACAACCCCGATATCAAACGTTATAGGCTATGGAGAAGCTGGTTGTGTCTGGTAAAACTAGATCGATTGGTGTCAGTAACTTCAACATTTACAATTTGGATAAGCTTTTGAAGAATTGCAAGATCCCTCCAGCTGTCAATCAGGTTAGAATTCATGCCAGAAAAAAAAAAGTAAATGGATCATTGGCAATTTTAATCACATTTACTTATATAAAGGTTGAAATGCACCCTTACTTATCACAGCCTGATCTGATTGCATTCTGCCAAAAGAATAATGTGCATAGTAGGTCTCATCTTTGCATTCATAAATCATGACACGCATTCACCTGAACCTTCATAGTTACTGCTTATTCGCCTTTGGGAAGCACTGATTCCCCTGTAATGCAAGAACCTGTCGTGGTAAAGTATCTCTGTCTTTTTATTCATGGCCATTATTTCGTGCCTAACCATTTTTCTCTACAACAGCTCAATATTGCTAAAAAGCACAATGCATCTCCTGCTCAGGTGTTGTTGGCTTGGGGTTTACAAAGAGGATGTTCTGTGATTCCCAAATCAGTTACTCCTTCTCGCATCATCTCCAACTTTCAAGTGATTCAACTTGATCAAGCAGAATTTGCTTCTCTAGAAGAATTAACCAAAAGCAAGCAAGGAAAGCGCTTGTTGGATCCTTCGCCCTTCTGGGGTGTTGATATTTACAAATCCAAATTATAATCTGGAGCATTTATCATGTTCTCAAGCGAAATAAAATAGCAAAATGCACACGTGCGCAATGGTTGTCGATGAAGCTGCTAGTTCAAGTGCATCTCTAGTATATACATGTTTTTTTTTTATTGATTGATCAATCTAGTCATACAAATCGCGGTAAAATGGTAAACGGTTGAATAGGTGTTGTGCTTTCTAATTCTAATGCATAAAATAAGCAATCTTTTGTTCTATCTAAACGGTCTGTTTTCTTGTAAATTTCACCTAGATAATACCATGCAGACGCATGGTCCCACCCGTTCTCCTGTGTGATGGCCAGCAAGAGCCCTTCCGCTACTTCTAAATGTCCTTGTTCTATATAGGTTCTTGCTAACCAAATTCTACAATCCACATCGTTTGGTTTTGTCACTAGTCCCTTTTGGAATGCTGAAATGGCCCTGTCAGGCTTGTTTTGTGCCAATCGAATACGTCCTAAAAGACACCAGACACCAGCATGGGTTGTCCAATCGACATTCTCTGCTTCGGAAACTGCTTTTAAAGCTTCCTCTAGTTTTCCGGTTCTTAAGAAACCTTCTGCCGAGAGTAGCCATAAATCACACAGCATCTTGCATGAACGTTGATGCTGTAGTCTGGCGTGTGTGGTTGGTCTGGAGAGTGCGGTGGTGGTTTGAAGGAGTGTGTGTGTGCTGATGATGGAAGAGGCGATACTATGAATGGAAGATGCTGATCCTCCGTCAAGTGCAGTGGGTGATCCGCGTGTTGTATTGCCTGTAAACAAAAAGCATGAGCTGTGTGCATTCTTTGTGTATTGCAAACTTAACCAACCTGTCATCTCTTCTTTTTTTTGTTTGCGGATCAAACTTTTGGGATCCAATAGACTCAACTTACTTGCATGTCTATGCAATGATTGCTCTCCTGCGCCTTTTGTTGTTGTTACAGGAGCAGGCACTGAACGAACACTGCTCACATCTGATTTCTCCAAATGACCATGACTAAACATGTCAGCCAAATGAAATTTCCTCCCTGTAAATGATGATACTGAGGCGCTACGACCACCTAAACTTCTTGATGGCATGGAAGCATTACTGGCACTGCGGTTGCGAGTGACTGATGCGGCGTTGGCTGAGCCATTAACGCTTTCTTGCATGCTCATGTTGCCAAGGGAGCCGGATAACACCATGCCATATCTTGCATTTCCGTTTGAGATGGCTTCATGCAACATGTTGGAGCTGGTAGCATCGGGGATCAATTCAGGAACCACAATCTTGCCAAATACCTGGAATAAAGCCTCTTGAGACGCCATGGCAGCTTCTGCGCCTTGCACACGTTCAATGAGTAAGGTTTGTGTCATTTGCAACAAGACATGTTGTAATATGTCATCGCTGTAGTCCACCCAGCTGTCTTTGCTGGTAATTTTGCTGGCTTCCATGAGCGCAATCTCGCATGTCTTGAGCGCTTGTGCTTGACTGTCTTTGATGGGACATGTACACAAGAGAGCCAATAAATGCCATGAGGGAAGGTGTTGTGAATTGAGTTGCAAAGATTGCGTGATCATTTGTAAGGCCTGCACAATATCTCGCATGTCTGCTAGCTGTAAAGCAAGTTGGTAGTATGTCTCCCAGCTTTGATTGTTGATAGCCATTGATTTTCGTAATGAAACCAAGGCATTTTCGTGATATTTTGGTCGACGATCTTGATCAAAGGCTAATCAACAGATTGAGTTATGATTTGCGTGCAACTATAGCGCCTCATCCCCCCCCTTACTTTGACTCGCCAAGAATCCAAAGGCTACACCTAATGTTCTATAGACGACAGCACCCATCTCAATGAAATGGTCGTCATGCTGATCACTATTTGCCATTTCTTTAGCGTAAATTCGCTCAGCCATCTCAGCCATATTGACTGCATCCGATCCCTTGCATAGTTCTTGGCAGTACATTTTGACAGCAGCCATGAGCAATTTGATCTTGTTGTCAAGTGTCTCAACCTCCTCGCTGCGCTGTGGTCCATCTGATTTCTTGGTCTTTTCAGCAATGGCCAACTCTTCCACTTGATCTGCACTCGGCACGGGTGTGCTGTATCCAAAAGAATCTGATGCCAATGCTGCTGTCATGGATCGAGATTCAACCATGGCTTTTGATTCCAAATCCACAAGATACAAATAGGCGCCAAGTGCGTGCTCGGCTTCCTCGTAATCGCCCAATTGAACCAGTGCATGAAACAAGTGTCGAGTGATGCAAGGCGAGTTGAATGTTTTGAGAGAAGCACGGTTCAATGCCTCCACATAGCCTCTCTTTTCTGTCTCTGTGCCTCCCACCAGTTCAAAATCCTCTGCTAGTCTGTTTACAAAGTCCAATACAAGTGCGTTGGGTTGTCCAGATCGAGGAAAGTGCGCTAATGAATACACCAGTTTTTCATAGATTGTGTGTAGTTGCATAATCTCAATACTGAATAATTGATGATCGTATTCTCGTTTTGCTTCCATAAATTGATCTCTAAAATCGGTATATCTTTTCAATGCCATGCGTCTGATTTAATCGACATATACGTACTCGCTACACTGTTTTCCTTCCTCTGTTTCGCTAAAATCCACAGGTGGGGCATACTGATGTGCTCTATACAGACTGGAAAAGTAGCTCAAAGAATATCTTGTGACAACAACACGTTTGTAGACCCTCCATGTATTCAATTGAGATGCGCAGGCTTTCTGATAAGCTCTAATGAGGTTCATTGTCTGAGGTATCCTATCACTTGATTGACAGCTTAAGGGAAAAAAAGAGATGGTTTTAGCTTCGTGTCATGTTACACGCAGACCCACATCTACCTATCGCTCAAAGCCAGAAGCGTGCCTCTATAGAGACCTTCTTCAGCCCAATCTACGACAACATGATCAATTAAGCTCGGCGCTTGATTCACAGCAGAGGATAATTCATCATAGGCCATCATGGCGTTCTGTTGTAGCAAATCCAGTGACATGGCTAACAAAATACATAGTCAATGAGCACTACATTCTATCCCTCCCTTTTTTTTTCCATACCTCTGATAGCCAGTGTTTGCATGTACAATGTGTAGCTGTATCCAGATGTTGTCTTCAGCTTTGCGTATCCCGTCTCGCTGATGGCTTCCAAAGCCTTTTGATATTCACCGCATTCAAACCAACTTCTTGCCAAAATCATCCTTGTCATCTAAAACATGATAGTACCTGCATGAACGACCCTGACACGACATGAACCACAACATCTAAAGATGCCATACCTCTTTGACTAATTGTGTCTCTGCGCTGGGATCCTTATCGCCCAGTGCTGTTGATAGTTGCTGTTGAATTGGTTTTATCAAGCTCTGTGACACACGTGTGGACAAGGTGATGTTGTTGGGCGAGTCCTTTGCAAACAGCTTTTTTGAATCTTTGCGGTTGCTTTCTAGTACATGGACTAGGTTTGCCTCTGCCAAGATGGACTGTTCTAGTGCTACAAGAAAAAAGTGGTTAGAGCAACGGCGTTCAGCAGCAGCAGCAGCAGCAGCAGCAGCAATAAACTGTATTACCAAGCCCATTAGGATTGTGCTTTCTGTATCTTCTTGCAAGTTCAGGTATCGCTTGCCAATGACCCTTGCAACGAGCGACATCAATTTCCTTTGAGATGGTGATTGCTTTGTTTGTCACCATGGCCGGCCAAGAAAATAAGAAAGAGAAAAGGAGAAAAGGCTAAATGTTTACATTGAACGGACCATTTATTTACACGACTAGACACGGATGAATCGGCTAGTAAAATGTCAATTGCACCGGCCCGATGTTACACACTACACACATCTCGAGATCAGATATTTTTTTAATTGATGTGATTAGCAAAGGGTGAATTTTCATGTGATACGTGAGGGGAGGAGGGAGGGGGGGGGGAATATAGTTAGTCAATGTCCATGCGATCTTCTTGACGCTGGAGATGGTGGTTTACAAGTCGTGCTTGAATGTTCTTCATGTTGGGAACGCCAACCTCTGTCTTGTCTTCATTGTTTGTAGCAGTATTTGTAGTGGTAGCTGCCACAGAAGTATCTGTAAGCAGAGACACTTGATTTGTCACATTGGAGCATCGATAGAAACCACAGCCCTATCAAGCGAATCAGTTCGAGGTGATCTCCCCAATGCATAGCCATACATCAAAACCTACATCTGCCCAAGATGATCTACATGCCCAACAAAAGCAGAATCCACAATAAGAACAATCGACCTTGTTGCATCCTTCATCTCGGTTGATCATGATGGAACAGTTGGGACATCGACGACTGTTGGCTAATTTCCATTCTACTGTCTCCTTGATGTCTTGGGCTGTTGCCTTGTCTGTAGCCATTCTTTTCATGTGTTGCTCGCAGTCTAAGCCTGGGTGTGCATCGTAGCCACAATGCAAGCAGACCATAGTATGGCAGCTAGTGCTATAATAAAGTATCAATACACCCATTGCCTTGATAAACAACATTCGTACCAGTTCATGCGTGGAAAGTTACTAATGTGTGCGAATTGCAATGACTTCCAGACATCTGGTTCGACGCAGAAATTGTTGATGAATTCTTGTGAAATGTTGTGGGCAAATCGCTTTGCGGTGTGGCTGATATGGTGCTTTTCAAATGTCAAGACGTCCTGCATGATGTTTTTGTAGAGAATCAGGAGCTTGGAGTCTGACCAGTCTTGACGTTTGTAGATGGTGATCCAGCGCTTGACGGCAATGTGATCTGTGTGATTCTTGTGGGAATCACCGTGGTAGCAAGAAAATAACATGGACTCCATGATATCACAGAACAATCTACTATTAACAAGATGCATTGTGAGCACACACACACACACACATCAATGGCGTCTCTGTCTCTCTCTCTGTCTCTACTCCCCCTCCATAGACTTACTTTGACTGCATCAATTGGTTTCTGTTGGCATTGTACACACAGGGCGTTATTTCATCTTGGCAGTGAGGACATGCTCGAGTGTAGCTTCTGTAAGGCTTGTTGAATCTGTCGTACGTGTCGGTAACCTTTCGAGGCACATACTGTGTCCATTCATGCTTTGGTATCTGTTCATTGCAAACAGGACACCTGATAGGAGTCACACTCAAGCCCCATGATGATTTAACTACTTCGACAATGTATCTAAAAAGGATGATGGTTATATAAACATATATGTGGAATAGATGCTTATCACAAGTACTTTTGGAAGCAATCTAAACAATATTGATCTCGACAGAACTCTAAACAGAAATCAAGATGTGCATCAAAACAAATAGAACATCTGTTCATAAAGTGCTCCATCTCATCTTGTTCGCCAAACGAGCTACTAGCTACACTGGAGTCTTCGGATTCGTACATGGATTGTGTTTAGAGAGAGATATAAGCGTTGAAATCAGAGAGTGAAAAAGGGATGAAGTTTGTAAAAAGAGAGATTGGTTTGAAAGAAGAAGAAAAAAAAAAGGGAAAGGGAAAGGGAAAAAAAGAATTGCAATGCTCGTATCAAATATACAATACCATTACATGACCTTGTGACGTTATGTGTTGATAAATACAACAACTGATAACTGGAAAAAGATCATCACTTGCATGGCGTATTATACATGCTATTTGCGATTATTGACAGCTTGAATAGTTTGTTTCGATCCTTCTTTTATAGTAAGACAGACGCAAAGATAGAGTATGGCAAAATAATGTAAACCGAGAAATAGTCATCATTGACACTCATTCCATAACTGATAGCTGCGCAGATCAATGCTGTCGTTTCCACTGCATGAAAAGTTGTATTACACACACGAGAGGAGGCTTGCCATCTGAAAGTCCGGTTCGGGATTTAATTTAATTTTTTTTCGTATAGAGTGTATGGGGGGGGGGGGAGAGGGGGAGCGTGCCTGAATGTTTGAAATGATCATTGATCCAACAAGGCCATATAATGATACATTTTCCTTAGGTACTATAGGCACATGATGCTTGAGCGGCTATATGTCAACATTAAAAGTCGATCATGAACCTTGTTGCACTTGTGTATGTCGATATGGTGAGGTTACTATGTCAATGCAAATATTGGAATTGCTCCATTCATTGATATACCCTGAAAGCAATTTACATGATTGCTGGCCAAGGATGCAACAATGACCGTCTGTTTGATTAGATCCAATTTTTTGGTTGTGTATTATATATATATATATATATATTCATAGTTTTTTTTTTATAAAAAAAAAATTGAATGATTGACGCTTACCCTGAATAATAGGTAGGTTTGAGTGGCTACTACTGCTCATGCTGCTGAATGGCCAAGTACACCAATACTTGGTATGGATCTGCTCTGTATTAGCAAGTGAGATGCAATTGAAAAATAAGCAAAAAGCCAAGTAAACCCATTCGAGGTCTGTGAATTTACATTTGATGCACTTTTGATGTGGCAAGTTTAAATGGTCAGATCTAAATAAACCACTACTTTAAATCGTGTAATCATTGTGGGTAGATAGTATAGTTTGATATAGCACCAAGTTTCATATTTTTACTAATGTGGTTCTTCCAAATTGCCTATATATACAATCAGGGCATTAGCGTCTTATGTAGTAATGGTTGAATAAAGTGAACAAACTTTACATGCCGCATAACAATTCGCCTTTCTAGTAGCATTTTTCAGTGATTAAATATACTAGATATGGATATAAACAGCATAAACACCAACATCCAATTATACTAAGCTGCATTACTTTTTTAATTTGTAATCCTATTTCTGATGAGCTCCAAAACCACGATTGAAACCTTCATATTTTAGAAAGCCCATGATGTTGCCAGCCAGAGTATTTAAAACTCAGACATACATCCATGATTCCAGAGTGGACGAATTTGATAAGATTTCGACTTGATTAAGCTATTCTGTAAGATTCGACCATAAAAATGCGACAATCACCTAGTACTTTCTAATGCATTCTTGGGCTGCTTTTCGAGGCGGATCTAAAGATACCCATAATCAGACATGTTTTGAATAAGCTGATTGAGCAATTTTGGAAAATATAAAATGAGGTTTTTGGTGGAAATACCAAGATTTTGCATATCAGGATCTCGCAAACAAGGTTTCAGGGGTTGCCCTGGATCGATAGCAACATTTTGATCTAATATATACCATAGTGAATGTCTTTTTTTTGGGGGGTCAAAAAGGAGATTGTTTGATTTTTGATGAAAATCATGAGTGGTACCTCTGGTATTTAGTCGATTTTTGACGATCCCAAAAAAAGTTGAGCAAAGATATAAGCAAGTAAGTGCTAGTTGAGAGCAATTGTTTGGCGCTATTCTGGATGTCTGAAACGACTTCTAACTCGAGAAGTTACGGATCAAGTGCACCCAAATTGCGCTGCGGCTGTCATTCTCTCCAGTAGTAGCTGCTGTTGCAAGTATGCTATATACCCGTATATGCAGTATTGTTATTGATACAGATGTGGTACACGGTAAAAGAGTCAGATTCACAACAGTTACAGAATGCCTATAACGGGCTTTCACATCGTAAATCAAACATTGAAAAAAAAAAGTGAATCAAAGTGTACAGTGATAGGATTGCTTGCTGTGGCGTGTCAATGACCCTGATGAATCGACAAGGAGACCATCTTCATGTTATAGCATGTTTCTTCAAAAACAAAAGGTATTCTTCTAGAAAATCTCTAAATAACGTACACATTACGTATAGCGTCTTCTCAGAAACACGTACATTTCTGCAGCATGCAACAACAACAAAAGAGTCTAGATTTTGTTTGCAATGTATAAATAACTTTATTATATGATTAGTTTGAGCGTAATATTGTGTAAAATGCGTATAAATATGATTTCTAATAAGTTTGAGTGTGTGTATAAACATTTTTTTTTTTTTTTTAGAATAAATAGATAGATTGAGTCATCGGTAGTGTCGATACTGGATCACACACACAATCCACTCCATCAGCTGTAACCGCGTAAGTTTCTGGATCTACAGTAATCTTTGGCATGGCACTATTATGCTTCATGTCCTTCTTGGTTACATTTCGACAGTTCTTGACGGGTTCAATCCGCTTTCTTAGTTTATATGAATCGATTTTGCCGTTATCAATAGACACTTGTGAGACAAATAGCATACAGCTCTTGGACAGACTGGATGGGAATGAGCCATACATGGGCCTGGAAATAATAGGCTCTGTGGTTGAGATGGAGCCATTGGCATCACCTAATAATAAAAGTCAATCAGTATCTTGGTGTGTACATTGCATTGTAAAAAAAAAAAAAAAAAAAAAAAAAAGCCTGCCGTATATTTACCCATTTGGCCCCAAACGATAATGCCTCCCTTTAAAATGAGCTCTGGCTTACTACCAAAGAATGCAGGCGAAAATGCAACAAGATCTGCTACTTTGCCAACTTCAATGGAACCAACCAAATGACTGATACCATGAGCCAGTGCTCTACCATGATTGCGTTAGTGGCTATAGTCCCAATACCTTTTTTTTTTTTTTTTTAAAAAAAAAAGAGATGCTTACACGTTGATTGTATATTTTGCAATGTAGCGCTTGATTCTAAAGTTATCGTCAAGCTGGCCTTCGTCTTCCGGTAGTTTGCCTCGCTGTTGCTTCATTTTATGTGCAGTCTTCCATGTTCTCAATACAACTTCGCCTACGCGACCCATAGCCTGGCAGTCAGAACTGATCATACTAATAGCGCCGATATCGTGCAACACATCTTCAGCAGCAATCGTCTCTGCTCGAATACGACTCTCTGCAAACGCGACATCCTCTGGAATTGTCTTTGATAAATGATGGCATACCATCAACATGTCAATGTGTTCATCCAGTGTGTTGGCAGTGAAAGGTCGAGTAGGGTTGGTGGAAGAGGGCAATACATTGGGTTCAGAGCACACGCTGATGACTTGTAGAAAAAAAAAGAGAAGCATGGTCAATCAAAATGAAAAACTCACGCTACCGCACCCAGCCTGTATATACTTACTATCAGGGGCATGTCCGCCTCCAGCACCCTCACTGTGGTATGTGTGAATAGTTCTCCCCTTGAAAGCGCCAATAGTCGATTCAACAAAGCCAGCTTCGTTCAATGTATCCGTGTGAATAGTAGTCTATGTTCAATGTTTAATTATACATACACATCATGCAGTATATGCTGCAATGCGTCTAATTTTACCTGCACATCAAATTTATCACATACTTCCATGCATGCATCAATTGCTGCAGGAGTAGCGCCCCAGTCTTCGTGAATCTTCAGGCCTAGACAACCAGCTTCGATCTGCTCTTCCAATGGCTCCTTGGAAGCACAGCAGCCTTTGCCGGTAAAACCGAAATTAAGGGGAATATCATCTGTTGCCTGCATCATCATCTCAATATGATGATTTCCGGGTGTACACGTTGTTGCGTTTGTGCCTGTGTTGGGTCCAGTACCACCTCCAATCAAGGTCGTGATGCCACTAGCCAATGCCTAGTAATGTGACAAAAAGTATTATTGTTCGCCTTTTTTGTACATTATGAATTTGTGCATAGTTACACCAGATAGGGACGACAACATACCTCATAACACATTTGAGGGCAAATATAGTGAACATGAGAATCAATAGCGCCCGCAGTGAAGATCAAGCCCTCGCCTGCCAATGCCTCAGTACCAGCGCCCACAATCATGCCAGGAGTAACATTGTCCATCATATCAGGATTGCCTGATTTACCAATACCGACAATAATGCCCTTTTTAATACCAATATCAGCCTTGTAAATACCAGTGTAGTCGAAAATCATGGCGTTTGTAATGACCAGATCCAAAATCTCGTTGTCGCAAGCATCTGTTGCTTGACCCATGCCTTCTCTCAGTACTTTTCCGCCGCCAAACTTGCATTCATCGCCATACAATGTGAAATCATGCTCGATGCGAGCCCATAGATTTGTATCTCCTAATCGGACTAAATCCCCTGTGGTAGGGCCGTAGTGGCAAATATAATAGTCGCGCTCCAGTTGATATGGAGGTGCATTGGGTAAGAGTGGCGTGTTGGCATCATGCATGAATCCCAGGGATACCAGGTTGTTGATAATTTCAGGAAGCTTAATCATATCCACAGGTCCAGAGGCGAGGTTGTTGCCACCCGAGATGATTTTGTTGCCTCCAATCTCGACTAATGTTACCGTTTTGAAATCTCCAGGCTCAAAACGAATGGCAGAACCAGCAGGAATATCCAAGCGCATACCATAAGCAAGTGCACGGTTAAAGTTTAGGAATTTGTTTGCTTCAATAAAGTGGAAATGAGAGCCAACCTATGAGTCCCATGTTTGTGAGGAGAGAAAGAGAGAGAGAGAGAGAGAGAGAGAGAGAGAGAGCGCGTGAGTAATAAGTCGAGTTTTGCCATGTGTGTATAACACGCTGTACCTGAATTGCCCGATCTCCAAAATTAGTTACGGTGAGGGATAGTCTCTTTCTGTCGACATTGAGCTGAATTGGACCACCCACACCGATAACTGCACCAGGAGCATCTTCACGAGATCTAGGAGAAGGTAACTCAAACTTGGATTCGTCTGGAATTGGATAGAATGAGCCATACAAGGCCAATTCAATATTGCCATTATCAGTACAGATGGGATCATGGACAGTGACGAGATAGGTGCCATCAGGAAATGTGCCTTCGATTTGCACTTCCTTGACCATATCCATGACATCTGGCAATACATGTCTTCTGCCCAACATTTGCTTTCCTAGATCCATCAATTGAGACACAGAATAGCAGCCATCTCGCATTAATTCCAGTAACTGAGATGATAAAAGTGCGATTGTTTCCACATAATTCAGCTTTACACCTCGAGCTAATCGTTTCTGAGCCAGTGCTCCAACTATTATAATTTTCCCAAAATAATGATTTAATAAACTTTTGCTAAACCAATTTTAGAATTAAGCAAAGCACACACAGAGCAAATGCGTTTGTTTGTGAGTGAGTGGTGGTGGCTGATTTGATTTACCTTGAGATAGCAATAGTTTGTCTAATTCACGAGGAATTAACTTCATTTCTTTTTGGTACTGAAATAAGAGTGCGAGTGAGAAAAGAAAAGAAAAAAAAGTGGAAAAGAGAGAAGAAAAACAAAAAGAGAGAACAAGGTGAAAAACTCCTCCTTTGTTGGTGCTCCTCCTCCATCCTCCCCATGGATTGCAACATGCTATTATGAGATTTGGGAATTAAGGATTCCCGATGACGGCGAGCTTTTATCGGAGCGTATGTTTACGACTGGAAGGTATATTTTAATTGTTTATAGTCGCACATTGCAATCATGACCCTACATTTAGATCTGTTTCCCGTTTATGGAAGATTTCTTAGAAGTTCCTGTCAAAATTGGCAGTTGGTTGGTTTAGAGGAGTTATTTCATCTCCGGTTTGTATGACCCTAAACGAACAAACACCGTGAGTTGATAAGAAAAACTCGCATAAGAGTCTTGTATGTTTTTAGAAAAACAGTGTCGCACAATTCAAGAAAAGAGTGTCGTATATATATATATAATTGTTTATTAAATAGGATGGCCTGCAAGGCAGCCATCAAAACGTCTAGTGCAATAGCGCGCAAACCCTTCAAAAGATGGCTGGGCAACTTGGTTGCTAGCGTCTGCAATTATTTGGGGAATAGTATCTTTTTTTTGAGTATATACTCTCTTTTTTTTTTTTTTTTTTTTTTACGCTACTCTTAACAACAGACCAAAATTGTTCTATTGGGTTGAGTTCTGGAGAGTAAGGTGGCAAGTAAATGCACTTGTAGCCACGCTCTTTGATCATCTCACCAATTATTTTACCTGTATGTATGGGGAAATTTGTCCATCTCAGCAAGAACGTCTTTAATAAAATTGACATAGTGGTTGGTTACTACCGTGTCCTTTGTTTGCTGCTTTCTACCACCGGCTAGCTTTGTTTTCTTTGAAGGTGGCATGGACTTTCTCAAGCTGATTTTAATCAAGCCTTTAGCAGAAATGGCATCCAAGATGGAAATTGAATTGGCCCTAGCCGTAAGCACTTTGACTTTGACAGCCTCCAGTGATGCCATGGCCTGTTTTCAATAAGGTTAGATAATGGCAATTGCTATTAATTGGAAAGAGACGGAAGACTTCTTGGTGGTATTTATCGTTTTCTTAGAAAAATATCCAAGGCGGCACAAGTCTCAGGCAAGCATGAACTTGCTATCGGTGGGCTCTGCAGTCTTTGCTTCTCCATAGTGGTTCAGGTTTGTTGGTGATCGATGAGGGTGTTCTGTTTGCTCTCGGTGCTGCTTATAGTACACTTTGGAAGAATTATCGCTTACATTAACTATTTTTTTTTTTTTTTTTTTTGGATGGAAATTGTTTCTTTATCGTGAAAGCTTGGGCAGCCGTCAACAAAGCTAAAGATACGTAGATATCATTCTACAAAAGAAGAAAATCTAATTCGATCCACTTGAGAAGTTTATTTATGTTGATTAAATATTTATCATTATTGATCCAACTTGCCCGTATATTGTAGTATCGCCCGTCTTGCAAGATTCAACGCCACAGTCGCACCTCAACCTAGAGATGCATTCGGTAAAGTTCACTCTTTCAAAGGTATGCTGATCCCTACGAGATTATCCTTAGTCGGGTCCTTGTCCTATCTCATGTATAAACATATCCATTTCTTGATCTGCTGGAATATTCAATTCTTGCATATGCAGACATTTTGCCAGCAAAAAGGTGAAAGCATGCCTTCCAGCTTTTGAATGTCTGTATCGAACCCATGATCATACATTTTTCAAATGTATGAGTCATGGTTCAGGCATGCCACTAGCCGTATTCTGACTTCAAGAAGGTTTGTGCTGTTTATAGAATTGAGAATGATCGTGGTAAAAAGCACAAAACAAAGAGGCGTGTAGGTTGTTGACGGCAGACATTGCTAATGTTTGGATGGGACCTCTCTCACTCTCTCACACACACACACACTCTCTCTCTCTCTTCATTCTCGTGTCCTAAAGGAGTAAATGGTTCAAACGTGTAACCCCAGCTTGAATCGCAGACCCGGGCGTATTACGGAACTGAGAATTATATTTAAAGTGTATTTTAATATGTCTGTGAGAAAATACCATATCATCTAGATCGCGTTTCAGTTGGCATATTTTCCCTTTTTCTCTTGTCTATTAAACAAACTTGATTATCAACAACATGGCTCAAACTTGTCGCTTCGAAGAACATCCTTCATCTAATACCGCTGCTGCTCACGATCATGGTGATGGACATGTCCATAGTCATGCTGGTCATGATGCTCACGACCATGGACACACTCACGAGCAAATGGATTCCCCTGGTTTGTATCAAGAACGTCCCAAGGCCATCTACAAGAACCGTGATTGGAACGAAAGAGCTTTCACTGTTGGCATTGGAGGGTAAGTTTGACTTGTTGTCACAGATGCAACACGCAGTGTCTCATCTCGTTGTGTTGGTGTCAATTAGTCCTGTTGGTTCTGGAAAGACTGCATTGATGCTGGCTTTGTGTCAACGCCTTCGTGACAAATACTCGCTCGCTGCCGTCACCAACGATATCTTTACCAAGGAAGATACTGAATTCTTGATTCGCAATGCTGCTTTGCCTGATGATCGTATCGCTGCTATTGAAACTGGTGGTTGTCCTCATGCTGTAAGTGGCTGATGTTGTATTTGATTGCATTGGTATTCATCATTCTGCCCTTTTTCTTTGTAGGCTATTCGGTAAATGCTCGCTCATCTTGGCTTTATACAAAAAAAAAAATTACTAACAATTTACACAGTGAAGATGTCTCAGCCAACTTGAACGCCTTGGAAACCCTTCATAGCAAATTCAATACACAATTGTTGTTGATTGAATCTGGTGGCGATAATTTGGCTGCCAATTATAGGTAAGCCTTTGATCCACAGAATTATAGACTGTATAAAACCTAATCTTTATTTTCTATTTGTGTAGCCGAGAATTAGGTATTTTCTTCCGTTATCTTATCTATATGAAAACAAATGTTCCTAACCCATGATACAATTAGCGGACTATATCATTTACGTGATTGATGTTGCTGGTGGCGATAAGGTCCCTAGAAAGGGAGGTAAGGATAGAATGCACTCATATTAAGCTTTTTTGACGTTTTACTTATATGTTTCATACCACAAAAAAGGCCCTGGTATCACTCAGAGTGATTTGCTGATTATCAACAAGACAGATTTGGCTCCCATCATTGGTGCTGATCTTGATGTTATGGCCCGTGATGCAAAGAAAATGAGGTACGAGTATATATATATATGTAGCTTCGAGGGGTGGGGGGGATCATTGATACTCACTTTTTTTTTGTCACAAAACAGAGGCGATGGACCTACAGTTTTCGCTCAAGTCAAGAATGGCGTTGCTATGGATGAGATCATTTCTCTTATTTTGGGTGAATGGCGCGCTAGTGGTGCCGCTAAGGAATCTTCTTAATTTTCTAGGACATAGAAATTGATTATAAATAAAAAAAAAACACAACATTGTACAAATATACATTCGAAAATGTGCTTTCGTTTGATGATGGAATAGGGTACGCATTGATGCAATGATTGAGGTATGACAATTTTTTTGCCGGTTGTGTGCAGCAATTGATGAATTTTATCGTTATAACACTGACTTTGATCCACAGAAACTGTGAATTACTCTCAATACAAGATTTGATTCGACGCAGTCTTTTGAATCCTTGCTTCTTCAGATTTCAAACTTGAGTCTGGTATTCTGCCAGAAATTTGATAGTGGTTTTCATGGTTTTGTTTGAAATTTCAGATACGCATAATGAGTTGCCAATTTCAAGTGATTAATAGATGCTTGAAAAAAAAAAAAAAAAAAAAAAAGAGTGTGTCTTTTATCCTCTGTTATACGCGACAATACTTCATCTAGGCTTATATAGGTATTGAATTTGATAGGATTTTGGTTGATTATCGTCAGGCACAGAAACAATAGACTCTGTGGTGTCGCCAGCCAAGTAGACTTGGATTTTATTCATCTCATGGACAACTTTCGACTACTCGGCTTTGTACAGTTCATTATATGGCTCGCAGAAGAACATACACATGGTATCCAATGTCGATCTAGCTTCATGAGCATTTCAACAAGGATCGATGAATACTAGCCGGAATTCACCTACATCTAGTCGAGTTGATACGATTCAGCTATAATCCGGACAAGACCATATATATACGGTGGATTGACCCTTAAAAGTTTACATAAGCTTCTCATTTTATATTCATTGTAGACTCACGACTATCCGTTCTTCGTTTGATAAATATCAGAAAACAACGTTCGCGCCTTTTTCGTTGACATTGCAATCAAAATGTCAAAGCTTAATCATTGCCGCGACTTCTTGTTCCTATCTCGACGCGCCAATATGCAATACTCTACATCTGCGAGCACCCATAGGATGATGGCATAATTCAATTGTGACACAGAAAGAAAAAAAAAATGCATAGAGCGATCGTCTCTTTTTTTATCTGATGGCTTCGTGACAACACCAAAAGACATAGCCCAAACGACGCTATTTATTGAAACAAAGGTTATTACAGATTTTGCTATCGCATTAGGTAACAAGGATGGCCGACCGAGCAGAAATTAGCTGATGATGATCTTTGATTAAAATGTACATTTATGGCATTTTAAACATGGCTATGGCGTCATGGCATTGAGCGTTTTGTCCGTTATAAAGCGAAGCGGGAAAAGGTTGGATTTTCTATCTTTTTTCAATTTCTCGTCAACACATTTATAGCATGACCTCTCAAGCATTACCAGTTTACGTCTCTGGCTATACCAACGACAAGAGCGTGGGCATCTACCAGTACAGCTTCAACCCCTCCACTGGCATCTTGACTCCCAAAGGATTAGCCGCTGAATCAGTCAACCCTTCTTATTTCACGTTGCATACCAGTAATCAACATTTATATGCTACGAATGAAGTGGGAGAATACAAGGGCCAAAAGACAGGTTATGTATCCGCCTATACGCGCAACAAAGAGACAGGCGAGTTGACGCTTGTCAATGAACAACCTTCTGGTGGCCAAGATCCTTGTCACGCTACTGTGGATGCTACTGGAAGCTATCTGTTGGTGGCCAACTACTCTGGTGGCTCTGCAAGCGTCATTCCTATCAAGAGTCCCGGCGCACCTGAATCTACCTTGGGCGACATCATCTCTAATCCTGTTCACGGTGAGAAGTATCAAGCTACATTGGGTGTTCCCGATCGTCAAGAGAAGCCTCACGTCCATTCCATTGATTTGGACCCCATTGCTCAACATTACGCCTTCTGTAATGATCTCGGCTGTGATGTTCTTGTTACTTACAAGTTTGACCGTAACAACACGGGTGCACTCTCCAACCACTCCACCTTTGAGTTCCCCAAGGGAGCGGGTCCTCGCCATCTCAAGTTTGCTCCTAATCACAATAACTTTTGTTATGTCGTGTCTGAACTCTCCAACGATGTGTATATGCTTGAATTCAATTTCCATCAAGGTAAATTCTACAAGGTGCAGCAAATCCATGCTTTACCAGAGGATTGGCGAGGCGAGAATTTAGGGTCTGAAATCGATATTTCACCCAATGGTAAATTCTTGTACGTGTCTATGCGAGGTTACGATGCCATTACTATCTTTGAAGTGGATGAAAGAACGGGTAAGCTTCGCTTGGTAGGTTATCAGCATACCGGCGGCAAGCATCCTCGCCATTTCACTTTTGATCCCACTGGATCGTTCATTTTGGTTGGAAATAAGGTTGGTATAGACAACACATGAAATTAGATGTATGGACGTCTGACTGATTGTTTGCAGGACTCGGATAATATCGTTGTATTTAAAGTCGACCCCAAGACTGGCTCATTGTCCCAAGTATCCAGCGTCGATCATGTCCAACCCACCTGCATTAAATTCTGGGCTTAATGTCATTAGGAAAAGAAAAAAAAAAAGTGTTTATTTAACGAGTAATAAATTTATGATTGGAATCCAAGGAGTTCCTGCATGCGTTGTTGTGTCTATTGAAAGAACCCGCGTTAATAGCAAGCCAAATGCATCACGTAAAATGTACCAATACTTGCCTTTGTTGTTAAATAATGGAACACAGCCTCCTTCATCCAAGGTTGCTTATAAAAGTCGGTCTGTCTCATCTCCTCTAAGTTGACTTTACTTTCGCCCAAAATGACCTCTAAATCTCTAGCTTGACTTGCGATCCACTTGTTGATGAATTCAACTGGTTCCTTGGAGAATTGCATCAAGAAATCGCGCTTAATCTTACTGTTGTTGATACTTTGCACGCACTGAACAATTTTATCATCCAATGCCACGATTTCCTTTTGTGTCAGAGACGAGGAGACAATGTGCATCATCTTTTGTCGAACAACGCTGTCTAATTCTACATCGATATCGAAGGCTTTTGATGATTGATGTAATGGCTTATCGACGCGGATGGTGTATTCAATCACGACTGGATCAGGTCGACTCAAATGCTGTGTGATGAGTTCGGGAAGTTGGGAAAAATGGAGTTGAGGATATCCAAAAATTTGGCCCAAACGGTTGTCGCAATGAATAACACGCTTGTCCTCTTGATCTTGAAGTTTGTGATTCTGCAACAAAATCAAAAAATCAATGAATGCGCTCCTGAGAAAGAATGTATTATCACTTACTTTGCAATAGTTCCAGATGCCCATCACAATTTGTGGTTTCGTCTCCATCTTGACATCTAATAAATCAGCCAATGCAGGGCTCAACTTGAATTTCTGTGGGTTGGATTCAAGATGGATGATGATCTTGGCCTTGACATTGACATCGCCCTTTCGCTTGATCTCAATTGCATCAAAATCAGATGTATTGGGTTGTTTTTGCCACTAGTAAATGGTTGAATAAAAACAAGATTTGTGCCAGCAGCCATTCTTTTTACCTCAATCAGATTTCCTTCTGGATATAATTGGGGGTCTCTTTCTAATTCCACAACCACAGAGCGAAAGAACGAGGTGAGTTTTTGAGCAGGCTGTGCTGATTTTGCAGGAGCAGCAGGCTAAAATCGACATTGTCAGTGTATACATGCGTTGGGTCCATGCTATTCATCTTACATTCAACAATCTTCCTTCAATCTTGAGTGTCCAACTGGGCACACTTCCGTTATTCAGGTCAAAGGCGTTTTCATCATCCATGGTGAATGACTGATCTGAGGTGGTGTTGGAAATGAAAAGACGTAGAGTGCGATGTACCTGGTGAAAAAAAAAAAAAAAAAAAATCGTTGAGTGGGGTTCATTTCATCAGTGGATTATGGACGCTACCTTTGTTGGCTTTCCTAGGGCTTCTTGAATATCTAAACGCTTTCTCATAATGGTTGCATCCAACTTCTTTTCAAATTCTACGAGATCTGTGTATAATTTGGACTCTGGCACAAAGGATTCAATCTATATACAACACATAGTTTAGTGGGCCATCCAGGCTTCTTCAGTGAGATTATTACCTTGGGAGGCATGTTTTTATCGGTAGGTCTCTTCTTTCTAGGGGGGGGGGGGGTTGTTTAACTTGATAAATCCAACATCAAAAACACGTATTACTCACTTGATGTGTTTTGTGAGTGTATCAGCTTCGCTGGGTCTTTTTCTAAACTGCATTGAATTTGATGGAATGCCTTGAGGAGGAAGCATGCCTCCTGGTTGTGGCATGTTGCCTGGATGTTGTTGATACACGTGAGGTTGAGATTGCATCTCGTTTGAATTTAGAGAGAAAAAATGTAGAGAGAGAGAGAGAGAGAGAAAAAGACGGGTTGGATTGACGTTCAAATGTTGCAGCCTTTTACTTTACGCCCATCGACGTCACAGTGTAAACTGCATGTTTGGCGATACGATGAATAAAGAAAGCCAAGTAGAGGACATTAGAGTTATTCTAAGCATATAGCCAATGTGTAAGCGAGACACCATATTATATTTAAAACTTCAGACAATGACTCAATTGACCTATTGTGAGCACACTGCATGGCACCAGCATCTGACACCCCAGATGAAATGGCCACAGTTATCCAGCTAAGCTGAATGTTCCACCATGATTCAGGACATCAGCTGTTTCTTTGGAATCCTAGCCATCAGTATCGAAATACAATTAGCTAGTGAAGCGCACGGATCTTGACCAGAAAGGCTTCTCTTGTAGATAAACACAAGTTGAATTGAGCCATTTGAGTCGCTCAGCTAGTCCTCAACAGACGAGCAAACTTATAATTTACGTGGTAAAGAAAATCTTTTAAGCGTTGACATGTTGTCTGCAACATTACGTCTATAATTTATTGTTCTGTAATAAGTATATGTTGTCTAATTTTTCTTTACTTTTGCAGACGTGCTGTTCAAATGCAACGTAATATACTTGACTATGGTAGTGATGACCCACAGACTAAGGCCAACGACAATCAACAGACCACCGTAGAGGTCTAAATCATGGGATTTGAGGTAGCTCATACGTTGGTCAGCGCTCTGACGATGCTTCAAAAGACCATTTTCGTGCGTATAAGCAACCTCTTCAATCAAATCTGCACCTTTGGCAACACCACGTCTTGAATGGATCTGGACCAAAGCCTGATACTTGTTTACGTTCTTTGTGATTTCACCATCTTCATCATCCAAGATTTGACGGAACAATTCAACAGCTTGAGGCACAGTGAAATCGTTCTTCAAAATACCACCCAATTTACCACGTTCAATCAACAAGGCATTTCCTGGTTGATCACCAAAAAAGGGGAACATGACCATACGCGTACCTGAATACATGGATTCATACCAAGAACCGAGACCGCCGTGAGAGACAAACAATTGAGTGGAAGGGTGCTGAAGCACGGCAGTTTGAGGCGCCCATTTGATCACACGAGCATGAGGGCTCTTTTGACTAAACATGTCTTGTACATTGTAGGTTGTGTTTGAAGAAGTTGTGATGGTATCTGGAAAGAAGCCTGCGGCATGAACAGATGCCCAAAGAAGCCCATCCAATCTTCCTTGCTCAATGCTCTCTAGCAAGCCGCTCAAGATGAGGTGGATGTCCTTTTCAACAGGCGTTGCCATTTGACCAAATGCAACGTAAGCCACACGCTCATGGGCATCCAGGTATTCTTTGAGATCTTCAGTTAAAGGTTGATACGTTTTAGGGATGATGGGGCCAACGTACTCAACGAGAGGTCCCAGAGGTCTTGGAGCAGAGAAGCCATTCAGTGAGTTGATCAGCTTTAATGAGTTCTTCCACGTTTCACTTGGCTCTTGTATTTTGGCAGGGATACCCAATGCACGTTTTCTCTCTGCCAATTGATTGAGATGAGGTAAAATGTAATACAACTCCATCATGGGAACAAAGAATTTGTTGGTAAAACGAGTTGCAAAAGACTGGAATTCAGTAGTGAAATCGACCATAGTTGTCAGCTTGTTGTTGATATAAGTAGCTCCACCATCTAATCCGAAGGGTCAGCAAAGCACTGCTTCATGCCAATTGACAAAGTGCGTATACCTTTTGTTATCGGAAGCGTCGATGTAACAATATATGGAATGCGCAACATATCAGCCGCACTGTAGCAAGCATCAGAAAAGTGGTCGCAAATAGCCAGATCAATATCGTTGCTCTCAAAAAACTTCTTTGCAGCCTCGAAGTCTATATTGGTGGGATACATGAGCCAAATGGATTCTGGGGTTCATTAAAGTACATTACCATACCTCTTTCAAAATTGGCGTACATGTATTCGAATCCCTTGCCCATAAATTTGACGGTATCTTTTGTTGTCCCCTTCAGTTCTCTAGTATATTGAGCCGTGTCACTCACATCCACCCCTTCACCAACACTAATTGTATTCACATAAGGACTTGATCTACCCAATCTAGTGAATTCATCCTGAATAGGACAAAAAGAAAAGGGGCAATCAATGTAAAGAAAAGGATCAAAGAGATTGTGCATTTTACTTACCACCGTGAGGAAAGTAAAGTTATGGCCTCTCATACCGAGCTCATTGCCAATGTTCAGCATCCAGGTCATATGGGATGCACCACCAAATGGAGCAAAAAAGGCAATATTCTTTGAAGCATGCTTTTGTTGAAAGGTTGGCTCCAATTCGACTGCACCAACACAAGCTTGTTGAACAATCACACTTGCTGCAAACAGCAAAATGGCAGTATATTTCATTGTAACAAGAACGTCAGAGACGGGATCAAACCTGTCTTCTGTACCAACCTCTCTTTTATATACTCCAGGAATAGCACTAGCAGTCGGAAACAGGGCCGGTAAACGGATAAATTGCGGGCGATCATCCGAAATTAAAAATGAAATTGTATAGATGAATCTAAACCTTTAAGGAAAGCCCACTCTTGATAATGGAAAGATATCGAGCTTACCGCCCTGTTTTTAAACAACAAGTATACCGTCATTGTCGCTTTTGGTTGTTTGGCAAATGTCACATCCCAGAGGATTAAAAAAAAAAGTAAGTATTTGCAGTGCTCATCGGGATAAACGCTCACCGAGATACATGTTTGTTTGGCATTGAAGCGCAGCACAAGAAGACACAAAACGAGCGGAATGTTTTTGTTTGAAATCAAAACATTTGCATCAACAATATCCAGCAAAGCATAGGTAATCCTTGAGGGTATCATGATGCAATAGCAAAGCATGCCTTGTTTTAAAATCTTGCTCTTGTATCATCGATCAATCTAATGTTTGTAACCTATATCAAACCTTACTCAGGGTAGGTTTATGAGCAGATGGGAGCCATAGATCTTAGTCTATCGGAGAAGTTGCATTGACAAATTAGATTCAAAGGGGAAATGTTTCCAGAATAGGCCAGCCGTCAATGATAACCCTATCATGCATAGAGTTCTTTTGAGCAAGATAGGGACCCATATACTACGCACTTTTAAAGCAATGTGAAAGAGGCTTTATCCTCAGTCTAGCACAGAAAGTGACAAATACTACAGTTTAAATATCTGGAGTGCATCATTTTGCGAGATCCAATTCCTTTTTATATTTCGTTTGTCCATGTAAAGAGCACTTCATGGTAGATAAGTCTTCTTAGACAATTGGTGCATCCAACATACAAATTAAATGTATCCGCTTATTTCCCCTAACTTCGATTCTAAGTATATTATGACAAGAAAGATATAATTTACCCAACAGCTATAGTACGTTTCATTTCGAAACACCTTCTCATGAGCGTCGAATAATCAAATACCTTTATGAATTAGAGAAACATTGATTTTGCCACCAACCACCACAGCTATAGCATGTTTAAACTTCGACATTTTTTTTTTTTTTTTTACTTCTCAAGACTGGATAGATTCTGTTCAAAAACGACTTGATTGATCTACTTTGTCGAATTCGACTATGCAAAATGTGATAATCATTACATCCTTCCTTAAGCTTTCTGAAAGTACTTTTCAATGCGCATCTAATGGTACCAAGTAAAATATATGTTTTAAATAAACTTATTGAATAATCTACGAAAATATGAAAAGAGATTTCTGGCCAAAATGTCAAAATTTTGCATACCAAGGTGCCACAAAAGTGGTTGTAGGGGTTGCCCTAGATCGATAGCCACATTTTGATCTAATATATACCATAGTGAAAGTCTTTTTTTTTGGGGGGTCAAAAAGGCGATTGTTTCATTTTTGGTGAAAATCATGAGTGGGTACCTCATGGTATCTGGCCGATTTTTGACGATCTCAAAAAAGGTGAACAAACGTGTTGGGAAGTTAGTGCTAGTTGAACGTAACTGCAGGCTGTTAATATGGCGGTTTAAAAAAGACTTTAAACACGAGAAATCACGGTCCAAATGCAACCAGATTTCGTCGTGTTTCGTGTGTTTTGGAGTAGGAAGGGGCAATGTAAATATGTTTGCCGATATATGAATTGGCTTTACATTGTACAGATGTAAAGCATCGTAAAAGGGTCAGATCCACAGCAGCTGCAAAGTTTTTTTTTTTTTTTATAAAGGGCTTCTCACGTAGTAATAAAAGAGGTTTAAATGTGATAATTTAGTATACATTGGGTGGGGCTGCCAATACACATTGAATTGATAATAAAGTATATAGTTACATTGATTTCCTAACATCCGAACTCTTCCAAGCAATTGAACTTCCAGCAAAATCATCAGTCTGTGCGACAAGGGAAATTCAGTCTGCAATCACCGGGTTTCAGTTTTCAGTGCACATAAAAAAAAAAAAGGTGCGTGCATATATTTAAACACCTAAAGTATTCCGGTTTTTGATTTCTTCTCTTCCCTTTCTTTTTTCTTCTTCCAACGTATACACAAACCATATAGCGAAAAAAAAACAGAACATCTTATGATTACAATTCTACCATCCAAAGTGAAATTGCTTCACTTTCCAAGATCGCATTTACCACATGTCACACATGCCATTGTTAAGTCTTGCTTTTTCCAAGACACATCAGAGTGAGTGGAGCGATAAATCAAATCAGATTCTAATCCATCTCTAACCAATTTTTTTTTTAAAAAAATTCACATGTATAGCTCCCATTATTTCTTTTCGTTTACAGAAAACGCTTATGAAATCTCAATTGTAGCTAGCAAAGAGATCATCGACAACGACTTTATACCCTCATTGATGATGGCTCAATGCCATGATATGCGTTCCTCTAGTGATTGTTATCGTGTATTGCAAGTAGATGATGAAGGTGGACAAGGTACACAATTTAGGAATTTAAACGCTAAAAAAAAAGTTACTCAACCTTACTCATCGGGGTTTATTGGGTTATTCCATGGTCTGTATAGATTCCAGTGGTAAGCGTATCAGTGATCTCTCAGGTCCATTGGCTCAGGGGAAATTCTCTATCTTTTACATGTCGACCTATCAGACTGATTTTGTATTGGTATGTATTTCAAGAGGGAACCAAGGTGTCGTATGCTAAATGGTATTGAGAAACAGATCAAGGAAAGAAGATTAAGACAAGCCGTACAGCTGTTACAGCAACATGATTTCGAGTTTGATCTGGACTCTGTGGATCACTATTTGGGAGGTTCACCGCCTCCCATGCCTACCTCTGACAATAGACTATCCATGGAAAGTGATGCTTCTCTGATACTGGAGGAAGACTTTGAGAAATCCGTCTTGTCAGATGAACTTCAATGTGTAGGATTGAATCCGCATTATCGTTCGGAATGGGCCATGACAGTACTCAAAATTTTATCATATCCTGAATTGATTTCAGCAGACGGAAGGTAAAAAAAAAAAGGTAAAACACAAGGCACGATAGGCAATGACTAACATGCAATTCCTCACAGCCAAGAAGATACCCGATTCTTTTCATATACAGCATCAAGTGATGGGATCTCACTTATCGCAAATCAAAAAATATTGGATTTATTCGAACAGGACGCAATTTTCCAAGACGAGGAATCTCAAACCTATCGTGTCATACAGGTCAATTTAGCTGGATCTAATTTGGATCGTTGCGGTATCGTCTGGTCGATCTCTCACCCATTAGCTGCTGAGGCTCACATCAATTTGCTGTATCTCAGTACATTCAAAAGCGCTAATGTCTTGGTGTCTTCCGACGATCTTGGAAAAGCAGAAGCCATTCTTGCAGATGACTTGAAGGTTATCAGAAGCATGCTTGCTGAAGTTGTTTTGGAGCCGACCTTATAACACCAAATGTTACACACACACACACACACAGGCAGACATCACACCCCTTCATATAAATGACCTCTAGTTTTTAAAAAAAAAAAACCATCTATTTACCCACTAATAAAACTTCTTGTTGAGCAATGAGCGTAATCATCATGGTGAGTCAGCCTCAGTTATGGACATAACAAATAGTACTGAATAAGGACGAGCATTGTTTCTAATGTAAAGAATAAAAGATTTAAGCGTGCAAGGCAAAACGCTCAGAATCAAATGTCTGTAGCATCTACAAACATACACTTTGCAATAGATGAAATAATCATAGCAGTTACCTTCAGCAGATAAACATGTCCACAGATCTTTGTTGCTTAGATGGTAACAGGTAGCACCATCTCCACGAAATAGGATACCCCAGTTTCCACTACTGATGAGATAAGCTAATATAAAAAGTATCGGCCAGAGATAAGATAACTCTCACTTTCAGTCAGGTTGACTCTCAGCTGGCAAGGGTAATAGGTATCATGGCTCTGACAGCGCGTGTTTACGACAGTAATGCATGGCCGCAAGCTGAACGCTTTTCTTTGAGATACCATGATGAACGCCAGCTTGCAGCAGATCAAATATTGAAGCGTCCATATGTATAGAGATCAATGTTAAATATGTAAAATAATCTAAAGCAATGTAATGGATGTTGGCAAATTAAGCGTGCACACTGTGAGATACATTGAGCAATTTCTGAGAGAAAAACAGCTTAATTGATTCCATTGCTATGTATGCGTTGAGCCAAATGATAATTGTCTACAGTCACCACAAAGAATTATGGAGTGTCACTTTATAATACATGCATTTCAACCAGTCACTTTGCATCCTCTTTCTTTCCAGTTAAAATACGCTTTGACAAACATCAAAATACAAGCTTGTCCAAAAACATATAAACAGCATCATGTCCACTATACCTCATCTTGTGGAGCGTCTTGAGCAACTAGACAAATCTGCAACATCGCCAGACACACAATTAGATAACGTCCTTGAATGCCTCTCATTGCCTATAGAATGGTTAAACGAAGCACCTACACTTGTCAATCAGTCAGCATGGAAGCAGCACGTATGGCATGTTTTCAAAGAAATAGTCCCTCAGTGGACATTTGCATTGAACAGCTCAACACACAGGCATTTGATACAGGGTACATTGTACCTAACATCACTCAGTGACAGTATCCAGGTCGCCATGGCACGCATTAGTTTGCCTATACTGCTCGAGTGCCTGGCAATCACACATCAACAAGATGCCACTCTAGATACATTGGAGATGTATTCCAACTCACTTAGATTTCTGATGAAATTGACGCAACTGTATGGACAGTACATCTCTCGCAACGATGTGCGGTTCTTTTGTTCTTTGATCTGCTCCATACCAGGACATCTGGTCAATGCATTCGGCATACAAAGCATACACTACAACAGGGATGTGGAGTGGTATACAGACAGGTATAGATGTTATAGCAAACACTAGCGAAGCAAGGCTCATGTATTTGATTGTAGAAAGTTTTATGCAAACTTGAGTCGACAATGCGCAGACCATATGACAGAGACATCATTGGTTTTTACTCAAGAATTGTTGGGTAAGATTGTCAGACAAGGCTATGAAGGTATACATGACAGCATGTAGAGTACAAACCAGTTGATTAACACCCTTACAAGGCATCGTCATTGAATCCATCTACTCGTCATCTACGAGAAGCAGCCCCCGCTGGGCAGATGTATTTGAACAAATAGAGATCATCGCTTCTCCTGATCAAGTCATTCGGCCCGTGTTAGCGTATGCCAAGCAGACCCTTCTACCCAAATTCAACAACGCCATCTCGTCCGTCGCTAAAAACGTTTCGCATCTGCTTTTTGGAAATCCATGCAACAATGATAGACAACTCCAACGAAAGGAACGTATTCAGGGGTTTTTAAACATGGCTATATTCAGACTCGTTCAATCCAGCTGGGCGGACGACAAGCTAGCTAGATTAGTGGTGACAGTTGCCATCTTGGCAGAGGGAGGTTATGGTGAGGATACAGTGACAGATTCCGCTCGATTGATGATAGTGAATTATGCGAAACGTGCCATTCAAACTTGGTCAGATCCTGTGTTTCTCAAACATGGAAGCAGTCGGGAAAAATACTGTAAGGCTTTGTATCAAAGATGATGTATAATGATGTGCTCATCATACTCGCTAGATATGACGGCTGTTATTTTGTCGTTGATTTCCTACTTGGATGTCCCAACTGTACAAGTTACAATCATGACGGAGACCCACTTGTTGAACAGTGTATCTCAGTATTTTGCCAGTGGAGACGCTGCAACAGCACGAATTGGAGCAGTAATGGCTGAAGCAGTATCGTACAAAATTGACAAGGAAAAACCTTTACACACAACATTACTAGACGGACAAGATAGACTTGTTGAATTAAAGGGCCTTGTATTGTTAAGAGATGCACTCGATAAGGATGCAGTGGCGGATCTATCAACGGAGGCAGAAAAGGATGCACCCGAAAAAGAGGATCTTGATAGAGACGATTTTGCAGATGGAGATGAGGATGAGGATGAATTAGATCCGGACGCAGCATTTGATATAGGCAAGCTTGCAATGATCAGGTTCAGATTGATTTGCTCATGTTTTGATGTAGATTCTCAACAGAGTGACTCGGACAAGGACGATGATGATGAGGAAGAATTTCAAGCGTACCTCATGGAAGACGAATCAGAAGATGAAGGGCTCAAGAAGGAGGGATCTTCAAAGAAGCAGCACAAGAAACCAGTGTACAGTAGCAGTTGAGTATTCGCATCTGTGCCTTAAATTGATTATGTAAGCTAGGTTTATTCGAGATCTCATTCGATGCTTGCAAGACAAGAATGATCCTTTGAAACTAGAGATTGGTTTAAATGCAGCGGAAGATGTTATCCGCCGAAAAACTGGGGCTGGAACAGAGCTAAGTAAAGGAAAATCTCCACTCTTCTTGTGTGATTCACGCTGAAACATGATGTTGGAACAATAGGCGAATCATCGATAGTATTGGCAAAGTATATCATCTCGTTCCCAGAAACATATGAAATTGAAAATTACCAGACGCTGCAAAGAAACGCACTAGTGGCACTAATGACAGCTGTACCAGAAACTGTCTGTGGGTAAATTATTAACTGAATGGATAATCATTAGAGTGCATGAGTAACTGAATTTATCAGGTTTATCATTGATGAAATGTATAACCGAGATACATCGGATGGACAAAAGCAGTTGATATTGGGGTCGATTTCGTTAGCAGTGAGAGAATTGGCTGGCTGGTCAACCGCGACGGCAGCAGATCCAATAGTAGCAACAGCAGATCCAGCAATAGCAAATCGCACCAATGTAAGATCAGGGCTTTTCTCAGTGTTGGGATGGGAAATTAAACTTTATTCCATTGACACAGACATCCAAGCAACTTGGAACACCCATCTTTGTATCCAAGAAAATGACATTGCAGGAACCCAAGCGATACAAGAATCGATTGTCAGGATTAGCAGGTTCAGTTTTCTTTTTCCCATTGTTAGTTGGCTGGTGGGAAGGCACACAAGGCCTCATAAAGTAAGAAAGACCGTCATTCGAGCCATGTTCGTGCCATATATTAACATGTAACGAACAGGTATTGGATTGGAAACAATGCGCTTTTGACGGAAAGATTCATCATGACACTGAACATCATTCTCCATAGTGCCAGTAAGTTTTTGAAAATGTTCTATAAATCCAAATTGTAAAATGAACGCATCACTATAGCAAATACGCCTGACAAGAGAAAGATCGTCAAAGAGTATTTCCAATTCGTATCTTCCATGAAATATGCATCCATTTCCACGCACACTGTCAGCATCAAGAGGGCCATGTTGTTGGGCATTGATACCATCATCAGCGTATGCTATTCAGGGCAGGAAGTGTTGCTGTATCAAGACTATCAAAATGAACTCTACGACACCAAGCAGTGGCTGGAGGATGTGCTGGAGCAGGCAGATGAACCTGAATTGCATGATTTGACCGTTGGCATTGTAGTTAAATTGTCTCAAATTGCATTGACAGCAACAAATGCACTGGTGACACAGAATTAGATGATGGCTAATCTTTACTAATTAGAGTTCTCATGTCCCGGGACAATTTTGTAAATTAAGGTTCATTTTTCCAAACAATAAATGTCTTGTGTAATGATACGTAACATTCACATGAGTTCGATGTAGGGCCACTGATCATTTTCTTTACACGTGTGTCTGCTGAATGGTTCGCTATGAGTCAAACATGGATATCGCTGCTTGGGAGCAAACAAACAATGACTCAAACACATTTGTGGCAGATCCTGAAAAAAAAAAATAGGAAAGAGGGGAATGGAACCCCATGGCACACTATTTTGTTTTAACCAGTTGGGTGTAATGAATCATCATTACTATCGGCTATTAACGGAATGATCGGAATACACTCAGTTCCAAATAGTGGTTTTATTGCACAGACAATAGAAAATGAATACAATTGTGCTTACAAGCAGCCATTATCCGTACTCGAGTGCTGATGCTGATCAATTACAGACTAATCAAGGCCATGTTTGTTGCTTTACTTTTTGCCATGTTGCAAATTACAAATATAAATTACATTCAGGGTAGCACAAATAGAACTTCCAATTGATTCTCCCATCAACTTTAGAAAGAAACCTAAAAAAAAATCTTTTTGCCTGGTGTATATAAACCCAATGAAATCATGACCCTTTTGCTTCAGCTTTGCCATCTTTTCTTCTTGTTTTCTTCTTTTTCTTTTTTTTTTTTTTTTTCTTACGTGTTTGATGAATGCATGATCAAATCCTTTATTTTTATGATTGATCAATCTTAAAAATACACTACAAATCACCACAAACCAACCCCACTCTATTAACCATTATTTAACAACAAAAACCTTTAACTATTTAATCTAACCCCAAATCTAAACAGCCACCCCTATCTTGAAATACTACTTAAAATGGACTTTTGCACCACTGATACAGATAACACCATGTTACACTCACCCACCTCGTTGCGTCTTCAAGACCTCATCACTGCTCCTGCTAAAGCTGAATTCTTGTTGGAACTATTGACCCCTGATCAGATTTCTGCCATTGAACAGACATTGGGTAACGTAAAGAAGAGAAGACTCAACAAGGCGCCCGCTACCACCCAAACGGCCGTCGCATCTCCATCCTTTTCACCTGCCAACCCCACTTCTCCCATCTCCACGACTGCAACTACAACCCCAGCTTTGAAACAATCCAACAATAGCACCACCAACAACAACAATAGCACATCAGCTCCGAATGAACCTGTTACTGAAATGAAGGATGGCGTCGAATGGGTTTCGTTTGTCTACTCTCATAATCGCACTCTTAAAAGATATTCCATTCGCACGGATCTTCCTCAAATCGATCTCTCGGTGATTGACGACAAGTTCAAGAGTGAGAACTGTGTAAGTAATCCATGCCCCTCGTTGGATTTTGAGGGTGAACCAAAGATTAACCCTGGTATAGGTTTATCCTCGAGCTAATTTACCCAAAGAAGAGTATCACGGTAACAGATGGGCTTATGAGACTGAATGTAATGTGCTCGGTTGGAAATTAGCATGGCTTAATAAAGATGAGATTGCTGGTAAGCGTGGATTGATTCAACGTGCTGTTGATTCTTATCGTAATCGTTACCCTAGTATGCGATCTCGTCGTGTAGCTCGCCAAGAAAAGCTAATGAACGGCACACTTCGTAAACGTAAGCATCGTGAGGGCGATGCTGAAAACGATCAGGACATGAGCTCATCGTTGTCCGGTGTTACCATTCAGTCTGCCCATCATCCCAAAACTATTGCTATTGAAGACGCCAACAACCAACGCTTTCGTATCAAGATCAATGTCGAGTCTGTTGATCTCGAGGAAATTAATATCGAGTTTCGCAAGGCAAACTGTCCCTACCCTCGTGTTATGAATATCGCTCAACCCAATCCTCCCTCGTCGCGCTGGCTGGAAGAAACCATGTGTAATGAATTGGCCTGGAAATTGGCTTGGCTGAACCCTAGACATCTGGCTGGTAAAAAGAACATGCTTCAACGTGCTTTGGATATCTATCGCTCCAAGTTTATGCCCTCGCTTCAGCCTCGCAAGAACTCCAATCGTGTGGCACCTATTCCTCCTCCCTCCTTGACCAACACTGTCAGCCAGCAAGCCTCTCTCATGGATCTCTTACCTGTGAATACCGTTCCTTTAACTGCTGATGCCTTGTCTGCTCAAAATGCCTTGTATGAACAGAATAGCGCTGTAACTGCTGCTGCTGCTGCTTCGCCTGCCATGTCCAATATGAGTGGTACAACCGAATCCCTTGACTTTGCTGATTGCTTCTCGCTGGCCGATGAAGAAAACAAGGACGATGCTGCTGCTAATGCTGCTGCTGCTGCTGTATTCTGTGATTTGTTGTTACAAGATTCCTCTGTGCTCTTTGACAGTGCCAGCAACACAAGCACTCGTATGAACTCAACCAGCTCTTATTCCTCTGATAGCACTGCCTGTACTCCTAGCCCTACTATGCCCAACGATCCTTTCTCTGCTGATTTCTTTGATAACTTTATCATGTCTTCCTCTACCGCTACAGACGATCCATTCTACAACATGGTGATTGACAGTTCAGCCACGACGACAACTGCAGCCGATCTCTCGAAATTGTACAATACAACCATTGAAGACACTTTTACCGCCAGTAATTTGTTGGATCCCCTCTTTTAATAACATCATTTTGTATATAGTTTTTTCCATTCCCATGCATCTCTTCTTTCTTCATCTTTATATACTTATTCAATCAACATCAACAACATACAAACACACACACACAAAAAAAAAAAAAAAAAAAAAAAAAAAAAAAACTTATTTTAATTTCTATTCACAGTTACTTTTCTTATAGAGCAATACATGGGTTTCCAATTTTATATCTAACTCTTTCAAAAATAAAAATATTTATTCTGTCTACAACACACTTTTTGATTTTTAAGGTTACTGGGAATCGAATGTCAAGAAAATGTGAAAGATGACACAACTGGGCTTGTTTCTCTGGATGAAGCTTATTTCCCCACACTTGATAAACGTTTAGGCCTCAATTTTTTCTGATTCCGGATCTACTCCAAATCTTTTTTTCAATAGATATTTAACCTCTTTGGTTATTGGCAACGATGATGAGTTTGAAGTAGGATGCTGTAGGATTTGACTCAATCAGCACATTTGTCTCATACACAAGCAAATGTATGAAGCACAACGAAATTTGACGGTCTTCTAGCCTTCATATCTTGACATGTAGACCTTTCTGAGCCACCGGAATAACGCCAAACAATTGTACTTGAGTAGTAGTGCCTTCCTGGCACATTTGCTCAACTTTTTGGGGACCTAAAAAAACATGGCCAAAAACTGACCGAAAACCATGAGGTACCCCTCATGGTTTTCATCGAAAATCAAACAATCGCATTTTTCACCTTGAAAATGAAGACTTTTACTAGGGCATATATTAATTCAAAATGTGTCTCTCGATCCAAACCAACCTCTGAAACCACTTTTATGAGGCTTTCATATGCAAAATATGACTATTTTCGCTAAAAAAAGCCTCATTTCAAATTTTATTAAATTGCTCAATAAGTTCAGTCAAAACACTTATTATAGTTAGCACCATTGGAAGCGCCTTGAAAAGCACTTCAATAATGTATTAGGAAGCGTAGGGTGATCATCACAGTTTATATAGTCGGATATCATAAAATAAATTAAAAAAGTCGAAAAAAGACGAAATCTGTCCAATCTTAAATAGAAAAAAAAAAAAACTGAGTTTGAAAGTGTTTTGGCGGCGGCGGCTTGCTGCTGGCTGACCAAAATGCCTTTCTGATGATGACAATGGATTGGGATGCTGATTAAATGAGGGTCAAGGATTTGAAAGGACTAGCGCTTAGCCTGAATACTCTCTTTTGCTTTTATTGGGCTTGTTCGTATCTGACAATGCCGACCAGCTTGACTCATCTTCAAAATATATATGTAATTGCAGCTTCCTCATCTTGATCTGCAGCATTTCAACATGGCATGCAGGCAGTATGCGCTTCATTTATTCGCTTAAAAAAGACTATTGCCACTGGCTAAAAAAGCTATTTCGATATGTAATGAGAATATCTTTGAAACATGTAGCCGATTTTTTTTTTTTTTTTTGAGAATGATGGCTGTAATCTCGTTGACAGTTGACAGATGCTGAGTGCGCCTATAACCACCAACAGTTAGCTCCAATCTTATTTGAGAGTCGATTCGAATGTGAGCATGCTCGTTGATATGATTTCAGGCTTGCCGTTCTTCTTCTTCTTCTTCTTCTTTACTCAGGATCCCAATAGTTATTGTCATCTTACATGAATTACAACGAGAATCATGTTTTCAGGAACAACATCTGGCAGCGCTTTCTGTCGCCTTTAGCGATGTCTACTATAACAACTCACATCCTGTCATTGTATCAAGATATATTCATAACGTTTTGCCATTGAATCTGCACATCACTCCTAGCAATTAAAATGCCACAATAAGGAAATTGTACATTAAAACATTTATCAGATGTCAGACACGATTGTCTATACAAGAATCTTTTTTATATATATTTGCATATCTCAGGATGTTCTGCGAGTTTTACTCTTTTAATCCATGTCTATTGCATTTGATGCTATGTACATGAGCTTTATTGTACAACCAATGCTTCAATCAGAAGACCAAACGGATCATTCAAGCTGTGTATATTGAGAGACACAAAATAACCTTTATTGAAAGCCAGACCTGCCCATAAAACGGCACAAGTGGCAGCTTTTTTTTTCTTTTTTTGCATTTTAAACTTTCTTTCACACATCAAAATATGGCTATTGATATGACATTATCACAGTGGGCCACTGTTGGTTTAGGCGCCTTGGTCAGTTGGCTTCTTCTAAACTGGTTTGCTACTCCTTCTCCCAAGAAGTTTACAGTGAAAGCACCTGAAGGTAATACCAATGTTGTAAAGTAGCAAAAAAAAAAAAAATCCCCCCTCGTATTGTCAACATGTATCTCTCAAGTGGATCTTGCTTGCTTGAATACATGGACAAAACCCAATAAAGAGCACATGTACTTAAAATAATTTGCTCTCATATAGCTGCCGACCCCAAGTGGACTGGACAAGTGCTTGAGAATCCTACTCTTCGTGTAAGTATCAAATGTGTATCCTCGACGCGTTTTTCTCTCTCTCTCTTGCTTTACTGACACTATATGATTAGAATGCTAGTGATCCTTCAAATATTGTGTGCTTTGATCCTTCTACTGGTTGCCTTATTGACACTATTCCCAATCCTACTCCTAAGGACATCAAAGAATTATATGAGCGCACTGCAGCAGCCCAAGTAAAGTGGGCTAAATCCTCCTTTGAACAACGTAAAGCTGTGCTTCGTTCCTTGTTGGCTTTTGTTTTGGAGAATCAAGAGGCTATTTGTCAAGCTGATTGTAGAGATACCGGAAAAACGAGTAAGTAAACTATAGGTGTTTGTATTTACTGAGATTATCTTATTGACTTGACATGGCGACGCACATCAGTGATTGATGCTTCGTTGGGCGAAGTCATCACCACCTGTGCCAAGTTGCGTTGGACTATTGATAATGGTGAATCTGTCTTGGCTGATGATTACCGTAGCCCTGGATTGATGATGATGTACAAGAATTCCAAGGTCGTGTATCAACCTTTGGGTGTTGTTGCTGCTTTGGTCAGTTGGAACTACCCCTTCCACAACGCCATGGGTCCTGTCATTTCTGCCCTCATGTCTGGTAATGGCATCATTGTGAAATGCTCGGAATATGTGGCCTGGTCTTCTCGATACTATGAAAAGATCATTAAGACATGTCTCTCTGCTAACGGCGTGGATCCCGATTTGGTTCAGTTTGTCAGTGGTTTTGCTGATGTTGGCGAGGAGGTCATTCGTTGTGGTGTCAATCATGTTACTTTTATTGGTTCCCCTGCTGTTGGTAAGCTCGTTCAACGCAACGCCGCTGATTACCTTGTCCCCTGTGTCCTTGAATTGGGTGGTAAAGATTGTGCCATCTTGTTGAAGGATGCTGATTTGGTGCAAGCTGTTCCTGTCTTGATGCGTGGTGTTTTCCAAAACTGCGGTCAAAATTGTATTGGTATTGAGCGTATCATTGTTGCCTCTGAAATTTATGACAAGGTGGTTGAAGAGATGAACACGCGTATTGGTAAGCTTCGCCAAGGATCCATTCTTGCTGATGGTGAAGGCGTCGACTGTGGTGCCATGACCATGGGTAACCAATTTGAGAGATTGGAAGGCCTTGTTCAAGAAGCTGTTTCTCGTGGTGCTCGTCTTCTTCGCGGTGGTAAGCGTTTCCATCATCCCAAGCACAAGCATGGCCAATACTTTGAACCTACTTTGCTTGTGGATGTCACCCCTGACATGGACATTGCCAACAATGAGGTCTTTGGCCCCATCATGGTGATTATGAAGCACAATGGTCCTGAAGATGCTGTGCGTGTTGCTAATCTTTGTCCCTTTGGTCTTGGCTCATCTGTCTTCTCTGCTGATAAAGCGCTTGCTGAAAAGATGTGCTTGCAACTCAAGACGGGTATGGCTAACGTGAATGATTTTGCTGTCAACTATCTCTGTCAAGGTCTTCCTTTTGGTGGTGTCGGTATCAGTGGTTATGGCCGTTTCTCTGGTATTGAAGGCCTTCGTGGTTTATGTAACCCCAAGGCTGTCACCACGGATAGAATTCCTGGCGTCAAGACCCCTATTCCTCCCATCTTGGATTACCCTGTCAAGAGTGGTGCTAATGGCTGGACCTTTGTCAAGTCTCTTAACCATTTGGTTTATAACCCTGAAGTACCCGCTAAACTTAAGGCTGGCCTTGATCTTGCCAAAGCAAGCATGTAAAGAAGAAACTTCTGCTTGTCAGGAACTCAAAATTAATACAGTAATCATAAAGCATTTTAATTCATGAAATCAGAATAGACTCGACGACACACATGTAATTTTATTCTCAAAAAGTGTGTGTGTGTAGGTGTAGGTGTATGTGTGTATATATATAAGTTAGTAAGAGAGAGACAGAGAGTGAGAGAGAGAGAGAGAGAGAGAGAGAGAGAGGAAGAGAGGGAAACGGAAGAGAATCAACAAAAGAAAAAGTATGCTGGAATAATCAAAAAGGTGGGGCACGATGAGTTGACGATGACGGTAGTAAAGAGGAACAAGGTGAAAACGAGGATAGGGGTAGTGGTTGTGATTGTGCTTCTTGATAGAAAGAGCTGGTGTTATCAGCGATACCCAAGGAGCTTGGTGAGAAGCGTTCCTGTGTGTCGTTGAGGTAGGAAGATCGAGGCAAATCTTTTACAAACGGATGATTGCGTTGGCAAAGAACATAATAGACGTCCAGTAGACAGTATGCGTCGCAAGCACCGTAAATGATCTGCTCTTCAGTAAGAGGACGCTTTTCCCAGTTGCTCAGCTGCTGGCGTTTGTTCAAGGACACATTGAGAAATGAATTAACCACACCTGCCAGACCACCGGCAACGGCTTTACCACCCAATGTTTTGATATTTTTAAAGTCAACCAACTCTTCGATCTTCCATTGCTGGGATGAAGGCATAGACTGGTGCAGTAGGTCTAAATCACCAGAAAAGTCGAATGCTAAAAAAAAAAAAGAAATCAATCGCCCAATGTTAGGTTGACAAGGATCCGGTGCGAGCCACACATTCTCCATTCTTACCTAATTTAACCGTGTTTTCATCTTCAAATAAACGACGCAAGATTTCTTCAGTCAAATGATACAAGCGAGCATGTTGCGGCTCAAAAATGGTCTTGAGATCCACCAAAAACACATAGCCATCAATATCGGAAGCAATTTGCATAAGCGCCGTCTTTACAAATCCAGTTTTGGCAAATGTAGGTACCCATTCCGTATCCAGACCACAGACCGTTGTACTTGCAAGGATGCCTTTCATTTGCAGCAGTGTTGCCTCAGAATCCACCAGGACACGCTTGACATGGGGCGATAATCGGTAAAAGTTTTCAGGCTGTGTCTTGACCGGCTTCTTGCGAGAAAATTGGGTGCGATGACGGGAAAGTTGTTCTCCTTTGACAACACCCAGAAGCCGTTGATTCAGTGGTAGAGCATTGTAGCGGCAGTAGAATTCTTGCTGTTTGTACAATGAAGCAAAATAAGGCGGGGCCACCACATCACCCGTGTCAATCAGTTCCTTGATAGCCAGACGAGCCAAGACAGGATCATCTTGGCAGACGAGGTCAATCAAGCCATTAAAGTTGGAACTAGCATCAATGGAGGTGTCGTCATCTTCAAGCTGCTGAATTGCCCTTTGAGCAAGAATGTAACGCAAACAAGCGTAGCGTTGTGAGAGCAGTATAAAGTAGTAGTCATCGCCTGATTGGATATCCAGCTCCTTCATGATCTTTGCGCCGCAATTAACCAAGTCTTTCTGGAATTTACGTTCCTTCAATCTGGATAATTGATGTGTCTTATCCGTGCCATCAAACAGATCCTTCAAGTAGATTTGGGGTACAACATCGAGATTACCAGCATAATTGAACCGAAGTTGTTTATTGATAAAAGACAGCAATTGCTTTTGAAGATCAGGGTGATCCGCATAGAGTGAAGGGAGACACATGCCATGACCTGCAGTGAAGAAATGATCTGCAGTGGTATCGGGTGGGAATCGAGAGAACAATGCGAGTTTACGAATGGTGGCAACTGCTTCATCGTAGTAGGCATGCTTCATCAGAGAACGGCATAGTTTCAATCCATCGTCCTCTAATTCACAGCCAGAAGCAATCAATGCGGGGAGGTCAAAGACATCCATGGCATAATAGACAACAACTGGCGATGGTATCGTTTCAATCGTTTGAACGAGTTTCAATTGGTGATCACGAGTTAGGGTATATCGATCAAACACATCAGCTGGCATACCGAGCATGTCTGCCAGAGTGATGACATGTTCTTCTTCCTCTTCTTTATCCTCATCCTCATCCTCATCCTCATCCTCATCCTCATATTGATCGTTGACGGTATGTTGCTGCTGGTCGTGTTGATCCACATCGTCAAATGATATCAAATCAACATCCTCGCTCTGCTTTTCGTCATGATCATCAGCAAATGAAATCAAATCCACTTCTTCTGTCTGCTGTGGTTGCTGCTCTGGCGCAAGTCTTGCCTTGCACTGTTCAATCTTTTGTTCAAGAGGTGTATTCAAGAACTTGGCGAGTGCACTGCAGAGGTTGGTTGCCAGCAATCGTCTGAATTTACTGGTCAAATCCTTGTTCTTGGGGTTGTCGGCAAAGTAATTGGACAATGTCACCAAGGTATTCTATAGCAATGTATAAAAACACATGTTAATTTACAAAACATAGAAGCACGGGATCGAGTCATTTACAAGAATAAAATCACAGGGATCATTGCAATAGTGGAGGTAGTCTTTGAGCCTTGATTCAATCACGGATCCAGTTTCAATCTCGCGGATACGAATGTAGATTTCAACGTTCTTGTACACATTGACAAGTCGGTTGACCAAGCATGCGTCGTCCATGTTTTTGCAAATGTCCACCAGTTCTTCGTTGGAGATGTGAGTTGACGAGGGTACGAATGCCAGCACAGGTGCGACGGGCGTGTTGTTTGTTTCGCTTTGGGCTGGGAATGCTGTTGTTGCTGTTGTTGTTAATAATGTGGGTTTTGTCGAGGAGGCAGCAGCAGCAGCCGCAGGTTGAAAAGGTTTTGCAGAAGCCGGTAAATAGGCTTTTGCTATACGAAATGAAGCAGCGGATAGAGTAGGCCTGCTTCTGCCATGAGCGTTATGCTTTTGGTGTGGCACATGTTGTGTTGACTTTAGTTTTTGCTTTGAGTCGCTAATAGCACCAATAACCCACTCTTCCTCGGAGGAATCAGACTCCAAGTCTTCAGTGAGACTAGCCATATTCTTTGGAATAAAAGGGGAGGAGGGGGGGAAGGGGCAATGTTCAAAAAAGTAAGAAGGGAAAAAGGAAATGAAGGGAAAAATTTTCGAACAGGATATATAAATTTCAGTGTCCTTTTTGGTCAACATGTGTGCAAAATGTAACATAACCATGATGTGAGCCAATCAATGGGATGAATGATTTCTTTATTATCAAAATGACTTTTTAAGGTATGATAATAGAAAACAGGGAGTAGAAGAGGGGAGAGAATATAGCATACCGAGTACGACGAATGCAGTGCTCACAGAAAGGACGTAATGTTGTAATCTCGTCTGAAATGAGCATTTCTTTCTCTAGGGGGGAGCAACAATTTCATTGATGCAACTAGCTTCGTTATGGAGCTTAAGCAACATATGAAAGTGTAAGCATCAAATGTGAGCTACTGCAAGTCGAGCTCGTAAAAATAGCATCATTTTTTAACAGAATCGAGTGGCCAGATCATCATTCAGTCAGGGCAACGGCCTCTTCTTTCGGGACATCAAACCATGTCAATGCCAAACTTGAACCATATGTACATTTCTGTTGTGCAACAACAAAAAAAAAAAGAAGGGTAATATAGACTTGCTTTATTTGCTTATTGAAGAAGGAACCTTCTTGTCATAATCATCTAATCTCGAAGCCAATCTCTGAAAGAATCGCGTGGATATACTAGGTCCATCACCACGCGAGGCAGACAATGCGTTTGTTGCTGCAGAAGCGCCACCCGATGTAGCAGCAAAAGCACCTCTTGGCGGAATACCTCTGGTGATGAAGTTGCCTCCAATGCCTAGCCCTGTTTCAGATCCAAATCCACCAAATCCAGTCAAGAAGCTCGCTGGCCTCAATACGGGGGCCTTGGGTTCTTCTTCTACTACGCCTGCATTTGACGGCGATGGTGATGATGCTTGCGATGTGTGTGCGTGGTGGCTATGCTGATGATTTATATTATTTATAGTATTAGATGTATTAGATATATTAGATGTATGATTGTTGGTGGTAGTGGTATGAATAGTGTGGGATGCATGTGGATTTAAATTATGTGCTGTATTTGCTACTGCTGCAACTGCTGCAGCTGCAGTGGTGTGTATCATTTCCTTCTTCATGACAGTGGACAGGATGGAAGAGTTGGTGGATGAACTGGTGCTGGTAGATAAACTGGCTAATCCAGCGTTCTCTCGTTCCGATACAAGGTACTTTAGTCCTTCTTGCAACTTCTTCTTGTCTGTATTGTTTGAATCTGCTGTAATGATGCGATGGCGGATTTCGTTCCTTAGGTTCAGATTGCGTTCGATTTCTTTTTGCATTTCTTGTCTGAATTCTGCAGAAAATACAGGCCCCTGTGTGCCGGCCATCACATACAAAGTCAATATATATATATGTGTGTGTGTGTGTGATGCGTAATGACATTTGTAGGCTACTACGTACCTTTGTAATTTCAGTTTCCTTGGTGCCATCCTGTGATGAGACAGAAAATGAATTAAAGCCGCTGTGTTGGCTCATGCTGGGGAAATCGTCTTCATCCAACAGTTTAGGCTCACTCAGACTATGAATTGTGTCTTGCGCTTGCTCCAATCGAGCTGCATATTCTTGTGCCTGAATCACCATGGCAGCCAGCTTTTCCTCGCATTCAATCTGTTGATTTTCGAGTTCAGCAATACGTGCTCGCAATTGCTCGTTTTCAGAAACAACCTGTATCTTACTGTGAGTATTATAGTCTTATACGCCATATCTGCATTAGATGCTTTACCCTGGACAGATCCATTTGAATATTTTTGACCAAATGCGAGGTATTCGAGCTCGATTGCTTCTGTGAAGTAAGCGCTTTATCCAACAGAGCTTGCAAATTTGTATTCACATCCCTGGTTGCCGCTAGTTTCTGCTCCACTTCTGCCAGCCTCTTTGCATAAACACTCACTTTTGAACGAGAATCCACCATCTCTGATGCCATATCGTTCAGTTGAGCAGATAGACCATCCATTTCTCTTCTAAATTTCGTCAACTCTCTTCGCGCTTGATCTAATTCTTGCGTGAGGTAGATTTTTTCTTCTTCTTCTGAAAGCAATAAACCATCATTCGTTGCATTTACAGCATTGATGTCTTTCTTTGCGTCGTTGGCTCGTAATCTAAGTTCGTCTTGAAGCATCTTGTTCTCTCTTTCTAGATGTTCGAGCTATAAAAAAGTGTGAATCACAGTTGCCGTGGTAACCATCATCGTGGTACCTTGAGTTGTATGGCTTCATTTGTTTCAGAAATAACGAGACCAATTCTAGCTGCTACTTCTAAATCATTGGCAATGCTCTGTCTTTCTCTCTCTTTTCTTATGATAATCTGTCTCAGTGTCTCTATATCGTCTACTGCATACACTTCCTTGATGAAAGCAGGTTTGTCTAGACATAATAACCTTGTTACTATAGTGAAACACTGACGAGGCAAAGTATTTACCTTCTGGCGTAGTCCCAAGACGAGCTAAACAGGGTTCAAGTTCGTGCGGAAAATTACAAGACATTTAATCTAACAAAGATACAGGTTTTTTTCTCTTGTTTTTTTCGTATGATTTGTTTTATAATATATATATATTAGCAGTTGTAAATCTGTATATAAATAAAAAGGAAAAGAAAGGGAGGGGCAACAGAAGGCGGAGGATGATTTATCGCTGCAGTGTCTGTACACATCCAGCAACGCTTTGAATGCGGGACCTGTTTCCGCAACAGATGTTGTCCTTTCTTTTCCAGTAGTATATTTACCATACAAAATGAAGTGGCGTGTCTTAGTATTATTGATAGCAGGACTTGCCATGATCTACTTAATAAGCCTGTTACAAGATACTCCATATCCTCATCCTGTCATTATGCAAGCATTCGTACCAAAACGCACAAGATCCAACGAGCCATCTCAAGTGATACTTTCAGAACACGACGGCTATATCTACAGAACGCATATTCACTACGAAGCTGTATTAGATACTAACCGAGGATTTGTGCATGGTGTGGATTCTGTCAAGGTGAATGTGAATGGTATATATGTTGCATAGTATAAATTGAGCCAGAGCATCATCATTGATCAATGACGCTGTATAGGGCTGGTGATTCAAGCAAGAAAGAAGAAAGGCGACCTTTTGAAAGAAGAGCCTGAAGAAGGTTGGTATAGCATTGGGTTCATTGCATGTATCTCTCATATACTGATTGCGTTGTTCGATTGTTAGAGTGGGAAGATTGCTTTAGGCATTTGTTGTCTGGGCCAATCACTAAAGTATCAAAGAGCCCCGAAAACAGTGATTCTGTTCAATTTACAGTGCTATTCCATATACTCGAGAACGATACAGTGAAACACTTTGTGCGAGTCTATTACTTAGCAAATGACAATAGCGATGGAGCAGTCAGCTACGAATACAAGGAGATCTTGATGCCTGGCAACACAATGATCAATGCAATTTCGCTGGAGCAGGATTCGATATTATTTTCTCGGTAAGATAAATGCATGAATGTGATTTTAAACCATCTTTCTCATCTATTTTTCCAGTGATCCCGATGCATATAGATTTAGAATTGTTGCATTTCCTGATCATTTCACCAAGTCGCCTCATTCAGAAAAATCTTCGGTGATCACAACAACCGTCGGTCAAACAGGCGATCTTGTCAGAGCCTACCATCAACCTGGAGGAACGGAATCGCATGCCAATTTACTATGCAAATTGTATTCGCCAAAGTAAGTAAGATGCTACTTTTTTTTTTTTTTTTACAGGCAATGCATTAGCTGATCACCATGATTCAAGCATTGAAACGTACCGTGTATTCACGCTCGATATTCACAAAACCAAGAGTCTATTTCACACAAATGTCACAATTTCAGATGGTACAGCGCTCACATCTTCCGATAAAGGCACAAAGAAGGGCAAATGGATACTCAGGGACCATCTTAATACAAATGTGAGTGCGGATGACTTGGGAACATGGGCGTGAAAAGAGGAAACTGAGGTTATTGTGAGTAGGACAGTACTTTTGTCGATGAGAACCTAGAGTACATGGCATTTGTAGATGGAGCACATTTTCATCACGAGCGCACGTTGGTCAACATGCCCGTGCCTTCTATTTCTCGGTCAAAAGATTCAAAAACAATGGTGGTATCTCTCATTCGAAACGATTTTCAAACATTGGATTTTACAGACAACCTCAGTGCTCTGATGAATAACGAATATGAGCGAAAATATCTGTACAAAACTAGCGATGGCGACTATTTGCACGAATTTTATCACACCATGCAGGTACCTGATTCAGTGGAACCCAGTGACACGGCGTTTGATGCCACTGATATCCGCGGTGTGCAATTGAATGCCAACGGTACATTGCTCGCTGTATGGACAAAAGCCAACTCTGTCTATATCTATAAGCGAGGTTCAGGAGACCAAATTCAAAAGGCATGGGGCGATGTGGGTAGTATCTTTGAATCGAAACCGCTGACCGGCAGCCCACATCATTTAGAGAAGCCTCTAGAATGGATTTTGAGGATGGTGATTTCACCCACGGAAGGCCAAATTGGATCTATTGCGGTACGTTGTGTTTAGGGAAAACAGGCTGCGTGTGTATTTACCCCATGTTATTTGTATATAGCCTATTGGCGCCGCCATGTTCTGGAGTAGTGAAGGATCCAACTATCTCTGTATGTGTACCATTTTAAAGAAACCCAATGCAATGCTTGCAAGTTCACTTACATTGATATCTGTTGTAGCTGTGGGAATGAGGAATAGCATTGTAAATACTTATTTGATTGATGAGATGGAGGAACAAAAAGTCGTCAATTTCAGAAGCTTCATGAGAGACAAATGGGATCTATGGATGGGTGAGTGTACAGCATAGCATGCGTTTAGAGCGGTGAAACTAATATCGAGTTGACGGTAGTCATGTCGATGATTGTAACAATCTTTGTTGTCAATGAGTACAAGACATACCCTGTATGATAGCTAGAGAAAAGCAATATATTTGTACATACCCAATATCTTTTAATTTACACGTTGTATTGTATTCTGGATGCATAAATAAAAAAACACAGTGATCTACTCGTTGAAGCGAGTCCATGATCATATTGGTTTTGATATGAGCCCAGAACTGCCTGCTGCTGATCGAGAAGACACTCAAAAACATTGGTGACCTTGAAAGAAACGAAATCCCTCAAGAGAACTATGTGGTGATTGATCCTGGTAGGCGAGACATCCTCTTCTTTATGCGTGAAGACAGCACTACTGACGACCCGCAAATTTTTCGGTTCACAAAGCCTCTCCAAGTTAAGATGCGCAAGACTAGACGCTACCGCCACATGAATAAAGAGACCAAGCCTCAAGAGAGCACTGTTTCAAAAGCACAGATGATAAACTCAAACTCCTTGTAGTTGCCTCTTTATCAAGATTATTTGTGCAGACTCTAATAAACTATATACTATCTCTTTCTATTTTAGATACGTAATAAGCCGCCCTGACGAAAGGCATTGTATTCCAGGCATGGAATACAGATACTGGAACCGGGATGTCCCTGCCTGCATGAACATGATCTGTATTCTGCAAGCTCTGCGAGCCACTGGGAATCGCCCTCCTGAACTCCAACCACCTCGCCAACTAATCCAAATGGTACAGTAAGTTTACAATACTTATTCGTGTAGCTAATTGCTAACAAACACGTTTGCCTTAGGAACATCAAGACTGCTGTTATGTGCTACGCTAGTTTAACGGCCAGTATAGCTTCAGTAGAAGTTTGCAGTCTACTTAACATCATATACGTGTAATCTGGTATTAGTGGAACTAAAATAGTTAGTTAGCAATGCTGCCTTCATCGTATATCGCATCATGGCATCGTATAACCTTTTGTCTCAGCAACCGTAAAGGCACCTGATTTTTCACATTCATATAATGGCACCATGCCTAGTAGCTACTAGCACCATCTTAGTAGACAAAAGCTCGGATCAAGCCGTTGATAGTGACATGATAATAAAGTTCTTTTTTTTTACATCATACCAATCAAATATACAGATATTCACGTAAGCACTAGCCTCAACCTAATCTGAAAGAATTGAAACCCTTCGAAATTTCGTCATTTTACTACCAGTGTTGACAGATATAGGCATAAGTGTCAAAATGAAACCTTCTTCTTTTGTTAAAATGAACATTTTGTCAAGGAAGATTCTGCATGGACCAAAATGACTTCATGGGTGGATTTCATAAAAGTATGAATCAAGAAACGAAAATGCCAATTTTGTATAGTAATAGTAAAAATTAGCCGAGGTAATCGTTTTGTTTATTACAACAAGAAATGGAATGAAAGTAAACAAGTGCAGATAATAGAGAAAAGTAACAGTGAAATGAAGTTAATATACATACAAAGAAGATAATACAGAAAAAAGAGATAGTGAAAGACTAAAAGGACGGATTGCTAGTTATTTACATATGCATGATTGTTGTTGACTGGTGGTAATATAATGGATAAAGCTTAGATCTGACTAAGGAAAGTTTGGAGTGTTTGGTCGTCCCATATATCAGATGAGCAGGCATTATCAGTCATGGCAGCACCCTCATCAATCTTTGGTACAGATGGGTAATAGTTATTAGAAGGAGGAGAGAGGCTCAGAGATTGCATCCATTCTGTTAAAAAGACATGTGGTATGAGTACATTGACACTATAGTGGCTGTTTATTACATGGATACATTACCTCTTTCTTGATCTTCTTCGCCAATGCTCTTGCGCAATGTTGAGGGCTTTCTCATCATGAATTGATCATTCAAATACGATTGAGTCAGGTTCTCTGGAACAGAAGAAGCGAGACGATGGATACCCAATTGACCAACAGAGATGGAAGAATGTCGCACAGGTGGCGAGTAGGGAGCATATAAGCGGCTCTGTTGCTGTCTCTTTGGAGAATCAACAATGTTCATGTTTGCTAAGCGACGCTGAATGAGTGGGGATGTTGACAAAGCAGGAGAGGTAGTTGCAGGAATACCAGAGGCAGCAACTGCGGCGGCACCACCTCTACTCATGAGCAATTCATATTCTTCTTTGAGTCGATTCATCAACTCGGCCTTGCGACCAGTGGCAGAGAGGCCGCGCTCTCTCAACATTTCCTTCAGTTCAGCTACAGTAATATCATCAAAGTTGACCTTTTCCAACTTTTCATCCAGTTGACGACGATGGGTTTCAGCGTCCAATGGCTTGGCTGTGGTTGTATTTTGTGCACTGACTCTTTGGATCTGAATAGGAAGTGGCTTGGGAGCCGTTGACATTTGCTGTTGATGTTGTTGTTGTTGCATCTGTGTGACTTGAAACTGATTGTACATGCCATCTTGAACATGGGGTTTGAATTTTTGGAAATGAGGTGGTACAGAAGCAGATCTCTTCAAGCTAGAATGATGATGATTGTGATGGTAGTCGTGTTGCAATTGCTGCTGAGCTGCGGTAGTCGCCGTAGCATTTCCAGTAGTAGCTCTAGGCCATGCAAAATCGGAGTAGCTTGATGAGGAGTAATATTGATGTGGAGGTGAAACCAGATTGGAATCGGCTGAAGAAGAAGATTCGGGAGAGCGAGAAATAAACTCGTTCGCAAAATTGTGAAGCTGAATCAAAGCATTAGCATTTATATAGAAATGATTTTTTTTTGGAAAACCCACACGTACCATATCATATTGAGGTGATGAAGAAGATGATGCTGTTGCATCAAACTTTGTATTGGGCATGGCAATTGGAGAAGCACCATACAGATCGGTATTGCTGCTGTGATTTGAAATGACCATAGGCTGTGTTGTGTTGTAGTTATCAGGGTATCCCAACTGAGCATGATCTGGCTCAAATGGACTGATCAACAGATTCATATTGCCATCATCATCTCCCATCAAGGAAGAAAAGTGATGCATGTTATCTGCTGGAGGTGAGATGGAGGGATTATCGTAAAACATTTGGATTATTTGCTAGTTATTGAAATTTATGTAAAAAAAAGAAGAAAAAAAAAAAGGAATGACAAAGAATAAAAAAAAGGCCTTTTTATTTAAACAATTTCATCAAGAACATTCGAATGATACGGAGCTGTCATTGTATAATTCAAAGGCAGTGCTTTTTTCCAATTCGAATTCCGATCGTTTTTCTTCCTTTTTTTGGCTTAAATCCAATATTGTTTCTATGTCCGAAACCATATATGGAAGCATTTCCCGGCTCTAATTTGTATCCTTGACTACGGATGAAAGAATCTTGGCAAACTACAATAAGACTTCTTAGTAGTGTGTTAAACAATAACCCTTCTATTCAAAATGGAGTATACATCAAACAAAGAAAGGGTTGAGAAAGCTTTCTCCTTGAAGTCCCGTCCCTGACGTAATTGTAGAAACACTCGACGAAATAGGTTTTTCTTGTGTTTGAGAAACATAAAACTTAGCGATACTAGAATCCAGTTTTCTCAGAGATCAAGCGAAAAAAAAATAGAAAATAGGATGATACAATCAAAGCTTAGCTATTTAGATATAGAAGTTTTCTTTTGCTTTATCATGCTGTCTTAATTACTCCTAGCAGCTTCGTTTCTTACCCTTATTAATGCGAACAAGTTTATATGGTTACACTTGGCAAAGAAACTGGCCGGACATGATTTCCGCATTTGTTACTCTGTGCAATGTCCAAGAATACAAGGATCTCCGAATTAAAGGTGTAAAAAGGAAATAAAAAACTTGGAGAGATCGAGGCCTCAACTCCAGAAATGTTGACTCTCTATTTTAAGATTCGTATATGGATACTTATATGTGGAGTGAAGAATGGGTCTCGGTCAAGAAGTTACAATTCTTCGAAAAATAGTTTTAGATCCAATGTTTCTACATAGCATTTTCCATTCTCATTTCCTATGTCTGTATGATAGCCAATCAAGATCTCAATAATGAATCCGGGGCAATATTTTGGCAATAACTCGTATTTCCATTTAAAGAAGATGTCAAAAAGATCGCCCCCCTTTATCACGGCGGCTTTAGGGCACCAATGACCTAGCCTTTATTTGAAAAGCATTAGCTTATCAAAGTATCATCATACGTTTTTATTTAATACAAAGCTCTCTTTCGGCTGTCAATGCATTTTGGTATTGCGGGAAACATAGCTATTACCGAATTAATTTAAAAAAGGAGGGGTCAGATCAAGCGCAATTACCGTATTCCCACCATCAGAATAAAGTTCTTAATAATCATAATAATAGTGTGTACAAAATATTATAGATGTAAATACTAATGGAATCATGTGGTTGTTGTAACATCTTGAGGACCATCATAGATTCCTAATTTTACTACTTTTTTTTTTTTGTAAATGTTCATTGCTATTCAAAAGGAATGTTCTCTCCATCGCGATAACTCTCGGCCCTAATGCGTAAAAATCCCGCGCTCTTGTATACCAAAGTGATGTTCTTTTTTTACTGGTGTGCACACTTCTTACAGGAAACTGAGGTTCAATTATCAAGGAATGGCTGGACACTTCACAGAACGCTATTCTCAGATCCGGGCTGTTCAAGTATTGTTTGCGAATATATGAAAAAGAATATTAGGCACATACCCAACGCTTAGAATCACTAATTGCCTGTTAAATCATGGGTTGACAAGTTGGGAAACAAAGCGTGTCTTGTACCACACAGCTCAATATTGATGCGCAGTGCGTTGGTCATACTAATTGGAAAGTTTGTGGATTAAGCTATAGGCCAGAAGGTATCGCTGATGGATCGCTTGTGTGTGAATGTGCTAGAGTGTGTGTGTGTGTGTGTGAGTCTGATTTAAGACCTTTGGAAAGCTTAATTTTAATTCACTATTGACTGGTTCCCAAATCCATCTCTGTGCGCCCATCATACAATTCGGTAAAAGCAATGGACATTTATTTCACAGACCCTCGTATAAAAAAATTGATGTAACGTTAACCATGGCAGCATAACAACATGTCAAGACGAAAAAGAGCTTGACGCGTTTTGAGTACAACATGGATCCATTGTTTCATGGTCGAAAACAGCAGAACGGAAAGAAACTCTTTGGCTTAAATCTTTCTCCCACCATCAGGAATCTTGCCTTAAATTCATTACCGGTGTCTTGTTATACACTCTGATCCCTTCGGTTTCAGCTACTCTGCCTCAATTTTCTTTTAAAGAGAAGCACCAACAGCATTGAAGTCTTTGGGTGTATAATCATGGTTTAAGATTAATATTCATATCTTTGCTTATATAGAAAACATGTATCATGATGACCAACCTTTTATTTTTCAACCACAACGATAGTTACTCGGGACAAAACTATTGTTGAAAAAGAAAACTTCCCAGATAGCCTCGGATTTCACTGCGAACATCCATCAAAATAAGTAAAACCAAAATTATATAGGAGTAGTATATTTAGCAGCAAGCTACCGAGTAAAAAAAAATGGATTGCTGTTTCATGCAGTTGAAATGAATACGGGTCGTTTGAAATCCCATTTATAGTCCTATTAACCCGGCCTATGTTCTTCATATGGTGATCAACTGCGCATTGGCAGTGACACAAAATCAAGGCAGCTTTCATGTACTTGAGATTAATATTTGAAACATGTATTGATAACAAGTTATGGAGTACTATAACTCCCCTCCCCCTCCATTTTGAATTTTTATCATGAATATTTTTTTTTCAAGAACATCTAGTTTAGCTCCCCTGAAGTATCGGTAAGATATTAAGTGTCTTACCCAGCAGCGCACGTGTACATTATAATGTCTCAAATGTCTTGGAAATGAATTTGAGGAGATGAATAATAAGATTTCTCATATTTAAATAGACTTATATGATGATGATCATCGTCACCTTGCTGTAGCCTCTTCCGAAACTCAACTTTATCGTAAATGAGATGATCGGCTTGGCCCTTATTTTGCAGTTCATGAATAATCATCAAGTTTCATTGGTGATGGGAATTCCCATAGTTTTGGTTTGGCTAATATCGCAAAATTAAATATAGCTAAAAGGTTAAAAGAACCCAGATTGTTGATTGATGTAAAATCACTGATCACATGAGCGTTTATGCTTCAGATGGTTTTTTACCTTCGCCTCGCTTCGGTGAGAACCAACCTGCGCAGCGGCAGCTCGCACTACCGATTGCCCTTGCGTATCTTATCAAAATACTACTACTTTCATGTTGACCCCTCTACTTACACATGAAAACCCTTCATATTATCTATGGATCTGATTCTTATGTGATGCTCTCCATCCATATACACGTAGCTATTTCATATACGGGCAAGTGTCATACAGATAGTATCCCTTTTTAGTCAAGAGTGTGCCTAGTACAGCAAAATATGAGTGCACTTGAGCTGCGTTTTCTCGTGTTCAAGGCCGTTTTAGACTGTCAGAATAGCACCAAACAATTGTACTCGAGTAGTACTAACGTCCTGACACCTTTGCTCAACTTTTTGGGCCAAAAGAAAACATGGCAAAAAAATCGACCAAAAAGCATGAGGTACCCTTCATGGTTTTCATCGAAAATCAAACGATTGCGTTTTTCACCTTGATAACGAAGACTTTTACTATGGTATATCTTGAATCAAAATGTTTCTATCGATCTAACGTAACCCCTAAAATCATCTTTGTGGGACTTTGATATGTAAAATTTCGACATTTTGGCCAGACACCTCTTTTCATATTTTCGTAACTTACTCAATAAGTTTATCCAAAACATTTATATTACTTGGTACCATTGGACGCGCCTTGAAAAGCGCTCCAAGAACGCTTAATGAAGTGTAAGATGATCATCACATTTCCCATAGTCGAATTTGCAAAGTAAGTCGATTAAATTGTTTTCGGACAAAATCTGTCCAATCTGAAGCAAAAAGTAGGAAGCGGAGATTCAATTAATATTGGCTGGTAATGGATGCTGCTGGAAGCTCATAAGAAGAACTTTGCGAGATGAAAAAAATAGTAGGAATCAGACCGACTACTCTTTTTTTTTTCTTTAAAGCAGACCTTTATATGTGGCAATGCATATCAGCTTGGCTTACCATCGAAATCACTGTAATCCCAATCTTCCTTACTCTGAGCTTTATAGGTGCGTATTATAGCTTGTATTTTATGATGGTCATATTTTGAACTGGTAGTGAAGTGAGAGCAGGATTCAGTGTTGCATCTATTCATCTTAAGAAAAATCGCGAATTCCAACTTAATAGTGACATATCAGAAACGTATGTAAAACGATTCCCAATCTTAGCATGCCGCGCAAATGCTATCCAGGAGCAGTATTGTGCGTTGCTCATTACTGCTTTGCAAACATAAACTGTCCCAAGTTATTTTGGTCACTTTGACTTTGGCCAAACATGGAGGCATTCACTATATCTTTTTTAATAGACTCTGTAATTCGATCCTGTACTGTGGCGCATTGAGCATAAAACTATCAAAATTCCGCGTATTTGTAAGCTTTTAGCTCTGTTGCCTGTGATACCTTCTTGAACAACCTGGGTGACTACTTCGCATCCGCATTCAAAATGTAGTAATTGTCATTTTTTTTTGTTGTTGTTTTCAGAAACCTTTTTCACATATTGCCATGAGCCATTTATCAGACGAAGATGATGAGTTTTTATACGGAAATTCTGACGCATTGGACACCAAGAAGACGAAGAATCCATTGGATACCAAGACAAGTAGGTGATGCTATAGGGGAACTACGCGACTTCTATGCTTATTATTTGATGTATTTTTTTTTTTTTTGCAGATGATGATGTTGACGATCTGTATGATATATATGACGATGAAAACGATGCTAAGGAGTAAGCTCTATTGTTGCTACTAGATGTGAATCACTTGGCTAAACTGTCTTTTTTTTTTTATTGAACAGGGCTGAACAGTATGAGTGATTATGCGACATAGCCATGTGCACAATAGATCTAATTCAATTTTTGTGTAGAAAAGAGAAGGCCGAGACAAATGCAGCCGAACATACAAACAAGGCAGATGCTGATAGCGAAATGGTAGATACGACAGATGCAGGATCAGCAGCAGCGTCTGCGCAAGTAGATAAGGATGGCGATGAAAACAACGATCAAGAGGAAGAGGAAGACAGTGACGATGTAAGGGCACCAGAGCATGTTGCACTTTAGAGCTTCATTAATAAAGGTATAGGATCTAGAGATTATCCTGGAACCTGAGGAAGAACCTCAACAAGAGACCGAAACAGAGCAAGCACAAGGAGAGCAAGCTACCACAACAAACGAAACCAAAGATACACCTGTAAATATCAAACCCGGTCAACAAGGCAAACCTTCATCAGCGCCCACTACATCTACATCCACCGTCAACGCCACAGGAGCCAAAACATCACAGGGTGGAATCAACTTGGAAGCAGTAGGAGAATACAATGGTCAACCTATCACTGATGTCGATCTTGACAATGTAGAGGATAAACCCTGGCGTAAACCAGGTGCTGATATCACTGATTATTTCAACTATGGCTTCAATGAAATTACATGGCGATCTTACTGTGCAAAGCAAAAGATGTTGAGAGAGAACAAAAAGGTGTGTTAGTGTTGTGTTGCTATATTGATTTTTTTTTTTTTTTTGGTCTGACATGGATGCGGCACACTGTGTATAGATGATGGGAGATATGGATATAGGCGATTTCATGTCCATGAGTATGATGATGCCTCCTGGCATGATGGACGGTACAATGCCTGGTATGCCTGGCATGCCTCCAGGAATGCCCAACCCAATGATGGGCTTGCCAATGGGTATGCCTCCTCCACCTCAAGGCGGAAACCCCTCTATGAGAAACAACCGTGGCGGAGGAAATTTCAATGCAAGAGGTACAGGTAGAAATATGCCCATGAGCAATCGACCCAAGAACCCAGATGGCGGCAAAGATCGTGAAGGTGGCAGTGGTAGTGGCAATAACAATGACATGTAAGCAGTGGGATCATGCTTTCTTTTTGGTCAGTGTTGACATTGAAAATGATAGGATGGAAGGCAACATGACTATGGAAGATGGCAACATGTTTCCTATGGAGTTTCCTACAGGACCTGGTGGCATGCCCATGAACATGTTCCCTCCTGATATGCCTGGAGGGCCCATGGGTATGCCCTTTTTCAACCCAAATATGCCTGGTGTGCCTCCCATGGGATTCGATGGTGGTGATTTTAGAGGAAATGGTGGAAATAATCCAGGACGCCCCAACATGAGAGGTGGTGGACACATGAACAACAGATCTTCTATGCCTCGTAACGGAGGCCATGGTGGAAGTAATCAGTCGTCATCCTCTGCATCCAACTGGCGAAACTCGTCCTCTTCTGGAAGAGATCGAGACAGAGACAGCGGCCGTGATGGTGGTCGAGATGGCGGTCGTGATAGAGACGAAAGTCGAGATCGTGGCAGAGACAGTGGTCGTGATAGAGGAAGAGGAAGAGATCGTGATGAATCTGGTGATCATCGCTCAGACTCGTAAGTAACTGGCAGCTGACATGGATAACAAGACGATTAATATTTGTAGTAGACGGAAGAGACATCAAAGTGATAGAGACACATCCTTGCATGGTGATGATCGATACGAAAAAAGATCTCGTCGTTAAAAACCACTATTTTTTGCATCATAATAAATTTGTATTCATCATTTATTTCTTTATAAACCTCGCAATAACTCCAATTCTGCGTTCAGTTCGTCTTGGGCCTTTTGCTTGCCCTCGCTTTCATCATTGACTTCTCTAATGTCAATGAGGAAATCTCGAATATCATTTTGGAACCTTTGCAGATCTCCGCTGTATTCAAACATGCCCATGACGAGGACCTCGATCTGGTCTCTGTGTAGTAGTGGGAAAGCATTGCATAGCAAATCCAGCACATACTGTTGCAGGAATTCTACATTAGACATCAAAGGATTGGATACTTGATCTGGGTTGAACAGTCTAGTGTAAATCTCTCCCTCTTGCACCAATTCAAGCATTCGAGCAAGGATTTGGCTTTGATAATTAAATCCTAAGCAGCTTTCATTAGAAAAAGTCATCTACTAAGTCTAATGATGGCTTACCATTTCTACAGTCAGGATCTACCAGAACTTCCAATATGTCAGTAAGAATACGCACATAATAGGTCTCAAAGAACTGGCTGGAGACGTCTTCGTCCTCCATCTGTGACACTTCGCTGACCATATGAAGACAAGTTTGAAGTGCTATCTGTGAGATATCTCGAATGGTGTGCTTGGTGCCCCACATGATACTGTCCATGTTGACTTGGAATAGCTGCGATGATTGGAACAAGTCGATGAAGCATCTCTTGTTCAAGACTTTGAGGAGTCGATAGAATTCATGTCGACACTCTGGATAATCCACAAAGTTGGCAGTGATCATGGGTAACGTCGCTACAAATACAATATCAATGGTTTCCTTTAACAAATCAGGCCATATAGGGTCCTATATAGAAACATGAGCGTACGGATTTGTATACAGGAGCCTATTTCGTACCTGCATCTTCTCAAATAGACATGTCAGTAACCCCAATACATTGGGCTCCCTCGCTTCAGGCTTGGTTGAATTTTTATAGTCCATCAGAATCACTGTCAGTAAACTGGTCAGCATGGTTTGGTCTTGAATATCCAATCTGTCGTTGGATAGAATGAACGTCTCGAGTAGTTCTACGATGAGCTGTCTTGCTCGCAGATAAAGTTGCTCTTGTGGTCCTCGTGCTTGTATTTGTTGGCCGATGACTGTATAGCACTCCACGAGAATGGGTGTCAAATGCTGCAACTGCTCCCGAAAGATAGGTCCAACAGGTCTGCAAGCCACGATGTTGGCTTTGATCGTGTTGATAATCGTTTTCATTGAGCTTGTTGCATTGATGTTTGCCATTGACTGCTTGATCTACATGGCATATTTGGTAACAAGGTCAGAACACTCCCATGCTATTGCCTCGACTAACTACCATTTCATTGGGTATCTCCATGAGAGAGTGTATGTATCGACCCTGCAATTGCACGTCTGATGTTGCTGATATCATGGTGCCCACAGCTTCGTAAAGAATACATATCTGATCCGTGATTGAATGAGCTGCTGTATTTACAAACAAATGGCTATACAGTCTTACCTGATGTGAGTTTAATTGACTAGTCAACCGTTTCAGGTCAGTGAGCACTGTCTCCAGAACACAACCAGAGTATTCTCCACTCGCTAGCTGATGAGAAACCACCATTTCATCTTTACAGCCTTGACATATCTTTAAGAACGAATCACAAGCCATTTCTTTCAGGCCGTCTTGCTGACATTGCATGTATGAAAACACCCTTTGCAGTAACCAAGACGTGAATGTCCAAGTTGACTTGAGAAAGTGAGGATACTGGGTAGCAATATAAAGCATGCATGATGCTACAACCCACTGCTGGTCAAGATTGCCGGCCGTCTCTTCTTTTTGTAAAAGCTGATACAGATCTCCTGTCAACACAGTTTGAAGAAACTGGCTCTCTTGTTGTTCTGAGATGGCGCCAGACATCATACCAATAGCCCAACAGATACGAAATAGCTGATCCCATGACCAAATTGCACTTGCACCATCTAGTTGCAGTTGCTTGAGCTGTTCTCGAATCAAAGACTGAACATAGGTTGGATCTAAGGTTGTAAGCAAGCCAAACACATGACGCATGGATTTTGATAATGCAGTTGTATCGCTCTGTTTAATGAATTCTCGGCTGATTTCTCCTTCGTCGTTCTCAATGACAAATACGTCGTCTGGTTTTACCATGTTTTGAACCATGATGGAACACAGTTGCTTCAATATATCCTGATAAGGTGTTGTTTGTCCATGATTTGTATCTTGAAGTACATCATATGCCTGCAACAGTGTTTAGATCCCCAAGTTTGTCCATGCGTCGTCTAGGCAACTTACCAATTTTCCCCAATATTCAAGGCAAATCTTCCACACTTCTCGCTCGGGCACTTGGGAGATCTTTAGCAAGACAAACAGCATTTCATGTACACTCGTTTCTCCGCCGTTCAATCCCTCAATGAGTAATCTGTACTTTGAGAGCATAGTTGTCAAGAAAGTCGCCAGCACTTGTATGAAATCCTGATCGTAGCTGTCTGATTCAATATATTGCTGAGCTATGTCTGATTCTTTCGAGATAGTATTGGCAATTTCTGAGCAAACGGTCGTATAGATACTGAATATAATGTCACTGTATTGCTGGCTGTCAACATGATCCAAACTAATGATTTCTGCAAAGCATTGAAGGGCCAGATTTCTTTGGTCTCCTTTGATCTATACAATTTAAAGATTCAGTCGTCAAATCCATAGCTGTGCAGTTCTTAATTTGTAGTACATTTGCTTGCAGTAGCTGGACTAGATCCTGTTGGTATACAAATTGTACGGGAATCCAGCATATAAACTTCTGCAGTGTTTCCAAAGTCGCCTTGGTCAAGTGTGCGTTTGTATCCTTTTGAGCCAGTATCGTCTTGCATAAATCGAATATAGATCCAAATTCATTTACCATCTGATCTTTCAGCTTGTGCATTTTAGCCACTGTCATATGGTCTACAGAAAAGTCAAACACCTCTTCGCTAATTGCATTGTCAATCATATATACGTTACTGCAATTTGAGGCGCTCTAACATACCTTAAATATCTCAAGATCTTCATATTATTTTCGCATAGATGCACATTAGATACACTGGAGTCTACTATCTCTTGAATGAAGGATGGCCAGTACTGTGGCCAATCTTTCTTGACAATCTGAACCAACACAAGATCAAATTTGTTCAAAACGGCAGATCTAAGCGTCGTTTCATTTGATGACAGCTGGATGATTGCTTTGACAATGTAGTCTCGCATCACTGAAATAATAGCATGTAAGCCTGTGCGTTTGTTCGTACGATATAAATCATACCAACTCTCTGCTCTATAGGGATCGTGTTCCAGCGCACTTTAATAAAGTCTTCCAACACACCAAGTGCAATAAACTGAAATTTTGCATTAGATCACCCACGCTATCAGTACCACGCGTGGTACGTGGTTCCGTTATGCGTACCTTGGACTGTAGACAGTTGGATTGCTCAAGAATCTTATCCACCAACTGCCATGATGATGCATCGCTTTGAAACTCTGTCAGTACCGTTTGTGCTTTTTGTCTCTGTTGTGAATAAAGCTATTTAAGCAACTGACATCACCATGTTGTTCGTTTGTTCTACCTCGGTGCTGTTCTTTCCCTCATAAAATGCTTGCACTATGGTATCGAACTCTTTGACATTGAAAGGTATCTATTTGTCGTCTTTAGTCAATTCTATTGCAATGCTGTATTACACCAGTAAAACTTTACACTCATCATTGGATATGTAGTCAGAAAAAGGCAAGGCAGAAAAGAAGGGAGTTTAGAAAGTTCCTTTGCTTCAACTCAACACTTCATATCAGCTTGGCCGGGGGTGGGCTATGAAATAGGCTTTTTTTCCTTTTTGTATTCCTTAAATTCAATCAAGATAAAATGTCAAACGAAAATCAAGACGACAAATTTGTTTTTAACAAGCACAGTAACTCACCTGATACTCAACCTCATCAGCATCGCTGTAATGGTCATCTTGAAGACGTTTTAGAAGGCCTGTCCCAATGGCCCATGGATGTATCAAAGCCTTTTGGCTTATTCTTGTCTTGTTTGAAATCTCAACCTGGTAAAATTTAGACACTCTCCATCAAGTGATATATATATATATATATATATATAGACATACTAACCCTCTGTGATTCAGGTCAAGAACCTGTTCGATACAAGTTTACAAAGCAAGACGAGGACAAAAAACAATAGACGATCAGCATTACTACTCCATCCAAATCACATTGTAAATAACAACCCTAGAAGATCTTATTTATCTAATGCTACACGGAAAACTTGTATCTATACCAACCAATTACGACAATTAATAAAGATTAAACAACTTTGACTTGCGTTACAATCACTGTTTATGATACTGGTTAAGGCGTATTGGCATTGATCCAAAAAGACTTGATGTGTATTTCAATAAGACATTGCGCTGCGCTATGGATTGTTCATAATCACACATGAGTGTGCAGTGAGCTTTCAGCTGATTATCCACTGTAATTGACTTGTATATAGCGAAGGTGATCCTTAGGATAAATGTGTGAGGGTTTGGACAATGCATAATGCTGATGTCAAGTAGCAAGTGTTATTCCTCGACCTTGTATCGTTTCTGGTATTATCATATATCCAGATAGACAGGAGTACTATATCTAGAGTGTAGAAATTTGGTGGTAGAGTAGATTAAAACGAGGGCAGTATTGGCCGTGCTTGTGGATAATAGCGGTATGATTGTCAATCTAATGAGCACTTCCTGTAGCCGCAGACAATTATTGAAGATAATAGGCAATCCTGTCTATATTCGACTGCCACACTCTGGAGTATTATGATGTACCTGACAGCCTATCTCTGTCTTTAAATATACATTTGGGATCTTGCTTCGGTGACTAAGGAAGTAGCAATAATCAAGTTAAAGAAACCTTTTAAACAGATGCCTTTTTTCTTCCAAGAATCATTGCGCTGCTACGAGAAAAGATGGTTGCTAAGGTTTTATAAAATACCTCATTATTAAGCAGCCTACCAATATAGAACATTGTAACTCTAGATATCAAATAGAATTATAACTACTGATAAGGATCTATCATTCATATCAATTATGTAAAGCTTGTTTTACTACCTTAGAAATGAAAAATACAAGCCCTTATTTTCTGACTTCGATATCGGAGTTTTTGGTTTGAAACCCAGATTCTGCCCTTTAAACGATGGAGCAATTGAAATTTGCGTAGGTAGTAGTAGTCTGTTTGTTGAGAAAGTGTAATTTTAGAAAATAGTATAATTTTGAATAGAAGCTGCTAGTAAAAGTTTTTAAATTATTATATGAATGTGGGATGTATGTGTAGTAAAAGTTGTAGAGGGTATTTAGTTTGACTAGGGAATGATTGACATTGAGTTATTAAGAACGATGTCGATGAGTAATGAGGGAAAATGTTCAAAATGATCGATTTTCAAAGGGCCATACCGCTAGATTTTACTAAGTGAACGAGAGCTTCAAGCTTAATAATATAGCTTCTGTTTGTTTTTCAATTTTCTATACGATGGTATGGTTTTTATACAGAAACAATAAAAGTTTTGAAAATCCTCTGCTTATAGCTCATAAAATATATGATTTTGAGCAAATTTATGAAGGAAACGTACATCTGGTACTTAAAACCCTTATATTATAACGGATATAATGTAGAGCTATCGAATGGTCTTTGCTTTGTGCGAATCCAGTGAGTACTTGTCGAGATATGGTCAAAAAAGGGTATCATGCAAAATCATGGATTTTTCTTCAAAATCTGCCTGTGATAGCAAGTGAAAAAAATTGGGTGGCCTCCTTTTGGTTAGGACAATATTGTCAATATTTCATGATAGAGTCATGCCAGAACTTCTAGCAATAGCTCATTCGATAGGAAATTTTTCGGTCTACAATGTTTAGTAATGCTCAACAAATTGTTTTGATGGCAGATAGTGATTAATCTTTAGAAAACAGTCAGAAAATTGCAAAAACAATCGTACCAGATATTAGGTGGACAATGTGCACCAGAGACTTGACATGAGTACCATTGTATTCTCCTTTGAATTCTCTATAAGTTTCATATAAGTTTGAAGGGGTGATTACTATCAAGAAACGCGTACTTTTAAGGTCGATAGATTTCGGAATCCCATGGATCATCATTCAGAATATTCGAAATTGAATCTCCGTTAGCCTTCGCATGTGTACACCACATAAGTATGAATTTGACCGAGCATTCTAAAAATCAGAGCGTATGAAAATGGCCATATTAACTTGCTGGTTTCAAGTTATCAATAGATACTTGACATGTTGAAGAATCTTGCTGTTAAGACTAGACAACTGTAGCTTGCTTTGTTCGATAATAATAACTTTTCCAATTTAAAGCATGTATATTCCTCTGCTTAAAAATAGCATCCCTAATGTCAATTATATCATGAAGCAGGCATTTCCAGTATAATGTTCCCACTTAGAAGTTGCTCCAGCATCATCACTCTAAATCATATTTCAGCTTTACATGATTCTATTTTTTTTTTTTTTACCTCTGAGGACCTGGATGTACAAAATGTTTTTTTGATTTTGAGGCTTTCAACTTTTGGACGATTGAAAATCAATTTTCCAAATATTGATGCTAGAGCCTTGAGACTAGCATGTTCCTATACCAGTTTTTTGTCCTTTAAACGATGAAGCAATTGAAATTTGCGTAGGTAGTCTGGTTGTTAAGAAAAGTGTAATTTTAGAAAATAGTTAGCTTCAGCATAATAAATGCCGAGAGAAAGTGTACAGACGTATTTATATATAGAGAAGTGTTGTGACATCAAAGGAGATAAGTTTATCAAAAGACACAGTCTACAAGTGCAATGAGGCCAACTATAGCCTTATTAGTGCCCCCCTTTGATCTAATTGCTACTGAATGTTGCAGTATATTATGTTGAGCTGGATTATCATTATAGAGGGATTAATGACCAACCAAATATCTCCAGCTTGGATACTAATATAAGTAGCTTGAATTTGCTTTCCTGAAAATTGAATAAAAAACTTTTAAAATAACCGCTGACTACTATCATAAATGATTTCAGACATGTATGATAAAATCATACCAAGCTCTTTCCATTGTTGTAAATCTGAAGAGTACGTGAGAATGGATGTAGGTTTATGATGTATCATTTCTAAACCGGATCTCCAAATGCGTAGAAACAAGCAGTTCAAGTACCGATCATATTAGATCATAAACCTTGACCTGAAACAGGATTTAGTTACGATCCATATCATGGCATGTTCAGGATAATAGATTGGATCTATTATTCTATCACCCAAATCAACCCATCTAATACCTTATCCTCACACCAAATCCCTCAATTCGAATAGTATATAAACCCTCTTATTTTCAATGTAATAAACGATACTCTTTACCTGATTAATTTCCTGCTCCCTTTTATAGATAATTAATTTCTGATAAATCAGTTTATTTTCAATAAAAGTTAGAAGAGGAAAGGGAAGAGTGAATGTCTACTGCTATTTATATGTATGATTTATGGATTGCTTACGCACCCGTCTAGAATGGTGTTCTCATGCTAAGTTTTAGTGTCAATCCTCACTTATGCTAAATGGTAATTATTTCAGATAATATAGATGATCAGCCTAAATATCTTTAGTTGCTCTTGGCAACGTTAATTACTTACATTCCTTATCTGCTATCTTTTGACGTATAGAGAATAGCTTACTGAAACTTAGCTTATGTGAATATCATGGTTATCGTTTACATGTTGATACAGTTTATTTACATATGCTCCATATATGCATAGTTTATTACTGAATTCAATCTACGATATTATGATTCAGGAACACTTATATGTGTGAATACAACATCCATGTTTAAGCAAAACTTCAATTTGTGATATACAGTTAACATCTGATAAGAGACGCTATACTTCAAACTTATTTTATAGATCTTATATATATATATATATATGAACTCTGTTTTCGCTCGTATCTCCCAAAGAAAAGGCAGAAGAAAGGTAAATTGCTTAAATTTTTTTTAGTGCAATACTGATATAAAAATACAAAATATACAATAGACATCAAATGCCTCTGTAGCTCAGTGGTAGAGCGTTGGTCTTGTAAACCAAAGGTCTGTTGTTCAATCCAGCACCGAGGCATCATTTTTACATTTTTTGAAGAATGTAGTGTTTGTAGACATCTTTGCCATTTCTTTGGCAAGTATGGAGTTAAGCAATATTCAAGTATATTTAGTGATTTCTCTCTGAAAATATATTAGATTTATCTGATTATTCAGGCATATGATAAGTGCCTATCAAGTAGCAAGAGTCCTACCAGTTCTTAATCTACACGTGGGTTGTTTGAAGAAAGTACGTTATAGTACCAGGTAATACAGCACTCGTCGCTTGCTCATTACAGTTGTGATGAACAGGTGCAGAGCATTCCGTAGTATATCAATTACTAGAGTGTAATAAACGCAACTAAACTTTATGTTAATCCAACCTATATGCTGATGTGTCTCTATCGTAACCAAACTGTCGTCGTATCTGGAGTATATTCATTACTATCAACTCCTACTATCCTCGTTCAAGCTAAAGGCGACATCAAAATTTAGATGATTAAATGCGTGCTAATAGTAGATTAATCATCTTCTATGCAGTCATGGCACTGTAAAAAATAGTCCATTGATACGTTTATTGAAGCCAAGTAGAAGTAGACATACAGTAAGATTGCTGATATTATCTCCTTGTCTGCTACGACCAATATCCCTCCACTGAGCTATGACGCCTACTAATGTCTATTCTATTCTTTTCAGAAGCATAAAGATACAGCAACAAGAAAAAAAAATCACACTGATCGCGTAGAACCAAGGCGTGAGCTTCACTCACATCTCGATTCAAAAAGAAAAGATGTGCAAATATATCTCTGTGGCATCCTAAAGTAAAAGTTCTTTTTAATGCAAGCAAGTCTTAAGCTATTAGCTAGCAGCAGGGCACGTATTGAACGCAACAAAAGCCGTATATATTATTGGTAAATTTGAAAGCAAAAATAGTAGTAGAGAATGTTCCTTGAAAACAATTAAGAGTCGTCTAAAGATAACTGTTCAGGAGTTTACGATAAACGCATCATGAGGTCAAATATGACACATGAACCTGTCTCATTCAAGCTGCAGTTTCTGTTGAATCTACGAGTAATAGCCAATGTCATTTTTTACACATAAACACCACTCCATGCTGTGCTGTACAATGTTGGCAAATCTTTTAGACTAGCGTTGTTGTGCTGGTCTAAAACAGCATCGCAAGAGATACAATTGATATTTAAAGGGGACGCCTCAAGAAATCAATCAAGCTGTATCATTACAAATAGCAGTTTATAATTATCAAACGTCTATGCTTGTTTCTTTTAATTTATTATTTACAATTTTTGCACACGTCTATCAATTTCATCTGACAGCTGAGAGGCAGACAAGCTCCAACTACTGATCATGGCTTTTACATGATTTTGCATTAGGTTTTGCATATCACGGGACTTGAGACAGGCCAACGTATCCTCTGAATCAGAAATTTCTTTGCAAATCTTCTTTTGCAGTTGGCCACGGAACAATTCTTTGCCATTTCTAGCAATGGTTTGGATATTTTGCAATGATTTCTTGATGGATGCTTGAAGATCCACAAAGCTGGCCATCTAATATTTCTAGAATTGAATACAAGGTTTGATCGTATGAAAGCATGCACTTACGAGGGGATCCGTCTTGGCCTTTTCAGCGGCCTTTCTTTTGGCATCCTTACTGTTCAATCCCAAAGAACGGTTCATCATTTCAGTCAAAATGGTTCCATAGTTGAATGTCTATGATAGCAAGGGTTAGTAACGCTTTTTTATTTTCTGTACATCCAATGAAACAGTTACCTCCAAGCAGTTGGATAGCTGATGGAATGTATTCCAAGAAAGAGTTTCTTCAGAAAAGGCATCTACCTTGCTGACTATAATATCAATAACACGTTAATAAACGCCCTAAACATATCCAACTAGGCATTTACCTTGATTGTCCAAGATATCAATAGCATTTCTTAGGGATGAAGAAGCATCCTTTGAAGCTTTCATGAGCACCAACGCGTTCGACAAATCAGCAATGTAGCGAGCCAACCAATATTCAGGTTCAGTGATTTGCTCCTTGATATTCTCGCGTTCCAGCAATGTCTCGAATCCAGTGACAACAGCAGCTAAATCTCTTCCACTTTCTTTAGTCTCACTGACAATACTCAAGATGTTGAGGATATAAGAGACAACCTGCACCCATACAGCGTTGGTACTAGTACAAGGCTTGCATTTTTCCTCAGCAGCTGGCTTGTTCTGAGCATTGCAATTCAAAAAAACATTAAAGTCGCGGTTATCAGAACGAGCAGCAATGAAGGTGTCATTGTAAGCGATTTCAGACACATCCTGTTCCTGGAAAAATTGCACTGCATACTTGGTCTGGAAGGAAGAATGGATATAATCGAGACGCATGATTTCAGCTCTGGAAATAGCATGTTGCAAAGACGTATCTAAGCGACGACGGAATTCAATAAACTCCTGAATCTTGGAAAAGGTGCCATATTGATAGGCTTTGACCAGCATTTCAGGTGTCTATACAAATGTATTAGCATATCTGTGATTTCACCTGGTTACTTCTTTGATAAGCACCTCAACTTCATTGCTCTTGTAAATAGACAAGCCATCATGTAACAAGGACTCGAGTTGATCCACGCAACCAAGAGCAGCAAATCTATCTGTGAAATAATGGCTAGGGTAATTTTTTTTTTTTTTAGCATTTTTCCCCTCATCAACGATTACAAACACTTACAGCATGGTATCGAATTGAATTTGCTTGATCTCCATTGTTCTGTAAATCTCAAAGGGACGCTTAAAGACACCAATCATGGTATACATACGGACCAAGACCAATTTGATTTGAAAGTTGTGGATACTCTTGACAAGGGCAGTTTCCAAAAGACAGATGGCTTGCATCAAGAAGGAAACCTTTTGCTCTTGATGATACAAATCCAATAGTATATGACTTGCTAGAATGACAAATTCATCACCGTATTGCATTTCAGTCTTTTCTAATCCTTCGCCCAACGGCAATGCTTCTTGATATTCGTTCCACAATTCATTGACAATAGCGAGTGCCTTCTTTTTATCAGAGACATCATGAAGACCGAAGAAATGCTCCAATTTTCTGATATTGACGTTTTTGTGTACATTCTTAATCTTGCCTGCCTTTTCAGAGGCAGGTTGAATGGTTTGCTTGAGGCTTTCAATCAATACATGAGCCTTTTCAGCATCCAAAATCGATACATAAGACTGGAGATCTTCAAAAGCACAATTCTTGGATCCAAAGCGACCAAAGTAAGACAAAATGTGTTCCAAAATAACCTTTTCATCTATGCACAAGTCAAAAACCGCCCTGTAAAAAAGCAACAGTGCACCAACTCACCTCTCTTTCCCATCTTGTAAAGTCGAGAATCCAAGTCCAGTTCAGCCAGGAATGGGCCACGTTTCAACAACTTACTCTCCAATACAGTCTTTTGTGAATCAGCAACCAGCTTTTCAGCACGAGCAATAACGCCCTCTTGATCCATCAAAGCATCCATGGCTTCAAAATAAGCCAACCAATGGAACCAGTCATCTGCATTCTCCTTTTCCAATGCTTCTTGGCTCATTGCCAACGCCAAATCCCAGCGCTTATTTTCACGCAACAGTTCAGACTTGATTTGACGCACTTCGGGATCACGCAATGACTTTTGTCCAAGCGGTGTATCCAATAGCAAGTTAAGTGCTTGCTCATTCTTTTTCTGATCCATCAAGATGAGTAAATACAGGCGCATATGCTCCACTTCTTCTAGACGATTCTCTTCCATGGCTTTGGCCATCATTCGCTCGGCCAAAACATAACTCAATTGGTTACCACTGGATCCTTGCAAGGCTAAAGACATGATGGCCCAAAACAGATATTTGTTTTGCTTGAATACTCGATGCAATTTGACAGCAGCGGCTTGCTGTCCTTTGAAGTCGTTGTTGCGCACCATGGCCATGAACCAGTGGTTTCCAAACTCTTCATTTTTGGGTTGTTGATTAGCAGCATTTTCGTACAACTCGACAATGACCGAATCTACACGATGTCAATGAGTGAAAAACTATCTTGCATTTGCCACATCAGGCAACTCACGTTTTCCAAGTTCTTTCAACGCCATGGTTACTGCTTGCAATGTAGCTTCATCTGTGGGAATCACCTTTTTGACTTGCTCACATAGTTCAAAAGCTTCATCATCTTTGCCTGTACGAACAAACACAAGCGCCTTCAGAGCCTATTATTGTATATGCTGTGAGCCCATTTTCGTGTGTAGGTATTCTGAATGCAAGTAATTACATACCTTGGCCAAGGGCCAGTCGGGACTCTTTTTCAACAACTTGGTACAATGTTGAAGAGCCAGTTTGTTTTGCCCTTCATCCAGTGCCTCTGCGCAATGTTGTCAGTATTCTCCATCTGTCTAACCCAAACCATTCAATATTTACCATAAAGAGGCCTCAGCTTCTTCTCTGTAGCATAATCCATGGATGACATTTTGTAATATGCAATGATAAACGCGACGATGAGTGAAATGTAGAACATTTCGATGAAAAATACTTTTGATGTTGAGTTTTAATCAAATGTGTTTGGTCTCAAAAGCCACTGTTGGTGGATGAGCAGCGTTGATCGAGCTTAACATTGACTGCAATCAGTAAATTCTGAATCTCATTTAAATGAAAAAAAGATATTTGTAGCTAAATTCGCCTGGAAAAAGCTGGACATTGACACAAAGTTTTCATCATTGTGCATAATTTTCAATCAACATTTACATCTTAACTATACAGTGACTCTTGGAAATGTTTGATCTCCCGATGTTCATGTCAATCACATGTATGCATTGTTTGATAGACACTGCAAGTTGATGCTAAATGCTTCTTGGGCGAACAATCTATGTATACCTTCTAGTTGCACGCTAGTTTATATAAAGGCAGTTTCAGCCAAGTCAGGGCGCCCTCTAGGTAAAGCAAAATACCAACAGAACCGTCATTGCTGCCCATCATGAACTCAAATTTACATGCTGATGCCGCAGACACTTGAATCGCATCTTTCTGATATAATTGCACTCAAACATCAAACCGCTCGCGTTGAGGGGTTCTTTACAGAGAAGGTGAAGCCTGATTCCAAATCAGGCACAGTAATTTGACGTCTCTACTCCGCTCAGGGGAAGAAAACTATTTTATGATGGACAGTTAATCTACAAAATGTCAATGACTTTATTGATATATAAGGGGTATGTGTGGGTAACTGGAGGTACTATCAATGGTAGCAAAGGAACCAGTAATATGAAATACAATAAGGGAGGGATACCGCTTATGAGGGAGGTGGAAAGTCAGAGGGTTTCTTGCCAGATTTACGCAAGATGCGTCGAGTAATTCTGGCAGTGCGATAGTCTTCTGCTTTGCTAATTGCAATATCCAACATGTTCATCAAGTTATGTTCCTCACAATATGCACGACATTTCATAGGAATATCGTCATCCTAATTTATACTCCTGTTAACATCACATTTAACCAGGCATCTTCAAAGAATGAGTACTTACTTGCGTAATAACCAAGTTTGGCTTGCCTAGGAACTGGAGAGTAATAGGCTTATGGCCAACTAACTGTCTGCTGTTGAGGATATCGGCTGGAGATTTGATGGTAGATGGCGGTGATGTTGTACGAGAGCGATCAGTAGCATCTTTAGTTGCAACACTTTCAGTCGGCTGTTGTTGTTGTTGTTGTTGTTGCTGTTCAGATTGAACCTCGGGCTGTTGAGTCTGTAAGGGCACTAGGGGTGATTGCACTTGTGGTGACTGAGCTTGCTGAGGTTGAGATTGAGCTGGTGATAATGCTTGTTGGAATTGATTCACATTGTTATTGTTGAGGAAGGACGACAGAACAGGCGTCTTAGCTGGAAGAGGCGCTAAGATGGACGCAGTACCATGGACATCGAAAGAAGTAAAGCTGTCTTCAAGAACATTTACTGGATTGGCTTTATCTTGCTTTGATTCGAGCTGATCTTCATCAGGTATCGAATCACTATCAAACGAAACGAGATTGTCCTTTTCCATAGTAGTTCTTTCGCGCTCCAGTTCAGTGTCTGTGATAGTTCCAGGACTACGTTCACTAAATCTGAATTCCTTGATATTATCATCAGCATTCGTATCAGCCATGTCGAAAAAGTCATCTACAGAAGGAGAAGCAGCGACATTAGAGGGTTTCAAGAGTGTTGCCTTGCTAGATTGAGTGTAACTTTCAACAAGACCATTCAAATTGCTCCAAATCTCACCAGTATGAGCAGGCTTCTTTGACAGGTCCTCATTGTTTGTGTCAATCAATAATGGACTTTTAGCAGGAGCAACAGGAGGTGTTGAAACCACAGCGGGAGCTGAGGCCACATCAGCAGCGGGGGAAGCCATCGTGATAGCAGAAGGTAAAGGCTTAGGAGGAGAAGGAGGAGGAGGCGCGACCTTACGCAAAGGTGCAGGCGGTGGTGAATCAGCGCTCTTGGTAGCATAGTCCCACCATGAATTATCACTGGTATTGTTATTGTTATTGTTATTGTTGACAACATTGCTACTGGTATTGCTACTGCTGTTGTTGTTGCGAGGTGTAGTGGCTCTTCTGCTGAAGCGAGGAGTGGGCGTGGTAGCAGTAGGTGTAGTAGGAGCATGATGAGAAGTAGTAGCAGCAATATTTCGAGCTGATTTGACTATTCAAAGATGCATTAGAGCCATTGTCAATACAAAGAGGCTTAAAGATCATAAGTTACCTTGCCATTCTGTGGCATTGCTCCAATGCGTAGTGTCTTGATCACGGTTCTTGGCAGAGGCAGCTCTCTGTAGTGGTGGGAAGTCGGCATGTACCTTGATTTGAACTTGGTTATCATCTTCGTCCCAATCAATGCTATCATCACGGCTTACTACAGAGTTGGATCGATGACGAGCTTTGTTGGGGACCACACCGTGAAAAGAGGTATGAGGAGTGGCAGCAGTCGATGTATAATTGTATTGATCCTCGTCCTCGGACGAAGAATCAAGTTTGCGGCTTTTGCTGGGTGCTTGGTTGCTCTTGGGCGATCTACGACGATGAGAGGCGTTGGTGGTAGGTGTAGTGGCAGTGTTGTCCTTGGAAGCAGAGGGACCAGAAGCGACAACCCATTTACCAGGTACTGTCTGGATCCAGAAATCAGTGTTTTGTTGCTTTGCAATGATGTCCTTTACATAGCCTTGCTGATCGTAATCATCCCATCCAATATTATTTGTTGTATGTCCCCAGCCATCGCTGTCCATCACCTTTGGTGCGTTTCGATAGTGGCCAAATGTGAGGTTCTTTTTTTGATGAGTGGTATTATGCTCCAAGGGGCTTTGTCTCCACTCATTCTGATATGCATCCTCTGTGTATGATGTCCAATAGTTTTGATTGGTGAATGATTGCTGTGGCTTTTGCTCTTCTTGCACATCTTTTAATGACATTTTGTTAGACAACAATGAAGTGGAGGTGGAAGGTGTAGCCCAATTGTCGTTGACTGGAGCACCCCAGCCGCCCAGGTTTCCTTCGGGGTGGAATTCACTGTTGACCATGTTGTTGTTGTTGTTGTTGTTGTTGTTGTTACTCCAACTGGACTGAGATTTGTCACTTTGGCTGGATAATTCTTCGTCGTCTTCATTCTGATCATCACCACAGCTTGTCTCGTTGTCATGAACATGTTCAAAACTGTCTCCATCATCGTCTTCCTCGTCTTCCTCGTCTTCTTCATCGTCTTTTTCATCTTGATAAGTTGGTTCATCTTGATAAGTGAGCTGATTTGTAAGATGTGCTGAATTTGCAAGTCTATTTTTTGGGGGAGCACCAACGATTATGCCATTTTTTGCTTCATCGTGGGACCACACGGCCGGTGTGGAGGGGCGGTTGTCAATGCGACTGGGAGCTCTTAAGGCCATTAAGCGATTACGGGAAGTTTGAGGCGTATTGGCATCTATCAAAATGGGATGAGTATGTCTAATCAACACCTGGCCAATGAGAGGTGCTTACCGGTATAATCAAGCAGTATTGCCTGTTCATCCTACAAGAGTCAAGTTGCGTGAGCCATATATCCAAGCAAGTAAATAATTAGCGAGTCTACCTGTTTAATAACTTGAGCGATTAATTCGTCTAACGCTCTCACTGTCATTTTCAGGTGATCCGCAAGGCGAATGAGCTGTTTTCCGGTTAATGTTACATTCTCAGGAAGAGATTTTGTCAGCACATGGTCTGTGGAATGTGCCAGTGCGTCAATGGATCTGCGTGTGAGTAACAGCGCTCTTCTGCTTTCGATTTCGCTAAAGGATCCGAGCACCGTGTCGGCCAAGTGTTCATAGTGGACCAGTTTGACCTCTCGCAGGTTGTCTTGATAACAATTGACACAGAGCTGATAAATGTCATGCAAATCAATCTCGCCACAAGATTCGAAATAGACGTGCATCAGGGACTGACAGATTTCTCGAGACTTGATCATGAGGCCAAACAGGTTGGAGTCAATCAAAGGGCAATCTCGGATAGACAACGATCGCAAGAAGCGAAAGTCTTCAGCAATCACGAATTCCTGAAAGCAAGAGTTTGTCAATTCACGGCAGCCAGAGATACCCAGATACTTGAGCTGCATAAAAAATTTTGACAGGTGGTGCAACTCTTCATCCGTGATGTACATGTTCTGCAGCACCAAACGTGTGGGGTTTGCAAATACAGCACCATCATATGCATTGTCCAAGACATCACGCAAGTTGTGGTAGTTGTTGTTGGGACCAGAGACGGTATGAGCACGAATCTCCAAATCGAGCAAATCGGGGCAGAGCAGAACAGCGTGAGCAATGGAGACACTGGTCAGCTTGACGCAGGATTCGACACGGAACCGTCTTAAACGCGGGAAACTCTTGAAAGCCTGGTGGACGTAGGCATCGTTCAAGTGGAAGGCTTCTGTCAGCGTGAGTTCCGTCAAGTTTAGACCAGATGCACAGATAGCGTCCAAAGTAGCAGCCTGAATGCCCTCCAAAGAGAATTGCAAACAAGACAAATTGCTGGCTTTCTGAGCAATGGAGGTAGCCCAAGCTGGCGTCAATTTGAAGGGGCCATCCAAACGCAAGGTTGTCAAACGAGGCAACAGGGTGTTGAGGTTGACAGGCACCCTTTCAGGAGCGCCAATGATGGCCAAACTCTTTAGATTTCTAGCATAAGCAGATAACTGTTCAATGTCCTGCAATCCAAGTTTGAAGCCGTAGATGGTGATATGGGTGATGTTCTCGCAGACAGAGGCAATGCTGGTGATGATGGCCAAGTTGCTAAGCGTGCTGGGTCTGTGTCTTTCAAGCTTTGATTTAGCAATGGGTGGAAAAGGAGTCTCTTCATCGTGATCAACAAACACCAGCTGAACGCTCTTGACAAGCAATGCTGCCATGTTGTTGCTGTGAATGGCGCTGAGGAAGATTCTGAGGTTTTCAGGCTTTACAAACTGAACATTTTCCCATAGGATTCTCTGCGCTGCAATTCTCCATTGCGGGTGAATGAGACAGGCTTGATACAGATCCTTTCTCTCTGGTAGGAATCGACAAATGCGCTCTTTGATGTTGTTGCGCAACGAGAGGAAGCTGTTTGCCTGTATATCTTCAAACTTGAAATCTCCCCAGTTATCTTGAGACACCATACTGAGTATTTGATGCTTGAGGAGGAGAGAGTGAGTGCGTGATATGCAGAAGAAGAAAAAAAAAAAAAAAAAAAGAGAAGCGAAACTGTGTTTGGTTGAAAAAAGGCTAGCAAACTGGAAACATTTGGTTCAGTATCCGACAACAAATTTTTTCGCCTGTTCTTTAACGAGGCATTATAGATCACTTGTATTATCGTACTTACACCAAAAGGCACACCTCTTTCCGCTATTTTGATATATACACAACAATGAAATCAAACATGTACGCGCATTGGATCACAAGTTGAATATAGGGAATTAATGATAAAACAGCAATTGTTTTGTTTTTTGATTTTATTGTTTAATGTAATACTAATTCTAAAGAGGGATGTTCGTAACTTTTTTTAAAAGGGGTCGGTTGTTTTAAGAGGAAGCAGCAGGGGCAGCAGCAGAAGCAGCGTTGGTGGCAGCAGCGCGATGTTGCTCGGCAGTTGATAATACAGTCATAATTTGGTTTTGTTGATCAGCATTTAAATCCTTGGTTAATAGGGTATAAGAAGCACTGTTGTTGGTTTGCATGTTTCTAAACACTTGTTCAAAACGAATGTATGGATCAACTTCGTCTAATGGCGACTCAAACAAGATTTCCTCCTCCATTTCTTCTTCTTCATCGTCGTCCAAATCACTGTATCCATCAGCGCCAGAGTGCGATGCGGCTTGACTTGCAAGGTATTCAAGGTATTCATTATCCTCATCAGGCACATCTTCATCTTCAACACCTTCCTCGTATTCCTCCTCATCGCCGCTGGGTCCTTCAAATCCGCTAAAGTCATCTTCACCAAAGTCTTCGTCGTCAAATGAACCGTATAGTTTCTCCATGCTTTCACGGTTCTCCATGGCCTTAGGTAAGGTCTGGAACACAGTGATCATACAAGCCAGGATCTGCGACCAGCCTGATTGGAGCGAGGCAGGAATCATTTCTGTGGGCAGTTCCAATAAGGAGCAGAGTGCAACGATAACGAGCTTCTTGTCGTGCACACGAGAGAATTTGGACAGGGTATTGAACCACAATGTAAAGAATCCCTGGGTCCAGTTGTTTTCCTCCAGGAGACGCAATGTCAATGCGGGGTTATAGTAGATACAGTTGACAACAACCTCGATACAGTGCACCTTGAATTCAGTCGTCTTCATGGAGCCAGTGAAGATGTACTGGAAGGCCAAGTTGAGGAAGGGAGCAATGCACATATCGACATGACCACGGCAGTTGAGCAGCACAGACTCCATCAATTTACAGGCACAGATACGGTCCGTCTCACCCACGCGATCGCTCTTCATGACGGTATCGATGATATCAAACATCATGCGCTGAACATGCTCGTTGGAGATGAACACATCCTTACCATAAGAAATATAGTTGTCCAAAGGAGGCAGCATCTCTTCCATGTAGTCAATGCCGGAATCCTTAAAGGCACCGTAGATCAACTCGAACACGCTCCACATGGTAGGTGTCACACGCTTGGCTGAGAATGTGCAGGAATCAATAATCTCAAAAATCTCGTCATACAAGTCCAGAATCTTGTTTTCCAAGGTATAGGTAATGACAGGCAAGAGTGCGTTTTCTAACTGTTGCAGGATCTCTGGGGTACTCTCGAGACTGAGAATCAAGGTACCAATGGTCTTCAAGACACCCATAGCAGCCATGGTTTTGTCACTCAACTCATCAATATCACCAGTGAATTCATCATCATCCGCGCTGGCCAAGGTGTTGCTTTGGTTCAGTTCCTCCATAATACGCAAAAAAGTATCACGCAGTTGAGTACAGAGTTGGACGGCAAAAGGAGTCAACTGCTCAGCAAACACTTCCACAAACTCCTCCATGACGTTGGCCAAAGTGTCGATATCAATCTCGTTGGTCAAGTTGAGCAACTCTTGCATGATGAAGGGCAAGTTGGGAGCCATGGCATTGCGGACACTTTCATGGCGAATCATGGGTTGAAGCGCAAGAGCAGCTTGTACCTTGACAGCCAATTCAGTATCGCGAATACAGTCAGTAACGCATTGATATAAAGTAGCCAAGTTTTGTTCGTTAGCAAAGTCCAAATCACTGAAATGTCTTGTCAGATCACAGGCACGGGCTCTCAAGAAGGGGTATTTGCTCTTGAACTCGGGAAAGACGTGAGTGACAAAGAAGGGTTCCATCATGTTGGCCACGGGAGACTTCTTCTGCAACACTTGGTAAGCCAAACCGCCAATCATACACAAAGCACCGTCCTTTTCCTTGGGGTTCTTTTGGTCCTCGGGAGCCTCCAAATACTTGTTGAGCATACCATTGACAAAGTTCAAGATGCCCATGAAAGTGTACTTTTTGCGATCACGAGCCAAATCAATCAAAAAGTTCATGGCGTTGGTCTGAGGTGAATGGAAGTCTTCCAAGGGATCCACCTTTTTGTGCACAAATTCGACGGGATCTTCGTCCCAAAGCTCTTGATCTTCTTCAGAGAAGCAGAGCTGAGGAAAAATAAAGTGAGCCACCAATGTCTCGACATGAGGCTTCAACAGTTGCCAGGTCGTCTTGTTCTTGACACAGTCAGCAAAGAAGGAAGACGTTAAAGCCAAACACTTGCTGGGAATCCAAATCTCCTTTTTGATCCATAATTCCACTTGACCTAGATACGCTTGCAAGATATTGGGTGCAAAGTTGGCAGAGAATGATTTGGCGAAGGCATTGTATTCAGGTGTGCTGCGAGGCATGGTGGCGAGGTTACCGTACTTTGAAAAGAGACGGTTCAGACAGTGGTAGGCCCACTTCTTGGTCTTCCACCAAGGGAATCGATCACGCTCATCGGCGTCGGCGGGTAATGCTTCGTTGGGAATCTTCTTTTCAATCAGTTGCAGGAACAAGGTACCCCAAGGGACGAGCGAGCTGGGGTCTTGCAGACTTTTGGGGAGTTCAGCTTGGATGCCTGCGTGATAAATCTTGAGTGCCAATTTCAGCATCTCGGCTGCTTCCACGCTGTCTGAGGAAATGAGACCAGAACAGATATTTTGGATGGCGGGGAATGTCAACTTGATCAATTGTCTGAAAGGTTCACGTTTGGTGCCTGTTCTCCATCTATAGCAAAAAAAAAAAAAACCACATTAACCGCGTAAGTTCCCTCTCTCCTGCCAACAACTAGAGACAACTTACTGATACACTCGAACCACTTCGCGCAAAGCCAATAAACCGACATACACCAAACGAACATCCGTTGAAGTCAAAAGTCGCTCGAGCTCGCTGACAAAGTTGGGCCAGTTGTCAGGAAAATCGTTGGTCAAGATGGTGTTGAGGGTGGATGTGAGTTGGACTCTACGGGGGGAAAAAAAAAAGAGAATGCTCACTCAGTCCTTTGACTCGTCTTTGTGGTGGATCAAAAGAACAACTTACTGGACTTGATTAGGTGCTGTAACGAGTGCTTGTAAAATAGTTTGCTTGACCATGTTGCGATCCTCGTTATTGATAGGCACTGCAGATTCACGTTCACCATCCCACGCCTTGTTCAAACGGTTCTTGAAATAGATGGCAGCTAACAATCTCTGACATTAGTCGTGTGTTTCTCCCCTTTCCATTGATCCTATCTCTTTCTCTCTGTCTCCTATATTTACCAGCTTGACGTGCACCCAACTCGAGTTCTTCAGAAGCAAGGATTTGCAAGACGATAGGCAAGAAGCCGTTATTTGCTTCAATCTAATAGAAACCAGGTCAGTTGTTCCTATGTCTCACCAATGTCCACACACACACACACACACAGATGTCTGTATATATATATCCAACTTACATTTCTAATGTTTAGTTCTGCTTGCTTATGGACATTTGGATCAGGATGGTAGGTGGCAACGAATAACTGATAGGCTGTATTCTGGTCCATGTTGGTCGCTTTATTTTTTCTGTTGATTCCAGGAAAAAAAAAAAGGAGAGAGAATAGAAAAGAGAAGAAAGGCACACTCTTTTAATCTAAACAGTGGCTAGAAAAACTTTTTTGACAGTGACTGTTGATACCATCAACTGTTGGGCTTTGATGTGGATGAACATGGCTGTATCAAGGCACCATCACCATGCAATATACGCATGAAACAGCCTCAAACGGTAGTTGTCTATGTGGATCAAGCCGTTGCCAAAATGTCGCAAAATTTTGGGTAGTTTTCGTCAAACCGGTATATACTGATCAACTCCACCCCTTTTTTTTTCATACTTGCTGATGTTGGATGTCAGATGCGATTCTTTTTGATCTAGTTCATGTATCGTACCTCTTTGACAGATCTACTGGATGAGAGCCTCCTACTCTCCACTAAACATGTGAGGGGAACAGTAATTTGTCATACCGTATCTAAAGCGCTTTCAGGTCGGCTCTTTCAATGAATCGAATGGCGAAGAGGACAGCATTTACTTGAAAACCAATAATGTCTGTGCTGCGATTTCTGTAGAGTGACGGATTGAGAATGATGGCAGCTGTTAGAACATTTGCTACAAGAAAAATAACGAAGCAGTGTGTATGATAAACATGCGAAAGAGATACCTAGCTTATCAGATTCGAGCAGTAATGGATCAAGCCCGGCAGTGGGTCGTTCTGCATTTGGCACGCAATGTAGAGATCCTGTATCAGAAGCTTATAGCAGTGGTATTCTAGCATCCACATGATCCAAACAGATAGCTGTAGAAGCAGCTTATAGTTTTTTTTGGAGAGCATTGCGCACATTATATAGACTCATCTCATCTCTTCAGTATCTTGTCCTGTGTGATTTGATGCATGCTATGAACACCAAGGTACTGATAAATCTTTTTTTTTTATATATTTTATTATTTTTCTATACATTTAAAAGTTTATACATGACAAGAGACGACACATGCCATCCACATTTAATATTTGGTAGAGTGTTGCTTTCTAAGCAATTTCTTTTCCTTCTCCTTTTGATCGAGCAATTGCTTTCTTCTATGTAATCCGTCCCTTGCAGCAGTTGACAAGACCTTGGCGACCAATTCGACACCTCTAATCGAATCATCGTTGGCAGGAATAGGATATGACACAAGACGAGGATCGTAGTCTGTATCTGTAATGGCAATGATGGGAATGTTGTTCAATTGAGCTTCTGAAATTGCAATTTTGTGTTCCAATGGGTTCAACAAGACAATCAAATCAGGCTTGTAGGTCTTTGGTGGACGTCCAGGATCCTCTGGGTCTGGTGGTGCATGACGACCCAACACTTGATGTCTGTTGGTCAATGTACCGGGAATCCACTTGGAAGACACATGAAACCCATCACAGTAACGTGCTGCCTCAATGGTCAAATCTTGGAAGCCGGGGCGAGTACCGACAAACAAGATGGAACCACCACGAAGTGCCACTTCACGAGCAACGTTGCAAGCTCTTCTCAAATAGACCAGGGTGTGCTCCAAGTTAATGATACTAATACCTTCACGAGTACCAAAAATAAAAGGAAGGGTGGCAGGCTCCCATAAGCTGGTGGAGTGTCCAAGATGAAGGCCGGCTGCCATTAACTTGGAGATGGTCATGTTGTATGGTGTGATGGGTTCGACGGCTGATGCAACTGCTTGGCGAATAGGCTTTTTGAGAGGTGTAGATGTGGGGGGAACTAGAGCTCTCGTTAATAAGCATGTCATAATACAAAGATCTTCTTCCAATGTTTTCTTTACCAAGTGATTCAGGAGTAATCTTTTCATTTGAGGTAGAAGGTTGTGCTTGTTTCAAAGAGTTGACAGTTGACAGAGGTCTAAGAAAGCAGTCTATGTGATAGCTCACATGTTAAGTATCATGGATCTATTACATGCCAACATGTAAACTTACTTTGACGAGATGCAATGCCTCTAGCAGAGGAAACTGTCTTGTATAAAGCACGGGAAGCCATGATTTATAAAGTTCAAGTATGAAGGAAGAGAAAAAAAAAAAAGTGCAGTGTGGTCTTGGAATTACAATTTGCCTAGGGGTCCCCACCTTTCGGCCTTGACAAAACTTCACCTATGGAATGAAAAAATTGACATCCTTTACAATCTCCGTGAAGAGCTGTTGTCCCTCTCTTTCGTGACGTGGAGTTAGTGAATGTTTGGTTCCTGATTTCCACAGCATGTGTGATTTGCTTGATACTGTATTCTTCTACCTTTTTAAAACCGAACAGAAATGACCCGCTACTGTGGATTTGGCTCTGTTATAATTGTCTAGGTCTGTACCATTGGTAAAGGCTCATGTATGGGCAAGCAGCATATCTGCATCAACCCTCACTAAACAGAATGCAAATTACAGCAAAGTTTGAGCGGATTATTGTAAATTGTGCCAGAATGGGCAATGCCCAAAATTCTCCGGGTGAATACAGTTGCTGTAACAGGACAAAGCAAAATTTATATATCCAATCTTGAATGCTCTCAGTTTGTCGCTCGATGTTAAGCTTCAATTCCTCCACAAGTGCACCAAGATCCAGTTTGCGAACTTTCAAAGATTTGCATTCAATGACTTATACTTGGTCATTCAGTGGTATATCTCAACTAACCTTGATCTGGCATTACCTTAATAGCAGTGGACATGCCTGGCATCCAGGCAACATGCTGTGCTTGCTCGCTCGACAAACTGGATACCAGCAAGGAGACAATCTGCTTCTTTTCAGTGCTCACGCTTTTCTGTAAAAGCCAAAGAGCCTTATACCTGTCATCAGTGATCCCGAGTTCCACTTGGTTGTAATAAGTAATGCAAATTTCGTTCAAATCGTACTTTAATAAACCAAGAGGTAGAAGACTATCTTGGGGCATTGCAACAACCTTTCCATCAAATACCAAGGTTTAACTTTCTGACCTGATACTATCATATAAACCTCCTTTAAATTTCTTCTGTAACTGTAGATCAGAGTTTCCTTTGATACCTCATATTCGTGTCATTGGTGTCAGCTCATATATGGACAGAAAGCATGCCTGTATTGTCTCTTATTACTGGTAACTATGCAAAACACAGCAAAACCAGAAAGCATTCGAGTCGTGTTTTCTCGTGTTAGGAGCTGTTGTAGACTGCCAGAGTAGCACCAAATAGTTGCTTTTATCCAGCACTAACTTCCTGACACCTTTGCTCAACTTTTTGGGGACCAAAAAAAACCATGGCAAAAAATCGACCAAAAAGCATGAGGTACCCCTCATGATTTTCATCGAAAATCAAACGACCCCGTTTTTCACCTTGATAATGAAGACTTTTACTATGATGTGTATTGAATCAAAATGTTTCTATCGATCTAGCGTAGCTCCTGAAATCATCTTTGTGGGACTTTGATATGTGAAATTTCGACTTTTCGGCCAGAAATCTCTTTTCGCATTTTTATGAATTGCTTCATAAGTTTATTCAAAGCATCTATATTACTTGGTACCATTGGATGCGCCTTGAAAAGCACTCCAAGAAAGCTTAATGAAGTGTACGATAATTATCATATTCTACTTAGTCGAATCTGCAAAACTAGTTCAATCGTGTCCGAATCATCAAGTTTTGGCCAATCTGGAACAGAACTTAAGTCTAGGTTTGAATTAATTTTTGCTTGTGGGTAGGCTGGCAAACGTAATGCCCTTTTCATCATGAACGCAATACATTAATAGGTACTTTTAAAGCGTATGGAAATTAAGCGGCAAATTATATATTGCTATCTTTAGTCATGCTATTCTTCTTGCGTTCTATATTTAATAGAGCCTGTCTACCAAAATACTTGACAGATCAACTTATTTCCTTTTTGAGGCTCTGAAAGTGTCTAGAGACTGAATATGATATTCCTTCATCCAATACATCTCTTGCCTAGTCACGAAAAACTGTTACGTCACATTTTACTTTATTTTAATAAAAAATGCTGACTGTCTCTCACCAAATCAGTAATTGTTGACCAAAAAATTAATGACAATGAATAGGATTATAGGTAAGTATATTTTTTTTTTCGCAATCACTTGAATAATCACTCATTCTTTTATTTGAAACAACATCTTTTTTTTGCTGGAAATGCAAATATTTATGGTATGCATTGGAATCCATCTTAATGTGAGGCTCGCCCGTTATGATGGTACGTGTGAGCGTAATGCCTACGGTCCTTTGCTGAAGTAGTTGTATCGGTAATTCATATATTTTGTCCGAATCTGGCATTCTAACTTCAAAATAGTATAACTATACAGTTTCTCAAATAAAATAAAAATCATTTAATTCTGTACACTTTTACCAACGTATTGGTAGCTTATAGACGCACTCATGAAAATTTACTATTTTTTTATCGCTGGGAAATTCCATGAAGGCTTCTGATCTAATTATTATTATACAATTTTCTCCATGAATAGCAATGAAGTTTATTAAAGGTGCTTTCCTTCAATATATAAGGGCTGGCCAGTCGTGGTTAAATCAGAAAAGTGCAAGTTTTCTTGAGAAATGTTAGGCATATCTATTTAAATATTATATTTGAAGAAATATGCTTTGTTATAACTGTAGACTTCTAAGCTAATTTTGGCATAAATGCAATTTGAACTTTTCATCTTTTTCAAAGTTCAAACCAGAGGAAAATTTAAACAGAGAAAAAAAAAAAAAAAAAAAAAAAAACTCGAGCTAGAACTCGAAAAGGAGAGATTATCAACCAGTTCAATCAACTCATCTTTGGGTTGTTTCTTTTCAAGAGCTCTTCATCTCTTCAGTATTCTTCATCAAGCTTTATTTTGAGTTCCTCTGGGAGGTCAAAGTAGTTTGGAAATATAAAAAAAAGGGTTATATCAGAGTTAGGAGAGCGAGTTATCCATTCGTTGGTGTTGCTCTTGAAATGGCGACATAAAGCTGGTCATAATTAAATACAGGACTTGCGTAAGGTCTACAGCGACTTTTTTGAGATATTGTCATTGCAAAAGGCACCTTTAGTATAGGGAAAAACTCCCAAGAAAGAGAAAAGTATTTGAACTAAGCAATTGTCCTTTAAAATCCATGATCCCCATTTGATCAGCATCGCAACCATCATTGTCATCATCATTGCCATCATCAGAAAGACATTTGGGTCAGCCAGCAGCAGCGACGCCTGCCAAAATTACTTTAAACTCAGCTTATTTTTTCTCTTCAAGATTGGCCAAATCTCGTCCTTTGTCGACGTTTTTAATCTATTTTATGGTATTCGACTATATAAGTTGTAATGATCACCCTATGCTCCTTAATACATTCTTGAAGTACTTTTCAAGACGCTTCCAATGGTGCTATCTGTAATAAGTGTTTTGACTGAAACTGTTGGAAAATTTGGTAAAATATGAAATGAGGTTTTTACCGAAAATAGCCATATTTTGCATATGAAAGCCTGATAAAAGTGGTTTCAGAGGTTGCTTTGAATAGAGAGAAACATTTTGATCTGATATATACCATAGCAAAAGTCTTTATTTTCAAGGTGAAAAACGCGGTCGTTTGATTTTCGATGAAAACCATGAGGTACCCCCTCATGCTTTTTGGTCGTTTTTTGACCATGTTTTCTGGGTCTTCAAAAAGTTAAGCAAAAGTGTCAGGATGTCACTACTACTCGAGTACAATTGTTTGGTATCATTCTGGTGGCTCAGAAAGGTCTATATGCCAAGATATGAAGGCTTGAAAGCTGTCAAATGTGGTTATGTATTGCTTTATAGAGCTTATTTACACGACATAAATCACATCTTTGGTAGCTGCAATTTACTGGAAAGGCAGTTCTGTAGCTTGAGCAATTTTTAATTCGAATAGGAGGCATATTGATTTTGGTAAAGCTGATTCATGCAAATTTTGATGCGCTAAGTTGCCGGTAAGCTGATTAACAATGGAAATGAAAAACCGAATATGCTGCTTGAATACTATGGTTTTGCACCTTCGCCTTGCTATGGTAAAACCCTCTTATTATAGGTCAATGTTACCAAGTGTTGAATTAGATGCAATTTCGCTACGCTCGATGACGGTGTCGCCTTGCGGGCTGTCGCTATAGACATTTCAAAGTAGTAATAATAAAAATCTGCTATTATATCAGTAGATTTTAAACAATCCACTATTAATAAAGGAAATGAGAAATCGAATTTGTTGCTTATACTATGATTTTGCATATTCGCTTTGCAACGATCAAACCCTCGTATAGAACAATAATATCAAATGCTTAGTTGTCATAGGTTTGCACCTTTGCTTCGCTGCGATCAAGCCCTCATATAGATCAATGTTACCAAGCGTTGGATTAGACGCGTTATGTTCTTTCCTCCAAACCCCTTCCCCATTGCCGGCTTTGCCTTTGATTTTAATACTTTGTACGGCACACAATCCTTTAAAATTTTGAAAGGAATTGATTTGTTTGTCTACTTTTTTTTTGAATGTTTTACAATACATATATAGTGAAGAAGAGGATGTTGCTTTACAGTAGGTGCCAAGCGATAATCATCTTTGCAATCTCCATAGGGTCTCTTTCAGGGCATCAGTGTAATGATACCTGGTCTCCAGATCATTGCGATTCAACATGTATCTGAAGCGGTGCTTGTATGATGTGCGAGCGTAACTACTACGAATAGACTTCTTGGTCATCGCAAATATTCAAAAATATAGAACATTAAAATAATACAACTGAGATTGTATTTAGATACTCTCTGGAGAGGGTCCAAATCTAGAACAGGATGTACAAGATGTGATACATAGCATGTGTTTAATGCTATATGAACTTTAAACAAGTTGCAGGTATATCAGAGAGATGTGGTAATAAGACAAACGTATATTGGTATCTAAGCAAAGATAAGCATTCCCAGAAAGAGAAAGACTGGGAGACAGCCGAGTTAAATTCTCCACACACATACACACAAAGACACACACACACACACACACACACACACACACACAACCTCACCAGTTATCATGGAACAAAAACAGCGTTCCACAGAGAAGGGTTATAAAAAATCATATATAAAAAAAAAAACTCAAGTTGCGATCCTCCCGTGTCTAGATGCAGCGCACAAAACAACAAAAATGTATGGTTAAGTTTTGTAGTACAATTCCAAAAAAATAAATAAAACGTCTCAAATCAGTGGATGCTATGGTGTAACTTCATTTAAGTGGATAATATGAGTCCCTTCTTTTGAGCATCAACTTGTATGTTTGAGAAGCTTTCTGATTGAGGTTAAACTGTAAATGAAGAAGATGCAACACTGACCACCTTTTTTTTTTTTTTTTTTTTATATATACCAAGAGCAAGAGCGCCATGGGCGTTTGCCATTGTCTTGTGATTTGGGGCATTATCTCTCTCCCTTTCTCTCAACGATTGATAAACTATATTTTATATACATGATATATTCGATAGGAATGACACACTATGAGACTCGTTTCTTTTCCCAATTTGAGATGATGTCTAGAGGCAAGTAAATGGCAAGACATGTGAGGATAAGCTTTTTTGTGTGTCGAAGAGATAACCGATTTTCGGTATGATATGTATGTGCCTGATATGATAAACCATATTTTCTCATTGCTCTTCAGCATTTAGTGTCACTTTACTAGCCAACATTTAGCCTATACACAATGTCCCTTTTGTTCTATTGTCTGCTTCATATGTCCTAGATTCAAACAGCTGAAAAAAAAAAGCACAAAGGCACTCGTTTCAACAGCACAGATGGGATGTTACACACCCCTCGACCAAGAGGAAAAAAAAAAAAAAAAATTTAAATGTTACTCACCATCTCTAATCTACACTTTTTGTCTCTCTGAGCAGTCGGAGTTAAAGCAGAACCAATCTCCAGTTGTATATTTATCCTAAACCTAATCAAATCAAATCTGTAACCATGGATCAAAAAAAATACTATAAATACGAGAGAGGGATTCCTTGTTCAACAGCCAAGTATCTCTCTTCCTCTCTCTTGTTTTAACAAGCACTACTACCTTTCTCTCTTTCCCGTTTCACACTATACACAACAAAAATGACTTGGGTTGATAGAGTGAATGACTTTGTTGCTCATTCAAGAGTCGGCAAATTCTTTCAATTGGATGGATCTGGTGCTAGACGTGAAAGAAAGGGCACTCGATTCATGACTGAAATCCGTGCTGGTTTAACTACCTTCTTTGCTATGGCCTACATTATTTCAGTCAATGCCTCCATCATCAGTGACAGTGGAGGAACCTGTGAATGTGTTCCCACCGAAACTGATCCCACTTGCGATTTGAACGACGATTACATGGCTTGTGTCTATCAAGTCAAATTAGACATGATTATGGGTACCACCATCATTGCCTTGATCTCTAGTTTTTTGATTGGTGTCTGCGCCAATTTGCCCATTGGTATGGCTCCTGGTATGGGTCTCAATGCTTATTTCACTTACACTGTTGTCGGTTATCACGGTTCTGGCAAGGTTAGCTACGAAACTGCCTTGGCTGCTGTCTTTATCGAAGGCATCATTTTCTTGGTGCTCTCCATCTTTGGTATCCGTCAATGGCTTGCTCGTATCATCCCCATGAGTATCAAGATTGCTATGGGTTGTGGTATTGGTCTTTATCTCTGTTTCATTGGTCTTCAATCATCTGCTGGTATCGGACTGGTTAGACTTGATTTATCTACGCTCGTTACTCTGGGTGCTTGCCCTACAGAGGCTCTCAGTGCTGATGGTGTCTGCCAATGGGGTCGTATGACTAATGGTACTACTTATATGGGTATGCTTGGCCTTGTCATTATGGCCATCTTGTTGCTCTACCGTGTCCGTGGTGCCATCTTGATCTCTATTGTCTTTATTGCCATCACCTCATGGCCCCGTAACAATGCTGTTACCTATTTCCCTTATACCGCTCACGGTGATCTCATGTTCAACTTTTTCAAGAACGTCGTCTCTCTTCACAAAATGGACCATGTTCTCGGTAAATTCGATTTCAACTTGAGCGGCAAGGACATCTGGATTGCTTTGATTACTTTCCTTTACGTTGATATCATGGACACCACTGGTACCATGTACTCTATGGCCAACTATGGTGGTTTCACTGACAAGGCTGGTGACTTCGAGCACTCTACTTATGCTTTCATGACGGATGCCGCCTCCATCTCCATTGGTGCCTGTTTCGGTAGCTCCCCCTGTACTGCCTTTGTTGAATCTGGTGCTGGTATCGCTGAAGGTGGTCGCACTGGTATTACTGCCATTGCTACTGCATTCGGCTTCTTTGTCAGTATCTTCTTCTCTCCCATCTTTGCTAGTTTCCCTCCATGGTCTACTGGCCCCGCATTGATCGTGGTTGGCTCCATGATGCTTTCAGGTGTGCGTAATATTAACTGGGATTATCCTGGAGATGCCATCCCTGCTTTCATTACCTTGACTGTCATGCCTTTCACTTACTCTATTGCTTATGGTGTCATTGGTGGTATCATCTCTTACATTATCATCAATGGTTTCGTCTACCTCGTCGACAAGCTCTCTCGCGGTTACATTCGTCCTGACTACTCTCAGCGTGAAGACTGGTGGACCGCTGCTTTGAGCCGTCCCTTCTTGCCTACCTGGGTCCGTTTCCTGGTTGCCAAATCCAGAGGTCAGCCTTTCGACTGGCATGAAGATGAATACGAGTTTGAAGATGAAGAGCCTCAAGATGTCATTCACGAAGACAATCATCACGAGAAGAGAACTGCCTCTCAAGACCGTATTGTTGACAATATTAGTGCTCACAGCTTGAACGAAACCACTTCGGTCTCTTACAACGAGAAGGTGATGCATTAAACTTTACTATTATAATCATATCCCTAATATACAACCATGTACTATTTATCATCTACTCTTACTTTCATCATTACTATATCTTATAGTCGATAAAATTTTAATAAAAACAATAAGCACAAAAGCATTTGACATGTTTATTCTCACAATCCAAAAATATAACCTTTCCCTCCGTTCATCCCAATGGCATGACATGGCATGGGCGCATGGTACACAGCATGGTACTGTATCAGTTACCCTGTCTACACTACTAGAGCAAACCTTAATCATGGAAGCTTCTTTATTGTAGTTCCCACAATAGTAAAGGAATATTATAAGACTTACATTTGTACAACTCGATGTGCATACCTCTTAGTTGCAATGACTATTATGTATGTACAGCATGCTTCTTAGTCGCAAATATCTATACTTGGTATTGACGTTGCGTTAGAGCTACTGTATACACTGTTCAGAACAGCCAGGTGAGACCATCATTTTACTAGAGCACTGTGTCTGAGATTGTCCTCTTCTTCATGTTGACATGCGAGCTCAAAGCCTTGAGTCAAGAACAGTAACACGCTCATCATTATGCCGCCTAGGCAGGTTGCAAGATCGATATCCCTAAATAGCATCTTTGAGATACTCTACTAACGTAGCCAAACACACTACAGTGGTGTTTTAAAAACTGCAAATGAGAGATGGCATGGCATCCATCGGGGATTAGCCTTCAACAAGACTGAAAATAACTGTGTGCCCATGTCAAATGAAAATATTTCTTTTGCTTTTTTGTTTTTACACCCTATCGTCGAGTCAACATGGCTGTGATTAGATCGATAACAGGCGCTTGCAATGCTGTCTTTTACAGTGTGTCATTGTTTGGGTAACACATCACCATCATCATGTAAACATGCAAGCTATTGACAGCGATCAGTGTGGCAGGGACGATGAATTTCATCCAAATCACATCGTTTGTACTGCGACCCTTTTCTGAGCGATTGATGGTCAGGATCAATTCAAGGCTAGTAGGCACTGTATGGAAAGTGATGCAGTATGTGTTTGAGGTATGATTGTAGCTACACGCTAGATGCTTGCGAAGCTCGGCTGACACAACACATCTCTGTACAGCGTCGCAAGAAAGCGCATATTACCTTCTCAGGAGACAAGATTCCTTACAAGGAAAACGCATTGATCTTGGCTAATCACCAAGCTTGGACAGATATCTATCTCATTCATTCAGTAGCAAACCGACGAGACATGCTGTATAACTGCAAAGTAAGTGCACCATTCATGCAAATCTAACTTACTGGATTGATTAACCGTTTGTCATGACAGTATTTTGTCAAGGACTCCATCAAATATGTACGTAGTTGTTGGTAGGTACCACACAATAACGCTAACATTCTCGATTTGCAGCTACCATTTTTTGGCTGGGGCATGTGGGTAAGCAATGACGAATAGGCACATGTGGAACATACACACTCATGATTCAGACAACAGCTTGCAGGGTTTATCTACGTTCGCCGTAACTGGACGCAAGATCAAAAAAAGATTCAAGCAACATTTAGCACCATGAAGCGACTAGAAACACCAGCTTGGATCATCAACTATGTAGAGGGATCGAGAATCACGCCAAAGAAGCTATTGGAGGCACAAAACTTTTCAAGAGAGCGTGGATATCCTGTCATGGACAATGTTTTACTACCAAGAACCAAGGGATTTGTGAGTTGTGTCAATGAATTCAGAGGCTCTCATATCAAGTACGTCTATGATTTTACAATTGCGTATCGACAAACCACCAACCTCAAGGGGATCAATCAAGCACCTAGCATGGTGCGAGCCCACGTGCATTCACTATGGCCAGAATACGAATTCCACGTCAATGTCAGAAGATACGCTATTGCTGATCTACCTGAAGATGAAAATGAGTTGGGAAATTGGTTGAGAGCTCGTTGGGCAGAGAAGAATAGTATTTTGGCTACGTTGAAAAAGTGCTGGATTGATGGATTAGATGAAAACATCATATGGAAGGAGACCTCCTGGTAGAGGGATTGAATAAATATATATATATATATATATATAACTTTTTTTTACATTGTGTTGGGAAGAGTAGCATGTAGTTATGCAAATCGTTGTCTAGCATCATCTCAGCGTTAAACAAGTGCTAGTGACATTGAACGTGATAGACTGTCAATTCCCATTTCTCGGATTAGCTACTGTTGTTGATTTATCATGGCTCACACGCAAGCAAGCAGTCTTTTAAGCTGGCCTGCTGACAGGCAGATAGAGTTTCATTAAAACTACGCGTGTTTCTCCTCTCACTCTTTTATTCGTAATCATGTCTCCAGCACCTAGTAATCCACTTGAGCAAGTATCCAAAGTGCTTCAACCCACTGCCACCGTCTCTATCACCGAAAAAGTGGCAGTGCTTCAAGCATTCTCTGCAACATTGACTGGTACATAGATACCGCATATTCACTGACTACCAACGATGCTGACAACAATCTATACAGAGAACCTTAGTTTGGAGAAGTCAGCAGAGATTTTACAAGCTGTACCTCTTGGCTTGTTTTACTATGGATTCTCTGTCGAGGACGATCAATTAACAGCCGTATTATGTGAGCTTATCAGCAAGCTATTGCAGCCTTTTACCTACGAACAGATTGTATCTGCAGAGAACAAGGTAAAAGAAATGCAGCATGAGCGACATGTCGAGCAACATCTCATTACTGAGCATAGGAATACTTATTGCAAGGATTGACGCATTTCACGCCTGACATTCGTTATTTATCATTGCAGCAAGTGTTCAAGTGTTTAGCATCAGATGCATTTGTAGCCAATATGGTTGATTCTGATATCTTTCCTTTGGTGCTTGCCACAATTGCATTTCAAGATGCTCGCACTGCGAATAAGGCCAGTGAACTCCTGTACAAGATTTCAGCAACGCCATCAGGACAAGCTGCGTTTTTTGGTCCTACTTGTACTGCCATGTTGAAACAATTGTTGCAAATGTAGGTCCTTGCGCTCGAATCAGTATCAAAATTAGGCTCACGCTCTGTCTCTATAGCAATGGTGTCATCAGTTTCCGAGTCTACGATTTGATCATTAAAGTAGCCACGTATTCAGACAGCACATTTGACGCTTGCGAATCATCTGGCCTTTTATCTGTATTCACAAAAGAGCTTCAATCAGACGATCTCCTTGTAAAGATAAATGCAATTGAACTCTTGAACGAGGTAAGGGTTTCTATAAAAGAAGCTCCATCTGCCATCACTCCTTTTTCTCTCACTCTCTCTACTGACACAACGATTGGGAATATCTAGATTGCAACTACTTCTGCCGGGTTATCCTTTTTAGAAAAGGCCAATTTACTGGATAGCATTGCAACAATTCTAGACAATCCTGATGACTCTGATGTGGTTGTACAATTAGTAAAATGCGCTGTCATCAAGTTTTTAGGTAATCTCGGTGAAAAAGAGGTAAGAAGGGCGTGCACAGTAGAATTTGCAAATCACTGAGCACTGTTTGGTAGCACATTGATTTTGAGCCCATGTCTACCAAATACCATATCATGGAGAAAATTCAAAACTGCCTCGAAACACAAAATATTGAAATTCTGGTAAGCTTCTGGTTTTCGCTGAATTCATGCCGAAATACCCTAAAAAAAAAAAACGTTGTTTATTCCTGAAATGGTAGATTGTCGCAATTTCCACAATTGGGCTTGTTGGATCACATCCCTCTGGATTGAAACTCTTGTCAGATTCGCTATTGACAACATTCTTTTCGAGATACGAAACTGCTGTCGGTCAAGTCAAGGCTGTGTATCTTCAAAGCATGTCCAAAATACTGTCTGTGAGGTATGTTGTTTCTCTGATGAAAAAAGCGTCCGTCCCCCCCCCCCTGTCTCCCTTATTGAAATTTTGTTGTCATGTTAGGGATGGCACAGAACAAGTTGAAAGAACAACAATGGAAATTTACAATAGAATTCAAGGTAACAATTGGTACATGTTATGATTGCAATAGACGGATTCATTGTCATGACCATGTAGGAAGACCCTCCACTTTATTAAGTTTAATTAAGGAGGCCAAACAGCCTGAAGATGGCATTCGTGTTGCATCCTTTGCTGTTATGCAAGCCGTTGCATATCATGCCTGGGGTGTTCAGGTAATAATACCGCTACAATCCAACCAGTACTATAATACTCAACATTTTTAACAGTTGATGGCGCAATCAAACGAATTCATGAATTATATTTTGAATAGATCAACAGAGTACACCGAGCAAGGACAGGTAAAGTAGAAAAGCAGAGCCAATCTAGATGCCCATGCTCACATTGAATTTAAAGAATTGGAAATATGCCATTATCCAAACATTGGCCTCTGCACCTGACGCAGCGCGTGTTTTGAATGAATATTATGCTCAACTTCAGATTTATGTTCGTCAAGGTGCTCATTTCAAAATATTGGAACCTGCTGCAGCAGTGAAGAGCAACTAGGCGGTCTTCGGAGGAATTGTGTGCACATCAATATGATACTACTGTGCCTTGTTGGGAAGAGCGAGTGAGGGGATGATTGAGAATCACAAGCTCATTTTTAAACATATATATATATATATACAAGAAATTCTCTCTTGATCTTTCTCTCTTTTCTTTCCTTCTTGCAATCTCCCCTTCTCTCTTTCTCTCTATCACTACTACTAATAAAAATCCCCTTAATCCACATTCCTCTTGTATATATTATGAAAGACTCGACCATGCTACTAGATTTCCCTTCATTGTCTTCTCTGACAATCACATCTAAAAACGAACCATCATTTGTCAAAGAGCAATACATACCTTCTGCCATAGACAATATCAAGCCGAAAAAGAAAAAGAGATCCTCCCTGCCAACATGGCCACTTGTACAACAACTCAAACTCATTCTATTGACCATGAAATCATCCCAAAAGCAAGAGCAACCACAGAAACACCATCATGTTCGCTTACTGAGCCATTATGGACAATTGCAGCGACGACAAATCGGAACAGGTGCATCTGCCACGGTGCTCTTGACACATCAATTGCAAGAAGATGGAAAGGTGATGCGGGTTTATGCAGTCAAAGCATTCCGAAAGAGAAAGGTGCGAGAGACGGACGCAAGTTTTATGAAGAAATTGATCAGCGAGTTTTGTATATCATCGACGTTGGATCACCCAAATATCGTCAAGACTGTAGATCTAGTGTTGGATGAGAAGAATCGATATTGTACAGTGATGGAATATGTAAGTCATAGCAAAGAGCCTGCGCTGCTGCTGCTGCTGCTGCTGCTGCTGCTGCTGCTGCATGAGCAAGCAGTAGTAAATCATAGAATTCCATGACTTATCCCAAGCAACCCCTTTTCATGTAGTGCTCAGGAGGAGATCTGTATTCATTTATTAAAGAGGGTCGCTTATCTTCGCAGGATGAAGCCAATGGATATTTCAAGCAACTCCTCGACGGCCTCTCCTATCTTCATCGTTTAGGCGTGGCACATCGTGATATCAAGCCAGAGAACCTATTGTTAGTCAAGCAGAATACATCAACCATTCTCAAAATTTCGGATTTTGGTGAAGCAGATGTCTTTCGTGAGGCATGGCAAGAGTCATGTCGATTGTCAGATGGATTATGTGGATCAACGCCCTATATTGCTCCCGAGATTTTCGTTTGTTCCAAACAAGGATATCGTGCAAGTCAAGCGGATGTCTGGTCTGCTGGAATAGTTTACTTTTGTATGCGCTTGAATGGCGTACCATTCTACTCGGCACAACAATCGGACACAAACTACCGTCTCTATAGAAAGCATTACGCCGAACAAGCTTACCCTGCTTTTGAATCATTTGATGAAGAAAGCAGACAGATGATGTATGCGATGCTGAACCCTGATCCAGAGAAGAGATATACTATACAAGACGTGCTCAAGTTGACCTGGTTAGCCGAGGTGAAACCGCCAATATACACCTGAATTAATAAAGGTTCATCATCTCAAAGGACAAGCTTCTTTTCATGATTTTGGTCGTTGACTCTGTACGTGAGAGTGTGCATAATTTTATGTGGGTAACCATAGATTGCATCATTGTTTTCATGTACCTTACATTTATCATATGCGCCTGGTATAAACAAACGACGACCTTGCCTATAAGCTAATACTACTTTACAAGTTGCTTTTATTTGTATATATTGATTTTTTTTTTGTCAAAAGTGTGATAGTCAACAAAAAAAAAAGCTACCATTCTTCTTCTTGAGTTCAGCACTGCGCTTTTCCAGAATTTCCACTTTCATGCAGTGCAGACTCTGCCATTATTGATATTTAATTAGAATTTACTGTGTTTGTTGTGCATAGGTACATTGTCATGGTACCTCTTTTTCCTTTCTGAATAGATGTAGCTCATATTATTGTATACACTTTGTGTGTTTTTTCATCCCATTTAAGTTTTGTTGTCAACTCAGGGCACTATACATGTACATTGTATATACTGTATTTATTGAATTGATTAAGCATTTATCACTCTAGAATAACGTTTTTTTTTTGAATGTGAAGCTTCTGCTTGTGCATGATACCTGAACGCTACCAAATCAAGCCTTAGCGTTGCATTATAAATCATGAGCATATATAGTGATATGAACGTATAGTTGCAGTGGTGTAAAGGGCGTTTCTTATTCTTATAGTCTCGCATTACAGCTGGTAGCGTTCGCTCTGCCCTTTTGAAGTTGTCATCAGACCAAGCAATTCCAAAGACTTCATATCCAAGGGATCGGTCTGATACTTGAAGAAACTGATACCCGGAGCATAGCTAATTTAGCCTCAAATAAAGCGGCAAAATACAAACATGTATTCCATTTGACATCATAAAACGATATCCCATCAATATTGATATTCTGTTTTAAAATCGTGGGCGTAAATATTGCCCTGACAAATGAAGACCCCCCTCCCCGTCTGTCATAATGATCTTGAACCCTAATAAAACCTCCTGCAGTATTTTGATAAAATACGCAAGAGCAGTCAGTAGCACGAGCTGCCGCTGCGCAGGCTGGTCCTCACTGAAGCGAAGTGAAGCGAAGTGAAGCGAAGGTAGAGAACCATCCGAAGCATAAACGCTCATGTGATTAGTGATTTTATATCAATCAACAATCAAGGCTCTTCCAACATTTCAGCTGTATAAATTTTGCGATATTAGCCAAAGGTGTTTGAACGTAGGCTGGTTTCCAGCGAAGCGAAGCGTAGGTCAGGAAACCACCCAAAGTCTTGAAAGGCTCGTATACTTTAGTAAAAGTCTTTATTTTTGATTTCAAAAACGCGATCGTTTGATTATCGATAAAAACCATGAAGGATACCTCATGGTTTTTGACGATGATTTTTTAGATCCCAAAAAAGTTACGCTGTGTTTTACATGTTCTTCAGTAGTATGAGACAACACAAGTATGCTGTCTGTTCATATATGAGCTGGTCTTACTGATACAGACGTAAAACATCGTAGAAGAGTTAGACCCGCAGCTACAAATGAGATAGTAGGGTTCTCACACCACATTTTAAAGCAAAAAAAAAAAAAAAAAAAAAAAAAAAAAAAAAAAAAAAAAAAAGTTTTCAGATCAAGTAGTGGTAGTAGCAATTCAGACATCCAAATCAACTTTGGTTCGCGTAGCCTATTGATAGCAGCAATAATTTAGTTGGAAAAGCCTTTAATAAGCATCACCCTACTCGCTATACGCAGGACAAGTCAACTATAGATTCATTCGAAATATGAATAGAAGCTGATATAGTTTAAAATGTACCTCAGCGGTAGCTCATATCAATTTCAAAATTACATTTTTCGTGCAGATGGTCATGACCATTACTCTCCCCCCCCCTCCCTCCTCCTGAGCAACATAGACAATGCCAGGTGCTGTTCAACTGTTGCGTTTTAGACAGCAGCAAAGAGTTCATTTGATTGAATTGTATTACTATAGACTAAGAATACTACTACATATAACGCCAGGCATGCTCGTACAAGAAATTGGATCGACAACAAAAGAAGGATGAACGATAAGAAAAAAAAAAGAAAAAGTGTAGTGCTTTGTATTAAAAGTTGAAGAAAGGTGGAGGATGAGAAGAAGCAGAGGGAGATGGAATAGTTTTATGCCTTTTGCTTGGGTCTTCCCTTGGCTGAATTGTAGCCATACTTTGCTCTTTTTTCAGCAGGTTTCAGGATCTAAATCAAGGGGGGAGGAAAAGAATGAGACATTTATCACTAGCGTCTAACCCATCTTTCATATACCTGGAATGAACACATTAAAGATTCATCAACACTCATCATAGCACCCGCATTATCGAATTCTCCACAATAATTGGGCGCAGAGAACAAGGTAACTAATTGTCTCTTTGCGAAAAATTCATAGCCATCCTCAACGACTTGGTGAGCACGACAAATGAGGTCCAGGTCATGTTTTTGCAAAAATCGAGACACAACATCAGCTCCAAATGTAAATGAGACACCACGATCGTTTTCGCTCCAACCGGTAATATCCTTGTCAGGATCAGCCCATAGCAAATCACACAATAAACCTATAAACAATGACTCGCATATAAGAAAGGGATGTCATGACAGATCTATGCTTCTTTTTTTTTTTTACCGGTGTCTGGTACATCGGTAGGACGCATCACTCTACGAATTTGCTCCATGGTTTGTAAATCGGGGGAAAGTCCACCATGCATACACATAATCTTCTCGTCAATCACTGCAGCAATGGGTAAACAGTTGAAACAGTCTGTGAAAATTTTCCAGAGCTTTATGTTATATCGTCGTTTGCCTGTGATAAAGAGCATTAGATTGGCACCCGTAGACACACACACACACACACACACGCACAATCACCAGCCAAACTTACATTCGTCATAGAATCCGTATATACGATTGATGCTTGCACATTCATGGTTACCACGAAGAATAAAGAAGTTTTCAGGGTATTTGATTTTGTAGGCCAACAGCAAGCAGATGGTTTCGAGAGATTGTTTTCCTCTATCAACATAATCGCCCATGAAGAGATAATTTGCTTCAGGGGGGAAACCTCCATATTCAAATAATCGCAACAAATCATAATATTGTCCATGAATATCACCGCACACTTTAATAGGTGCTTCCAAGTCCAGTAGGATGGGTTGATTCATGAATATTTCGCGTGCTTTTTGACATAGAAATCGAATCTCATGTTCGCCAAGTTGAACTTGTTTACCGGGACGACTGCCTCTTACTACAGATGATAGTATATGTTACGACACTATCAAGACGCATTTTGGCTCTCATTTACCTTCCAAAAGGCGAACAATAATTGAATCAACATCTGCTTCGACTGTATCTGCCATGGTGTCTTTGTTTATTTCTATAAAGAGCAAGCAAGGAAAGAAAGAGAGAAAAAAATTAACGCGTTAGCATCCATTTGGGGGGGGGGGTTAAATAGTGGTAGATATACGATGCAAGAAAGAGGAGAGAAAGAGGGTAAATGAGAGCAATAGAGCCATCAAGATGTTGATTGGCATTGAAGCTATCAATGATATCTGCATTTTATCTCTCTTGTTATTCTCATGGGTCCTCTTTCTTGGTCGCCTGTATCTAATAGCCACATGTGAGCGAATACATACAAGTGAGTGTGTCTTTTTGTTGTGAGTATGTGTGCGCTTATATAGATATCTCTTATTTGCAGGACAAGCAACAAATGGTGTGAGAATATGTATATAAATTACTAAAAAAAAACGTAAAGAAAAGGAAAAAGAGAAGGAAAAGGGAAAAGGGATGAGCAGAATGAAGATTTAAGCTACACCCACACACAAAGAGGTGTATCGAGATTTCGACCAATCCAATCAGAACATGGTATTCTGTCCTCTCCATGGTAACCATGCAAAAAAAAAAAAAAAAAAAAAAAAAAAAGCACCTCGAGAAAACCTACCCGGGCAACCAAATCAAATATCACTGAAGCATGTGTGATAATCTGCACAGCATAATATTCACCTGGTAGACAGGCTGTAACAGATCATGCCATGATCTAATAAATTGGTGTCTTATCATATTGTAGTTCCGAGCCACTATCAAACGAAACAAAAACATTGAGCCAATGTATTAGCAACCTTTGTATAGAAAATCACGCACGTTGCGATGCAGAGGATTCAAATCAAGAATTGATGATTTCATTTATTTTGGCCGTTTTAAGACATGTTTGTTATTCGTCTATAAGTGCGTGTGTGAGGTTTTTTTTTTTTTTTTTTTTTTTTTTTTCTTGAGATCAAGTTGAGGGGTTTGTGTATAAAAATTGCTTCCTTCTTCAGTTTAATCTCGTTCTTCTTTCTTTTTTTTTTTTTTTTTCTTGTCATTATTAAAAATGGATATACCCAATAATAACAGTGATAGTAACGTACCTCGCATCCGTAATCTCCATCCCTCGCAGCTCTCGCCTGAGCATCCCTATGGTGCTATCAACGAGGATCATATACCTATTGAACGTACAATGAGTTCTTTTTCTGAAAGACTTGGATCTTTTGTCGGCTCCTACTCTCGTACCTCCATGATGTTTATGGCTGAAAACTTGGCTGTGCCAAATGGACCCCTGGTAAGTGTATCTTACAATGGCAATGTCTATGCTCGCTTATTTATACCGTGCAGCTTGACGACGAAGAAGACAAATATTCTGCGATCTCATCGGGTTATGTTTCAAGAATCCCATCAAAAACTTCTGTGTCACGATTGTCCAGGATCGAAACAGGCCCAAGTACAAGCGCTGCCAATGAACATTCCTCCTTACTCTTTTCGCATTTGGACAAGGTTCTCTCGACTCGAAGTGTTGGTACCGTGGCTGATGATTATCGCTTCGAAGCACATCCCCCTGCAGCCAAAAAGTCGTCGTTCACTCAGTCTATTTTCAACTCTATCAATATTTTGATTGGTATCGGTATTCTGGCATTGCCTCTTGGTTTCAAGGTAAGCTTTAACAGAGTGAGAGAGTGAGAGATCAGTGCTTGATCTGATGCTTGTTGTAGTGTGCTGGCTGGGCTATCGGTATGTCTGTTTTTGTATTCTGCTGTGGTCTCACCAATTACACTGCAAAGCTGTTACAAAAATGTCTGGACATTGACCCCGAATCCAGAACGTATGGTGATATGGGCGCTTTAGGTAAGTGACAATGGCATACATACCAAACAAGGTACTCATCTTCAGGCTAGCGTTTGGTTTAAAGGGAAGAATTTGGGTCACAGCTTTGTTTATTACAGAGCTGATCACAAGCAGTGTGGCATTGGTAGTTTTGTTGGGCGATGGTATTGACTCGTTGTTTCCCGGATTCTCGCTCAAAGAGACACGAGTTTTGTCCTTCTTTATCCTGACTCCCATGCTGTTCCTGCCTGTACGCCATTTGTCATATACCAGCTTACTAGGCATTATCAGTGCTTTTAGCATCATTATTGTCATTGTTGTGGACGGTGTGACCAAAAAGAATGCTCCTGGCAGTTTGATCGAGCCTGCAGTAAGTTGCTATCGTGTGTTTCATGTTGTTTCATATATATATATATTGACGAGTCCCTTTATTGTATGAAATCAGGATACAGAGATCTGGCCCTCAAATTGGATGACAGTACCCCTTAGTTTCGGATTGATCATGGCTGGCTTTGCAGGCCATGCTGTGTTTCCAACAGTGTACCGTGATATGGACACGCCCAAGCTGTATAGTAGAATGGTAAACTGGACATATGTAGCAACCACCTTTGTTTACTTTGGTGTTGCTGCTTGTGGTTATTTAATGTTTGGATCAGACACCATGCAAGAGGTAAGCCAAAAGACACATTACACATATATGTCACATTATTTAATTTGGAATCATTTGGTACAGATTACTCAAAACATTGTTTCCATTCCGGAATATAATCAAACCCTAAATCGTCTGGCTGTTTGGCTTATTGCCATGAATCCAATTGCCAAATACGGTCTTACAGTCAACCCTGTCAACTTGAGTTGGCAGATTTGGTTGTTCAAGGGCACACGTCTCGAGGACTGGTGCGACAAGGGAAGCTGGCGCGAGCCTATTCTCACTGCCATTGGCAAGGTGTGCATCAGTGCGTTCATTGTGGTTTTGGCTTACATTATTCCTGGTTTCGATAAAATCATGTCCCTCTTGGGCGCCTTCTTTTCTTTCATGATCTCGGGTATTTTCCCTCTGGTCTGCCATTTGTGCTTATTCGGTGACAGTATGTCTGTCAAGACCAAGATGTTGGATTACACTTTGATTATCATTGCTTCTTCCATGGCCCTCACAGGAACATGCTGGAGTTTCATCTAGATTCCCCCTCCTCTTTTTCTTTATACATTTTCGATATTCCCCTCAACTTGATGTTCAAATAAAAGTGTTCAGCTTGTTTAGACTAATGAATGTGTGTGCATCAATGCAGCTGAATGATGCTTCGATCTGAATCAATGCGAGACACGCTCCAGTAAAGGACCAGATTTGACTTTCCGTATCTGTCTTGAAATTTACGGTAGTGCAAATGTTTGCAACGCTTTTTGCTCTTTCAACACGACAAAAACGAAAAAGAACTTGCTACAATGGCTGATATGAGAAATGTCAACAACTGGTATTTTAAAGTCATTGACAAATTCAATTGTTACTCAAACTAACGTGTTATAAATCAGGCATTGGTAAGAGAGATAGCACCACGCCAAATTACTCCATGATTCTCATTCTTCAATTGGAAAAAGGGTCAACAAAGACTGTAGACATTGGGCTAAAAACTACTTGACAGAGAAATTGGTCGGTACATCAGCCGCTAGAGACAGCTCACAGGTAGTCATTACCAGCTTAGATGAGTGCACAGGTGATGTAGACCTCAATCAGCGCAAGGGCAAATTGCTGGCAATCTACGATGTTGCTTTGAAGATGAGCTGGCAAGGTAACGTGTGTAGGCACCTCTATGCTGACATGTAGCTTCTCAACAATGCTATCAACTAGGCAAGCTAAAAGATGGCTCTACTGTGTACGGAAACATCACTGTACCTGAAGTCGCTTATGATACTGACATGGATGACTATGTCGTAAGTAAATCCGGTAGTTTAACCCGTGTAATTAGGCATATGCTTTCTGTTATGACTCATACACGTATATAAATACACAAGTTCGATATCCAAATCAATAGTGGCTCAGGGGATGAAATCAAAAGACTCATTCGATCGGATCTAGTGCCATTAATTGCTGCAAAGTTTTCCCATCTTACTCGTGATTTAGTGGATCGTAAGTGTTGCTTGCGGTGGTTCAGTACTAGTAAATTAACACTCATAAGCAGAACACAGCTCTGATTTGTATGCGGATAAGAACTCGGCGCCATCCACACCAGAATTGGTGCAACGAAAGAATCGCAATGCAGCAACCACGCCCTCTTCTGCAGCAACGAAGATTGTCGAGGATAAGGTAGTCAAGACGAGCATCATTGAGCATTCCTGTGATTTTACGGGAGCGACCCCCAGAGAGATATATGAGACCCTGTTAGATCCTCAACGTGCTGCAATTTGGTCACATGGAAAGGCTAAAGTGTCAAAGCGCATTGGCACTGATTTTGAACTGTTTGATGGAAATGTTCATGGTACTTTGATGCAAGCAGTAAGGATCTACATGCATTCAAGAGGAAAAAAGTACAAGATGGTTGACACATTGATTGTTGCTAGACACCAGGAAAGAGTATCATGCAGACATGGCGGCTCAAGAATTGGCCTCAAGGTACAGTATGAAGTGTTGAGAAAAAGCACAGATGCTCATGTGCAAATGACAATGCTGCAGGCCATTTCTCTACTGTTACCCTAACATTCAAAGAAACGCAAGAGGGTACAACAGTCAAGGTAAATCAAGTAGGAGTACCTGTTGGGCAAGAAGAGGCGATTCGCAAGAATTGGATGGGCTATTACTGGAATGCCATCAAAGACAGTCTAAATAAGGGACAGTTACAGCATTTACCTATTCAAAATGACCCATTACTCGGTTTGCTTGATACCAAGTATTTGATTTTGTGTATTTTCATGACAGTCTTGATCATTGCGTTTACTGCATATCAAGTAGCTCCAACAATAAAGATGTAATTAAACTCACGTAATGCAACTGTACTATTAAGGATCTCACCCGAGGTTTAGGAAAGAGTCTGTGAGTATTTTTCCTGTAACTCTGACTTTCAAGTGAGTGTTGTATTCATGCTTCCAGCATGGTACGATTGGCTACATGGCGTACAACCTGTGTTACGAAAACGAAACCCAAAAGCAAATCCTGTGATTTAATACTAACCTTCTCAGCTTGAGAAAAATAAGCATTTGGGATAGCAACTTTAAGCACTATTACATGTTCTAGATGTTGAAATCATGGCTCTTTGGTTGTTCGAAAGCCGAGCTAATTACTTGAATTGAATTACTGCATATTAAAATGTGGGGACAAAAAGAGATGCCGTAAACCAGGCACCAAATGTATAATGGTATAAAATATAGTTATTAATTGAACCGGGTCTTTCTTTTTTTCCTCTCTCTTTTTCCCTTTGCTTTTATTTTTTCTCTTGCGTATTCACGCTCTCTTTACGCTCTCCTTCATCCCTCGTCTCCCATCCTACTCTCATCTGATAATCATCAATTCACCATGAGACACGCTTTACTATGTGACGAATTGGATAACATTACTCGATCGTACGATTATGGCATCGTACCTGGCTCAGCAACTGTATTTGTCAAGGACGAGCTGAACAACATTGGACGCTTGGATCTGACATTGCTAGAGGGTGTTATGATTGTAGTTGAAGTTTCTGAGGAAGGCTACAAGGTATATATAACATTGACTTTTTTTTGTGAGGATTAAGGTTGTGTGGGAGAATCTACGGAGTTAAAACTAATACGATTTGTCAATGAAAGGTGGGGTCATGCTCGCCACTCTCAAGTACAGGCACTGCTCTTGCTACTGCTCAGATCGTACAAAAGAACCTGGAAGTTCCCTTTGAAACCATGGATAATTTATTGATGGCTGTTTCGCCCATGTTTCGAGAAAGATTTCAGCAGGCATTGTACGATAAGTTAGAGAGTGTTCATCGACATCAACAACAGCAATCGCCTACAGTTCCCATCACATCAGCGACATCTACTACATCACCATCAATACCATCATTAGCATCAGGTCCTTCAATCCAACAACATCAAACATCGCATATACTATTACAACAACCTTCATTACTACAGCAAAATACACACCTGCAGCATCAACCGCAGCAGCAACCATCTCATATGACACAGCAATTGATGCATGATCAATCTACATTGGATATAACTACTCAAGAAGTGTTGGATGATCTCCACAATTGGATACATTAATAAACGAAAGGGAGATGGAGAAAAAAACAAAGATGGGATGTTTGGTTTTGTACTTGAGAACTTTACGTTTCTAAATAACAGATTAGATGTTTGAACAGAAGAAGAGCGTCTAGCTTGATTTCTCTCGTGTCAATTGTTTTTTGATGGCAATGTTTGTTGAGCTGATCTTTTTTGTTGTTTCGAGGCAATAGCATGCAACATGTCAAGTAGTTTTGTTGGTTGGTTTGCTTAAAATTTGTCTTCATAAACAAGACCCAAAATAACTAGAGAAGCAAAATATACCTTTCATTGCACATTATCCTAATTTCGAATAAAGAAGGGTTTTAACAGTATTCTATCTGCTTTTTTCAATCCCTTTTTTTACTGCAATGGATAGAGTAGGTGCGGCATTGAATACTATTAGAATCTATTATATTGGTGAGGACTCCACTGAATATACATTTAAATGAATGGCTTCCTTGCAAACAATAAATAGCCTTTGAGATAAATGCCATGATCTCTCAAAAGGCGTTTCTGTGTTATTGAATAGAACGGAAACAAAGCTTTTGCTTTAATTCGTTTTGAGTACCATATAAATTTTGCTCTACTTGGGTGATTGCATAAGGTAGGAGGGAGGGGGGATCAACCATTCCTGCCACAATTATAATAATGATTCACATTATTTGCTCACAACTTAATTTCTTAGCTTGAAAAAGTAATCAAGCAGAACAAAAACGAAATACTATACGTATAGTGAAACTACAAGAAAACGACGCGAGAATAAGGCCATAAATCATGGTCATCCAAACTGAAGAAGAATGGAATGATCGATTTTGTCCAGAATTACATTCAATGTTTAAAAAAAATGCCTTGGAATTATCATCTTCTATATAAACGAATTCAGGAGGTTGAAACTTCTGCTTCAAACGCCAAAGATCTAAACCGGGGTTGTGCCTTGTTCATGTCATAATTGATATTCTTTAAGGGACCAATGTATTAAAGATATGTAATCTCTGACTACGGCCAAGATGCAAAATCCAGAGAGGTTTGTACGTCCAACAAACTCATAATATTATCTTTCATTGAGGGCTGTCGTCCTCAAAACTTGCAACAAACGAATTCCATAAAAGGAACCTCTAAAGTTTCGAATTCCGATCTCAATTCGTGCTCCAGTTTCGAACCCCGCTTTTGCCCTGATGAAGAAAGTGCAAACCAAATTTGCGTTAGTAGCATGGTTGTTGAGAAAATGGAGATTTTAGAGAATGGTTAATTTTGAATAGATGCTGCTGGTAAAAGTTTTTAAATTATTATATGAATGTGGGATGTATGTGTAGTAAAAAGTTGTAGAGGGTGCAGTAAAAAGAGGTTAAAAAAGCAGGTAGAATACTGTTAAAATCCTTCTTTATTCGAAATTAGGATAATGTGCAATAAAATGTATATTCTACGTCTCTATTTATATTATTTGGTTCATATCTCTTATCTGGCAGCAGTTTAGTAGTTGCCAGTGATTCCATTACTTTATATATTTTTGTTGGGTCATTTAGTTGTTGATCTGGTGGATCAAGAACGGTATTTCAATATATGGTTTTTGAATCATGCGTGAAGAATAGCTCTTTATTGTTGAGCCTGTATCCTTTTTAGGTATATTTATGTTACAACACATTACAATACCGTTGACATTTACTTTAGTATCTGTCATCTCTTATTTTAGAGCATTTAACCCTTGCTGTGGAATTTGAGGCTTGATAGACTAAAATTCACGGAAAAAAAAGAATAAAAAAACAGTAATGTCAACTTGATAAAGGTATGTTCTATTATCAAACTGACAGGTGTAAAGTAAACTGAAGTCTCTCTACTGGCTAGGTAGATGATCCTTCTTATATACTATAACAATGGATAAAAGTTCTATTAATTAGATTAACAAATTAGTCAACTCAGATCAACTAATGTCTAATCATGCTAAAAGACAACTCCAGCAAGCTAATCATGATTTAACTTTGCCTGGATGAATAATTAGACTCTCATCCAAAGTATTCTGATCTATTCTTTCTATAAGGATAATTAATACTATCTATCTGGTAGCATGTATCCGATAGTAGGTACAGTCTCCTTAGTCTATATCAGTAGTACATACCTGAGTGTATATCGCTAAGCATACATCTTTAGCATGTATCTGGATATATGGCATGTCTATAGCATATCGTATGCATGTCTATAGCATGTCTCATATATAGTACAAGTCTGTAGTACATAAAGTATCTGTAGCTAGTATCACGGATATAAGCATGTGTCTTATAGCGTGGATCATAAAGTGCACATCTGAAGCAACAAGCTCATATTGCATTAATCTTGGTGCCTATCCAGATATGGTAAACATCCGTAGTCAATGTCGGAATACAAGTATAAGTCTATAGTGCCATCCATGTCCGTGGTGCCATCTATAGCCTATATCTTGTATAGTATTATGAATCTTATAGTACTAGCGTATCTGAAGTCCATATCTTCTTATAGTATAAATCGATATCGTACATCTAATCCAGCGTACATAAAGTTTATATCTAGATCTGGTAACTGGATGAACTGTCGGAATGCAGATTATAGTGAATGTATTCCACAAACTCAACATTCTCAGAATGATGCCTATACATACTTTTGTATTGAACCTAGCTACGCACGTGACCAGAAAGCACAGGTAAAACTAACAAACCATAACAATCAACACGCTTATCAGTGTATAACATCCTTGATGGTCTAGTGGCTAGGATTCGTCGCTCTCACCGACGCGGCCGGGGTTCAATTCCCCGTCAGGGAACATTTTTGTCTCTTTCTGTGACAAAGGGTGCCCGTAGGGGTTTGAGCAATTCTTGGGTCACCTTTTTTTTTTTGTACTCTGGCTTGGCAATGGAATGACGAATACTTGGTATGTCTTTATAGACAAAGAATAGAATCCATTTACAATACAAGAAAGACTGATGCATGCAATATAAGGCATAGCAGTTTACTCAACTCCATGCAAAACTAACATGAATTTAATGAATAAATGTAAAATTATTTTGTTATTGAGCAATTCCCACTCCTTCAACCCCACCTTTTTTTTCGGCTTGATCATCTTTTTCTTTTTGCATATAAGCTAATTACATATTTCTCACACACGTTTAGTGCCAATTTTGTATCTTTCTTCTCTTCAATTATTATTGTCATGTCTCATTTTCGTTGTCCAAGTTCATCCCTCGTTGAAGAAGCTGGATTGTATGCATATCAACCTATTTCTGGTCTAGACGAGAGTCAGTTATTTGCGGAAGATGACGAATATCCTAGCGCTCATACAAGTCGAAGCACAAGCAGTACCAATATAACCACCATCTATAATCATGGCAGCACCAATAACGCATCTGCAACTACGTCGAGTCATGCCAGCAATCATAATGGCTACAATAGTAAACGGTGCTGGATTTGCTTTGGAGAGGAGACGGATTCTGAAGGGAGATGGGTCAATCCTTGTCAATGCTCTCTAGTGTCTCACGAACAGTGCTTACTAGATTGGATTGCAGAAAACCAAAAGAATACGCCATTGAAGAAAGTTTCATGCCCACAGTGTAACTCGGCTTACGTTTTGTCTGAAACCCATAGTATACCGCTTGTTCTGATGAGCATTGCAGACAGCCTTGTTCACACGGCAGCACCATATATCACTGTACTGGGATTAGGATGTTCCATGTTGATTACGTCTACAACATTTGGTGCATATACAGTATTGACATTGTTTGGCACAAAAGAAGGGGAGAAGCTAATAGGAAATCCAGCTTATTGGACTTGGCGAACCTGGCTTGGATTACCATCTATTCCCGTTGCATTGCTTGCCTCTCGTACAAAATGGGCCGATAATGTATTGCCAGCTGCCACGTTGCTCTTGTTGCGTATTACTGGCATCTCTTATCCATTGAAAATCACATGGCCTCCATCACCCGCTGTTATGTTTGGATTGTTGCCTTGGGTCAGACTACTTTACAATAACATGTACTCGCTCTTGCAGAGAAAAGTGTCTCGATCATTGATCCGTACCAGCAGCAGTAACAATACCAACGCAAATGACGGCCACCGACCATCTCTAGCTAGAAGACGAACTACCGCGGATGATATTGACATTGAGGATAATGCAGACATAGGCGCAAATCAGGATACAGAGGTGTTATTCGGTAGAGAAGGTCGAGATATGAGCGTTACAGTGATAGGAGCTTTATTGTGGCCTACTATCAGCAGCATTGTAGGAAGGTTAGCAATTACAGAGATGTTGGTCGCTTGGAAAAAAAAAGGATATTCAACCATTCTATCTAAAAATAGTTATCTAAACCACTCGAAATTCGTACGACGCTATTTCCCAGAACCATTTCAAAGAAATGTACTCGGTGGTTGTTTATTTGTAGTTGCCAAGGTTTGTTGAATGGGACCTGTTAAATGAATGAGATGAACCAACATTCTATAATAGGATATTGCAAATCTCTTTTATAAATATGAGCGCATTCGACGTCGTCGATCTCGTCGAGTTGTAAATTACAATGAAATGAAACGTCGTTCCAAATAAAATGAAACACTGCGCTATTAGCTAATCAATCCTTCTACCCTGAGAAGTGAACAGAGAAAAGAGAAACGTGCAAAAAAAAAAACCAACAGTTCGTGACTATGGGCGGTTGCAGGGTCCAGCAACTCATTTTTTTTCCCTTTCACGAAATACACACAACGTTATAGGAAGCATTTTTTCTCTTTTCGTTTCCCCTTACTCCTTTTTCTCTATCCTCAACGTGTTATTCTCACTTTTTCAGCAGTGTTTACTTGTATTCAAAGCATCTGTTACATACACTTCTGACAGCAATCAACATCTTCACCTAAAATCTAAAATATAATTTCAATATGCGTCTTATTGTGCGACAGGACTATGAGGAGGTTTCTGCTTACTCTGGTAAGGAAAATAGAGCATGATACAAGTTCGATATATTAAATACGACAGACGTACAGCTTATTACGTAAAAGAGCGTATAAATCAGTTCAAGCCGACAGCAGAGAGACCATTTGTATTGGGATTACCGACAGGATCTTCGCCTATTGGAGTGTATCATAAATTAGTTGATTTTCACAAATCAGGTGAATTAAGCTTTGAACACGTAGTTACATTCAACATGGACGAATACGTTGGCCTGCCAAGGTATGCAATTGATATGGCAATGGAAATCGTTCTTAATCTCATGTATGTGCGTTCCTGAAACTAGAGATCATCCTCAGTCATATCATACATTCATGTGGAATCATTTATTCAAACATGTGGATATAAAGCAAGAAAATGTGCATATTTTGGACGGTAATTCAGAGGATCTAGATAACGAATGTTCAAAGTTTGAGGCAGACATTGTGAAATTGGGAGGCATTGAGTTGTTTTTAGGCGGTAAGTTTGTACACTTGCATGAATGGACTCAGTGATTCAGAAGTGGGTATTGATTCTGCAACTAGGTATTGGCCCCGACGGACATATTGCATTCAACGAACCTGGATCATCATTGACGTCAAGAACAAGAGTAAAGACGTTAGCGTATGAGACAATTATTGCGAACGCTAGATTTTTCGATGGAGATGTGTCCAAAGTACCCAAACTAGCGCTGACCGTGGGCGTAGCGTAAGTGGATTGAAAGGAGGGGGGTTTTTCACTGTATTAATCAAACTTGCACACAATGCAGCACTGTAATGGATGCGAGAGAAGTATGCGTTGTGATTACAGGTGCTCACAAGAGTTTAGCACTATCAAAATGTCTAGAAGAGGGTGTAAATCATATGTGGACCGTTTCGGCGATACAAATGCATCCAAAAGGATTGATTATTTGTGATGAAGATGCAACATTGGAACTCCATGTCAAAGTAAGGTTCATTTACAATAGAAACCATTGGGTATTGATTCCATTTTTTGATTCAATTAGACTGTACGCTACTTCAAATCCATCGAACATGTACACCAATCAATCATTGGGCCTCATAATCTTGGATTGCAAGGAAACTTATTACGAAACATGGTAGATGCGAATCAGGCAGCCAAGCGTCGAAGAAGACTGATGCTACAGAGCTTATTGAACGATGATCCAGAAGAAGAAAAAAACTCATTTTCATCTGATGAAGATGCGGTAAGAAAGCGACAAAAACATTAAAAATTTACCCCCCACAGAACCCCTCTAAAAAACAATAAAAAAAGGCTTTGATTTCAACCCCGTATTATCTATCTGGGACTGTTGGAGGACACATTGCGTTTTTGCACGCCCCCCCCTGGTTCTTGACAAACATATAAAAAGCTTTTAAAATTTCTTCTATTTTCAAATCTTTTCTTCAGATTACTCCCCTCTCCTTTTTCTTTATCTAAAAAGTATTCAAATAATCAAAAATGGCCAGTGCTGACGCTAAGAACAACAACAAGTTCATCATCGTAAGTTTCATCTGTGTGTGTCCTGTGCCTGTACCTTGTTTCTAATACATGTTGTGCTTAGGATTTCCTTATGGGTGGTGTTTCCGCTGCTGTCTCCAAGACTGCTGCTGCCCCTATCGAACGTATCAAGCTCTTGATCCAAAACCAAGATGAAATGATCAAGCAAGGCCGTCTCTCTTCCCCTTACAAGGGTATCAGTGATTGTTTCGCCCGTACCTTGAAGGATGAGGGTGCTATCTCTTTCTGGAGAGGTAACACTGCTAACGTTATCCGTTACTTCCCTACCCAAGCTTTGAACTTTGCTTTCAAGGATAAGTTCAAGCGTATGTTCAACAAGGATAAGAACAGAGATGGTTACTGGGCCTGGTTCGCCGGTAACTTGGCTTCCGGTGGTGCTGCTGGTGCTGCTTCCCTCTTCTTGTAAGTTGCAATCACAATAGTAGCATCCGGTTGATATTAACATTGTCTATTCAATAGCGTCTACTCTTTGGATTATGCCCGTACTCGTCTTGCTAACGATGCCAAGTCTGCCAAGAAGGGTGGTGAGCGTCAATTCAAGGGTCTTGTCGATGTCTACAAGCAAACCCTCAAGTCTGATGGTATCGCTGGTTTGTATCGTGGTTTCAACATCTCTTGTGTTGGTATCATTGTTTACCGTGGTCTCTACTTCGGTCTCTACGATTCTCTCAAGCCTTTGCTCCCTGAGACCCTCCAAAGCTCTTTCCTCGCTACCTTCGCTCTTGGTTGGGCTGTCACTACCGGTTCCGGTCTTGGTAAGTTATTTTTTTTTAATTATTTATATTTCAGGGGTGGAGTTGGATTACATTGGGTTCTAATTTATTCTACTACAATAGCTTCTTACCCTATTGATACCATTCGTCGTCGTATGATGATGACCTCTGGTTCCGCTGTCAAGTATGACTCTTCTCTCCACGCTTTCCGTGAGATCGTTGCCAAGGAAGGTACCAAGTCTCTCTTCAAGGGTGCTGGTGCTAACATTCTCCGTGCTATTGCCGGTGCTGGTGTCCTTTCTGGTTACGATTACCTCCAAGTCTGGATGTTCGGTAAGAAGTTCTAAGTTGTTTGATCTGATCAACAACTTTTTGCTTTTGTCTGCAACCATTTTCTCGATTTTTTGTAATATTATATATTTAAAAACATAATTTTTAAGAAGCATCAATTGTTTTTTCTCAAAATTAAAATCATTAAAGGCCTTTTAGAGCCTTTGTACTTGAATAAAGAAAAACTATTTAAACCAAAAAAAAATTTATATAGTATTACTGCTCCAGGGTCTTTTTTTTTTTTTTTTTTTTTTTTGTGTATTAATGGCAATCCAACGCGGGGTTACACTGGTTACCCCAGGCCATCTTATTTTTGTATAATTACGAATTGACCAAAACATACCAAATGATTGAGCTCTTGTTATCGTAACTAGTGTTTTCCCTTTTTTCTCATTTGCATCTTGATAAACATTTCAGTGCAGATCAATTCAGTTAGCAAACATTCAGCATAGATTTTTTCAGAATAATTGTATGATGGACATGTGGTGTCTTGTTTTTACTTCATATCGAAATCGCGGAAGAAGGGGTTTTTCATGTAACAAACAATACTATCATTTGAAATGGAGCAATAAATAGAGCAAATCACAACAAAACAATTAGAAAATATATGGAAAACATCGGGATGGGATGTATGGTTTGTGTATCCATTTTTCAAAGATCTATTTTTTTCTTTCCTTCCTATATGTGCAACCCCTATTAGTGTCCCCACTGCAAATTGAATTTGAAATAAACGAATGAATCTAGGATATTTCTCCTGGGTGATGACTAGAGGTTGAAGAGAAAGGATGTAGTATATAAACTCTTATGGAGCTTGATAGATCAAGTGATTGCCTTTCGTAGTGGCAAATGCTTTACTCATTGCAAGTGTGCTTGACAGGAGGCATACCTTGCCAGACAGTAGTTACGCTGCCACAGTGGCTCCTTGCTGTTTGAACCATTTTGGAATCAAGTGCGATAGCTTCCTCAAACCGCCTCTACTGTTGTGATACTGTTAAGTAGCCTAGGGTAGATAACAGAGAAACAATGATGGACATGTATAGGATTTATTGAAGCTGGTGTATACTATTCTCTAGTGAAAATAAAATATAGACACAAAACATACAATACCAATGTTCAATGTCATTACCTCTATTAGAAATATTCAATCTTACGCCTGAGAGCAAATGGTTTCTATTCAAGAAATCAAGAGATATAGACGTTATTTACTGACGGTAGGCATGACGGATGTCAAGCAGACAGACGTATGGCAGTATGACACCATGATGGTCAGAGCATCTAGATGGTTTGCGTTAATATCAAATTACTACCATACAGGATGAAAGATGGAGCTTACCTGCCTCCAAAGTTGGTACCATTGACGTTTGCTTGGAACAATATGATGTCAACTGTTTGGCCACATTTGTATTGACAATAACAATTCATATACAGAAGGCAGTGTACTTGCATTATCTGTTAATACTGGAACATATGCTAAGGACGACCAAAATTGGGTGCATTTGAGCAATAATATTTCGTGTTGGAAGATGTTTTATACTGTCAGAATAGCACAAAGCAGTTACTCTAATCTGGCGCTCATTGCCTGACATCTTTGCTCACCTTTTTGGGGACCCAAAAAACATGGCCAAAAATCGACTCCAAACCATGAGGGGTACCTCATGATTTTCATCGAAAATCAAACGATCGCATTTTTCACCTTGAAAACGAAGACTTTTACTATGATACATATTAAACCAAAATATTTCTCTAGATCCAAAGCAACCTCTGAAACCTCTTTTGTAAGGGATTCATAAGCAAAATTTCGACATTTTGGCCAAAAATCTCACCTCTCATTTTCTAAAATTGCTCAATAAGTCCAGTCAAAACATCTGGTTTACTTGGCACCATTAAAAGCGCCATAAAAAGCACTCCAAGAATGTACTAAGAAGCACGGGCTGATCATCACAATTCACATAGTCGAATTATACAAAATAAATTAAAAAAGTCGAACAAAGACAAATTTTGGCCAATCTTGAACAGAAAAGATGTTCTGCGTTTTAATTTAACTAGTCGTTGTTGGCTAACCGAAATGCCTTTTTGATGTAAGGTACCTCATGCTTCTACTAGCACCATCACGATTCACCTTGCTTGGTAACCATTTTCTTTCCACTTTTTCTCCTGTGCCACCTTAAAAACATATAAATACTTTTAACAATATACACACACACTTCCACCCCCTTATTCCATATTTGGTAATTTTTATTGTCATATCCTTTCTATGATAATGATAATGACTATTGTTGGGATACTGATTAAATGAAGATCATGAATTTGAAGGAACTATCGCCTAGCCTGAATAATTTTTTTTTCTTTTGTTGAACATTTTCGTATGTAACAACGTCAGTCAGCCTGGCTTATCACCAAATATATGTAATTGCATCTTCCTACTAATCATGATTTGCAGCATTTCAATATGATATATACAGTATCCATGTTTAAAATTGAGAGATCAGTGCTAACTTGAAATTTTGCATTTTGCTGTGCAATTCTGTGTTGTAGGAAGACAAATTACCAAGTATTTTTTTTTCTTAATTTCGCTTGGTGTAGCGCTGCCAAACAAACGCGGGGTGCTCACTTGTATATTTGCCAAAACAACAAATGTTCATACACACTTTTCAATTTCTCGTCGGCTTAAGATAGTTGATGATTGCTCCCTTTCTTAAGACCTCCTTCTGTTGTTTACCAGTAACGGACTGAGGGATTGGGCTTCCAGATTGGGGCAACTCAATAATCCCTTTCTACTTCATCCAAATCGATTATTCAATAGTACCCTTCTGTGTTAGGGTGAAGGATACTGAAGTCGAGCCTGTGTAATTGCTTCAGTATCCTTCAGACTTCTACTACCTTCCTAATTAGGCAGTTCATTTGACAGGTTGGGGGGACTGATTTGAGGTACTTCTCTGAGGTTTAACTCACATTGTAATTAGCGTTAGCTGTGTGCCGTACATCCCTGGGTTCTTTGAGACTGTTCACTTTTTCAGCCGTTCCGGCCAGACGTATCAGATAAATCTCGACCAAAAAGCGCCACCATGCGAAAATCAGGACAAACGTTGTGAGCAGACAATAAAGCCAATAATACATCGCTAGCAAGCTCATGAACATATGCTTTATTTTTGAGAGGCGATGCAATATTAGATTTGTGTATGAGTGCCGTCTTATTTATCTCAGTCAATGCGTTTTGACAGTTGAGTCGACAATCTTGCTAGTGACATTCACATCTGAATTTCATGTTCTAATTCAAATCAATTCTCGATACCTTCATGTGTATTGAGAATGCCTAATAGACAATGTAGTGTATCTATGAATGAAATTGCACCATACAAAGCCTAAATGCTTCACACATGTAACATACCATCATCAAATGCTTGATGAAAATGATTGATAGCGAGGAATAGACAAATACAATCAATTCATGTATTCAATGCACCTAGAACTAGCACCCTCGCATTATTTCATTATGATCTTGCATTCATTTCAATGATGAAGGCTTAATGACAACAATGAAGAAATCTGTCAGAGCAATACCAAGCATCCCTGAGAAATCAATGCATTCATTAGTCATAAGTGTCAAAAGATTTCCATTAGTTTTAAAGATATTAGATAATAGGAAAGTAAAATGGGGGGAAAAAAAGCCGAATGATCCTCTACTGCCCCACAATCTTGGCCCCTTATCTCTCACATTGCTCCCTGAATGACCTGATTTTCTCTTTTAGAATCCGAACGTTTGGGACCAAAAGAGTTTATATCTTTTATTGGAATTGAGAAACCAAATCAAAGGAGATCCCGAGTTTGACCAAATGCGTACTTGTACAAATAGGAGACTAATTGCATGTTCCTCTTTGTTAGATGATCTACAATTTAGTTTAAACCAAGGTCAAACATAATGATATCAAATGCTGGGCTAGGAGCGAGTATTTATGAATGTTTTCATGGGAAAAAGTATATTACAGCATGATCTTTCACAATGCTGTTTTTTTTTTTAGAATAGTGATGATAATAGAGAATGAATGCGCACAGAACTACATCTCTTACATATGTGTTCTCCTTGTAATTGTATCTGATGCATATAAAAACTGAAACGATGGAGCACGGATAAACGAGCCGTACTTACATGCATCTTTGCTTAAATGAAACCAGAACATTTTTTTAAAAAAAAGGGAGTACAAACATTTGATATAGATGGAAGGAAATTTTTGTTGAGAGAAATTTCTTAGCATTGTTGTTTGACAAATTTCAAAAGGAGCAAGACACATAGTACACACAATATGCGGATAATGAACAGATGCTTTGTAGATGCTCACAAAAGATGTGCAAGAGCGAGAAAAAGAGAGCTTTTTATATACGCACAGATTAAAGCTTAAATCGATTTCAAGATGAAACGCTAGTAACGATGATCAATAAAGACGTAGTATGCTCTTTTATGTTGTGTATATCCTGCGTAAGCATGATGATATGATCTTTGCAATGCTTATGTAAAATGTATTAGCTGATTATCAATCTGATCCATATGAGCATATGTTCTTACAATATATTTGTTTTCGGCTCATCGCGAGAGGCAAGAATAACTTGATGTACAATGCCACGCATTTTTAATTTCTGTAATGCTGTACTGAAATGTAAAATACATGACAACATGTCAAATATACTGGTGTGGCTGAATATAGTTGTAGCTACCCACCTTCTTATGCTGATACACAAAAGAGGATTCTTGGCGCTCAGTAAAGTTGTTTGGTTGAACTTGCAAAAGATTGATTTGATTCACATTTCAAGAGCGCTCTCAAATTAGGGATGTTGCTTAATCAACATTAGCTATTCAAATGGATAAGAATGTGTGCGTGTGCGTGTGCGTGTGTGTAAATATTAAGAGCCAGTAAGTTTAGTGTTCGAGTGGAAAAATAGAAAGTAGCAATAAAACGAAAACAGGGAGAGGAATAGTGCTCACAGTTGTAATGAGATGCTGTTCTGTTAATTCAGACAGCAATTTGCACTGCACGTCTCTATCGACAGCATGCAGACAGTGATTATAGTGTCCAGTGTGCAGCCTTTATCACAGAGGTACCGCTTGCCGCGAAGGCTGCTCACAAGGAGTTTGTGTAATAGAAATGATTGTTTGATCTGCAAATTACGCCCTAAATGAGTGTAATAATATTCCAGGTAACACACCCTTAAATGACCAAAATGCTATTACCCCCTTGAGCCCTAACTTGCAAGTGGAAAGGGCATTGTCCATTATCGCAAGACGATGATGATGGTGATGCTGCCTGCAAGTTTAACGTTTTATAGTTCTCCTTAATTTTTTTTTGTCTTTCTCTCTTTCTTCTTTTCCTTTACATCTCAACTTCTTTTTTTCACATATACAAAATGTTGAGGGTCTCTTCAATACTCTATTTACAACAAGTTTGGTCTCGTCCTTCGACATTGGTAATAGTGGAAGTTGCTAAACCCATTGCTCCAATCATTTCTGCTTCCGAAGAAGAGGAGAGAGAAGAGGAGGCCACCCAAGGTGAGATTAGTCTAGATACTCACTCCTCTTCCCCCGTTCTCACTGATTGACATTTATATCCTACGTAGATTCAGCTTCAACTCTTACTGAGCAAGCTGCTATAGTAATAGAACAAGAACAGGACAAGGTAATCGGCACCATACAAGAGCAGGACAGAGTAAGCGACATCATACAAGAGCAAGGCGAGGATCAAGTGCAAGGCGAGGATCAAGAGCAGCCAGAGATTGAGCAAGAACAAATATTTGTTGCAGCATCCAGAACTGTTAGTTTCAAAGAGGGGTCCATATGTAGTAGCTTGAAAATTTCTGCACCTTCTGTAGTAGTTACGAATGGATCAGAAACAGTGGCTATCATCCAACAACAGCCACCACCATCACCAACATTGCCCAGAGTATTACCTCAAAAACCAGTCGAACGTGAGTACTACGATGATGATCTTGATCTTGATGACGAGGATGAAGAAGAGATCAACACACCGCCCTCGACACCTTCGTCCAAATTCTCCCCTAAACGCATGTTGCATCGAGCCAGATCCAGCATCAATGATGAATCTGTTCGCAACTTGGGCCGCAGAACGAGTATGTTTCTCGAGAAATTTAATTATCAACCCACCTTACCTGCTACACCTAATTTGAGAAGGCAATCATCTAAGTTAACAAATAAAGGCAAGACTCTCTCAACGAAATTAAAAAGGGTCTTGTCGTTTCATCATACAAACTAAACAATAAATCACTTGAAATGTTGTGAAACCCCATGTATACTATCATCATGACGACGCCTCTCTTTTCTTCAGTAAATGTTGCTTTATTATATGTACAAAAAGTGATTTAAATGGGTGCAGTGCTATTGGAAGATGTGCTTGCGCCAGCAGCGTTCGGATTGCTGGAAGGTCGATAGAGCAGAGTATCAAAGTTTATGCTATTTGCAGTTAAATGTGCATGCGAGCAATCTCTATGCGCCAGCAATACAGTTTTCAGGTTTAAAATCTCTTCTCGAAGCGTCAATGATTGTTGCTCAAGGGCCCGGTTTTCCTTTGTTAGTATGTCAACATTGGATTGAAGTTGATTGAGCCATTCCTTTTTTCTTTGTCTACATCTGAGAGCAGCTATTATGAGTAATAGTTAGTGGCAGTCTTTACCAATGGAATCTATGGAATTACCTTGTCGGTTTCTCTCCAATGCCTTATCCCGCTTATTGGCGGTCATTTTGGTACCACCTGTAGTACCACCACCACCTCCTGCATAGTTTCGACCTGACTGGGAAGGATGGTCATCTAAATCACCATAGGGTATCGATGATGGATTGGAGGAATCGCTTGCGATGCTGCCTTGTCTATATCTTGGTGGCGAGGGCGATGGGGAATATACTTGATGAGAATGCTGAAGTGAACGTTGATAATTTGCAGGTACGTTCGAGCTGTTTGACATAAATTCGTGATTAGAGAAGCCATTCTGCTGCTGTAAAGATTGGGGTAGTTGATGAAGCTGCGGGGACTGTCTGGGGTGGGTTGAGCCTGGAGGTGTAGGTAAGAAAGAGCCATTTTCATTTGAATTGTAGTAATGCGATTGCTGTGAGTTGGAAGGCTGAGAGGGAGCACTAGCAGCGGCCATCCAAGACTCTAGTGGTGCCATCATTGGTCGTTCAGCGTATTGGATGTGAGGGTTGAGTTCCTGATCTGTCAAATCGGAGTAATTATTCTCTCCTTTGACAATCATATTTGCATTAGACATTTTAATTGTAGATAATGAGCACAACGTGGAGGAAGAAGAGCAACTTGATGAAAGAGAGCTAGAATATGTTTGCATAAATTTATTACGGTTTCCTTTTTTTTTTAAAAAAAAAAGTCAAAATTAAGAAATCAGTAGAATAAAAGAAATCAACATTTCAGGGCTATTTATATTCAAATGCTGGGATAATAACTCTGGACCCTTATTTTACCCGCAAGCAGAAAAATATTCCGCCTTGAAAAATAATGGTTCCATAATTTGTGTCAATAATGTGTGCACAAGATTAAGACATGTCTGTTTCAAATTCTGTCATTCATCCAAAAATGAATTTTGATCACACACAAAAGTTAAATTTTCTATCTCTCACATATCAACAAAAAAAAAAAAAAAAAAAAAAAAAACTGAAACAGCCTCATTAACAGCTTATTATATTTGAGTTTTCAAAAGGAAAGAAAAAATAGATTCCTTATCAACAATGAGCGACATGTCAATTGGGAAGATTTGCAATGCAGGCACATACTGCAACATAAACATCAATGTGCTGCATTATCGCTACCGCAAAGAGTGCAGCAATTCGCACATATTCTGTGGCATGCTGAATCATGTAATGGAGCAGTGAGAACTTTTCATCGGGAAGAAGCATTTGAGGCAATTTCGTTGTATTCCTGCTCTTCCTCCCCCCCCCCGAAGAAACATTAATGCTAGCCATAAATAGCATTTTTTTTTTTTTGCAAACGAGCATTTTTTGCTCAATTACCTCAGTTTCTTACATGTCAAATCCTTCTTGGCATAAAATTGAACAAACCGCTGCATTATGTTTTCGACAATGAGCAGAGGCATTACATCCTTGTTAGTGGTGTGCTTTCTACATGCAGAGAAAGTATACAGTAAAACCATCACAAGCCACACTATAATGGCTTTCAAAAACTTCTAATGTCATTTATAAAGAAACGTTGGGGCAAGATGGATCATGATGATGTGTAAATGAGAGCCATCATCGAAAGCAGGCTATTCTAGCCACATTTTTTTTTTTTTTTTTTTTTTTTGATTGTTCATCATCAAAAAGCTTATTTTTCTTCAATGTTTTACTATGGGCCATATTACAACAAGTTGCTACAGTAGCTGTAGCGGTAAACAGGGCCGCTTCTCTCAGCATTGATTCAAACAGACATTGCAGCTCCTCGGATGCAAAAGAGCCACCAAAACCAGCAATTTATTATAGTCGCCAGTCCTCTACGAAGCCTGAGGTGGATTTTGAGCGCACAAATATTTCTGTAGCAAGTCAAATTGGCTGACGTTATCAAACGTAAAATTGGGTAAGAGAACAGGAAAAAAAAAGTAGTCAGGCTAAGCTACATTCCTCTCTTCATCAGTTTGCAATTCTCTTCTTATAAAGTTTGCCTTCAAAAAGTGCATAGGGTTGATTTTGCCAGTCAGAATAAATTAAATCTTCGTAGGATACCCTCTTGTCTAGATTGGCCAAATTCTAATCAAAACCGACCTGTTTAATATATTTTGGCAGATTCGACTATATAAAGTGTGATAACCATCCCATACTCCCTTATGCTTTCTTAAAGTGCTTTTCAAGGCGCATTCAATGGTGCTAATCACAACAGGTGTTTTGAACAAAATTACCGAGCAAATGTATGAAAAAATGAAATGAGTTTTTTGTTGAAAATCTCGAGATTTCACATACCAATGCCTCACAAAAGTTGTTTCAGGCGTTGCTTTAGATCAATAGAGATATTTTGATTGAATATATGTCATAGCAAAAGTCTTCGTTTTGAAAGTCAAAAACGCGATCGGTTGATTTTCGATGAAAAGTATGAGGGGGGTACCTCATGGTTTGGAGACGATTTTTGACTATCCCAAAAAAATTGAGCAAAGGTGTCAGAAAGTTACTGCTGGATGCAAGAAACTGTTTGGTGCTATTCTGGCGGTCTAAAACGGCTTGTGGCACGAGAAATCATTGCTCAACTGCCTCCAAATGTTGCTGTATTTCACATACTTTTGAGCAGTAGGAGGTAATACAACTATGCTATTTGCCCATACATGAGCTGTTACCGTTGACATAGATGCGGAGCATTCGAGAAGAGCCAGACCCATAGCTATGGAAGTCCTTACGTGATAGTGGGCATGAGAGAAGTCTACGTCAGTTTGGATATTTGATGGAGCTCACACAGCATTGTGATAAAATGGACCAAGATAGATCAAGCAAGCCCAGCGCCGTCCAAGTCAAGTTTTCGCCCAACCACAATTCAAAACACCTGTATACATAAGAAATCATTTTATTGTATATGGACAAAGAACAAAAAATGTAGAAGTAGCAATTTTTTTAGTAAGAAAGAAATACGTTATGTTAAAGAATTAATTTATTTCTTCTTGTTGGCCTCCTCCTCGGCCTTATCACGAGCACGCTTCTCACGGGCACCGAGAGTACGAGCAGCGGAACGAGCATAACGGAGCTTCATGTAAGCATTGGTAGACTTCTCCTCAGCAGTGATAGCACGAGCTTCAGGGGCAGCAGCAGCTTGTTCAACGGGGAAAAGAGGACCACGGAGTTGGACAGCAGAGGCAACTTCGGCAGCCTATATGATTGCAATGATGCATTAGTGTCAATGTCTGAATAATATTGCATTTGGATCCAGTCGATCCATGTCAGATGTCATGTCACACACATCCTATCCCTCCTCCCTCTCATAGCCTTCTCACCCACTGCTACGAGATCCATATTATCACTCCCATACACTGATTCGTATATGTGAGGATGATTCTCCACGATGGTGTGACATTTGAACAGTGAATCGACGTCCTCTCTCTCTGCAGTGTATATACATTACCTCAGAGTCACCCTTCTTGGCCTTACCAGCCTTACGGGGGAAAACAATGAGCTTAGCCTTGTAAGCCTTCAAGCGTTGAACGTTGAGTTCAAGAGACTCGTTGGACTTGTTGCGACGACGGAAGTCGACAGCAATACCGATGGAACGGGCTTCCTTACGACGGACACCAGCTTCCTAATAACACAGAGAGAACGCAAAAAAAAAAATCAACATTCTGTTCATCCAGATTATCACATATCACAACCCACCTTGAGTTCTTCAAGAGTGAAACCACGACCAGATCTCAACTTCATGTTGTAACGAACGGTAGGACAACGGACAGCAGGACGGAGAAGACCATCAATGGGTCTAGGAGCAATACGACCGGCCTTTTGGACACGTGCGATTCTTCTAGACTTCTTGCGACCGGCTTGATCGAACCAAGTCTTGACACGGAGGTCCCATTGCTTGCGGAAATGCTGGTTAGGCAACTGGTTGTTGTGCTTCAAAACCATGATCTATTATGTGTAGGTTGGTTTATTTGTTGTTGTGATTTTATTTGAGGTGAAGGTTGGTATTTAAAGTGATTTGAAATGTGAAATGCGTGTATGTGTGTGATGGTGATTGTATATATAGAAAAAAAAATCGATTAGTATATCTTTGCTTTTTACTTTTCATCCAATGCATCCATCATAGTAAGATGCTAATGGATGGATGCACTGTTTGATCTTGCTATCAATCGAAAACTTATACATACAAATGACCAGTAAGTGAAAAGAGAACGGCTTAACGATGCATCAATCTACTCTCACTAGTAGCCAAAAAAAAAAAAATCTCGTCTGGTTCGGCGGAGACGATAAAAAAAAACATTTTCTTCCTTGTTTTTTGGGTAGGATGGCCCGGCATTTGTCCTCGAAACGAATGCAAGCCAAGATCATCAAATCAACTTGCTTTCATGAAGAATACCAATAGTATTTGACATGAGATTGTCAGTGATTGTGTTTGATCTCATACAGTTATCAGTCAGTTGATTCTGCATCTCACAATTGGATCGTTGCTGGCTTGATGCATCGACATTTGAAAACGTATTCAATGGCATTTTCTCATTGAAATCAAACAATAGGCTTTGGCCCTGTTGTCCAGCAGCTATGGAATGCCTAGATGAATGTGAAAGTAGAAGTTTCATACAGACTCTCGAATAACTTATTACTTGCTTCTTAACTGAAGCCTAGTATAAGCGATCAAATCCCATCTAGTGTATTATTTATAAACAAACCGAGTGACAGACTCTTTCATTTGTCTGATTGCCACTTTTGCGATCAAAGAGAATGCTGCTTTTCATTCTTGAATCCAGTAAACGCCATTCAAATGGTGTAAGCAGCACTACTCTACCAGCGCCGAATCTATGCGTATTCCAGTTTACCAGAACTGCAACTGTCATGTGCATGGAATGCATGCTCACATCAGTTGTGCTATTTACATAAATATATCTTTTATTGCTGGTAGTAAGACAATCAGGAGAAGCAGAAATAAAGGAGAGATGTATGACCACAACAAGCGAGCCATATACAAGATTAAACACACACGTAAAATTTATGGTTGATTTTGGATTGAAAATAATAGCATCATTAGTTTAAATCGTCTTTTGTGCCACCAAAACTAAATCAAATATGTGCAAATGGTGTTGATAAGACTCGCAGCTCATACGCTTTCAATTCATTTGAATGCGTCCACGTAAGTGTGCATTCAATCTGATACAATATGCGTATGTTTTTCTTTCTTCTTTTCATTCAGGAGAGACAGATATAGATCAATTGACTCTGGGATTCGCAAGTGCCCCTGAATTAAAATGCGGCTTCTCATGTATAATTGATAGATTTCGAGATCCGGTTTCTATTAGAACAGCAGCATTGTGTGCGCTATCTTTTTTCTTCTTTTTCTCCTTTCTCTCTCTCTCTCTCTCTCTTACTTACTTTCCTTCTGTATCGCATCCGCATTACTCTATCAACATGTCATTCATGTTCTCAACGCAATTAAACACAACATCTAGACAAGAAAAAGTATGTGATTGGGCAGGGACCAAGAAGAAGACAGGTAAGCTGATAGCGAAAGAGAGAGAGAGAGAGAGAGAGAAATGGACTTGTGTGTGTATTAAGACATTTGAATTCAAAGATACCACCTCTAGTAGCACAGATACTGCCACAACAGCACTATCACCCGATGCCTGGAAAGATGTATCATCCAATATTAAAAAGATGGATTCAAATTACGATGCAACATTTCATGCATGGCTGAAATCAGAAGACAACGTTCTAGTCACATCGCTTTATTTGCATCGTATTGCAAATGACTATCCATTGGAAAGGATCATCAATGCCTTGGAATGGCTATCGGCTGATTGGCGATGGGAGAGCACAAGCATATTGGTGAGGCATGTCACAGCAGATTGGGTAGATGAAGAAGGTACAGCGACTTTATAGCGAGAGATCCATAAATAGATAGGCTGATGTGTAGAATGAACATTAGGCGATAGAAAGAGAGCTAAGCTCCTGAGAAAATTAACACGACAATGGGCAACACACTTTACAGCGACGATGATTACCACCATCCTGATTTCTGCGCCATACACCACATGCAATAAGAAGCGAGAGAGTTTTATACAGGAATTCACCAGAGATTGGGACTTTTCCAAGTTGTCCGAGTTCTTTATGTTCTTGAGAAGTAGAGCCAACATTGATTACAAATTCAAATGCGCCATGTTACAAGAGGCAGCTAGAAAAGAAGCAGAGGAACAGCCACATCAAACAACAAGTACCATCAAATCAGCAAGACAACATCAACGCAGAGTATCATTTTCTGATGAAATGAAGAAGCCATATTTAGAGAACACAATGGCCGGCAATAGCAGCGGCGCCAACGATGGTGCCTCTTCGTCCGCACCAGCATCCTCTTCAACGGCATCAGCATCATCCTCTTCATCCACTACAACTGCTAATCTACAATCAAGATACAACAATGATAGCGACCAATTGGCAAATCTATTAGTTAGAAAGTAGCTGATATGAATCAAGAGATGTTTCAGAATGAATTAAAAAGATAAAATCTCGCCATGTTTTAGTTTTTTTTTTTTTTTTTTTTTTTTTACATCTCTTTGTATCCCATCTCTACACTATGCTATCCACCGTGTTTAGAAACGCAATCAAAGGCTCAACAAACAAGTGTAATAAGCAGCCATAGTACATGTTTAAAAAGCGCCACTAAAGCATATCAATTTATACATGTAGTGAGACAATTCACTACCAGTAGCTATGAATCTACATTGAAGAATTTACTCGTGACAAAGCAAACCAAAGTCATCTGTCAAGGCTTTACGGGCAAACAGGCAAGTAAAAAAAAAAAAAAAAAAAAAAAAAAAAGCCTTGAATTACACTGAACGCTGATTTAATATGCAGGGAACATTTCATTCTGAAGAAGCCATTGCATTTGGCACCAACATGGTAGGCGGTGTATCACCCAAGAAAGCTGGTACAACACATTTAGGGTTACCAGTCTTTGGTACAGTGCAAGAGGTAATACAGCGAAACTACCTCAAACACTTGGATGCTCATTATTTGTTTTAGGCTGTCAATGAAACAAAGCCAGACGCTTCTGTGATCTATGTACCACCGCCTTTTGCCGCTGACGCCATTATGGAAGCCATTGAGGCTGAAATTGGACTCATTGTGGCCATCACAGAAGGCATTCCGATTCATGACATGATGCGAGTAAAACAAGCTTTATTGACGCAAACAAAAAGTCGTCTCGTAGGGCCCAATTGCCCGGGATTGATCCGTGCGGGTGAGTGCAAGATTGGCATCATGCCAGCGAGTATTATCAAGCGAGGCAAAATTGGTGTTGTGTCCAGATCAGGCACATTGACCTACGAGGCTGTACAGCAAACAACCGATGTTGGGTTAGGCCAGACATTGTGCATTGGTATTGGAGGAGACCCTTTGAATGGCACGACGTTTATCGATGTGTTGAAGGTGCTGCTGAATGATGACGAGACAGAAGGTATTGTTCTGATAGGTGAAATTGGCGGTTCTGCTGAAGAGGATGCTGCTGCTTTCTTGAAAGAATACAACATGAAGCAACAGTTCAAGCCAAAGCCCGTTGTTTCGTTTATTGCTGGCATGACTGCACCACCCGGCCGCCGTATGGGTAAGTGAGACTTGCTTGATACTAGTGGCGAATGTTCTCATAGCAGATGCTTGAATAGGCCATGCAGGCGCTATTATCGCTGGCGGAAAGGGAGGAGCCATGGATAAGGTCAAGGCACTTGAAAAGGCAGGTGTTGTTGTCACTCCATCTCCAGCCAAGATTGGTGCCACCATGTATCAGGTAAGAGAGAGAGAGTGAGAGTGAGAGAGAAGGCGACATGCTATCAGACATAATGTGTATAGACTGACTCTTTTCCATTCTCTCATCAGACAATGAAAGAACAAGGACTCATCTTGTGATGATAGTACCCAAAAAGAAGCGTTGCGTTTCAAACAATAAAAACCGAGTTATTTTCTTTCTTTACATTACCTCTCTTTTTCTTTTATTTACCCTACACATTGGCCACACTTGAACTCAAGCTTTATGTATTTACCACGACAGCAACCGCACTACAAGAAAACAACCCTATGGTGATTTGCGCCAATGTGGCTTGTGGAATGGCAATAGTAATCAATTTGGTAATAGGATGGGCGGTCTGGCACTTTGGATGGACGAAAGGTACCTCCAAAAGCTATGGCTCAGCTTGAATGTCAGTGTGATGGTCAAGGTGATTCGAGACAAAGCTACTTTGTAAGCTCTTGATTTATCGTTATTGTATACGCATTTGTTAACCATGTGTATGCTAGTGCTAGCTGTGGATATGCATTTGTTGATTTTGGGTCCATATCAGCTGCTCGAAGGGCACTTGATATGTTTAACGGAGAGGTCATTCCCAACACATCATATACATTTAGATTAAATTGGGCGTTAGGGGGCGGCATCGTCGACAAAAGGTCAGTACTTTTAGTGGACAAATGGCTCTGTATGCAGTATATAAAGGTATTGATAAAGCGTCCAAAACGGCTAGAGAGGCTAAGCAGCCTGAATATTCACTTTTCCTGGGCGATCTCAGTCCTGAATGCTCTGAGCAGTTGCTATTAGTAAGTATCTTGATAGCAAAAAGGCACAAGCACGCCCACCCCAATGACCCTCCCAATTAGCGTATATTTCAAAGCAGATATCCTTCTTGTATATCTGTAAAAATCATGACAGATCCTCAAACAGGACAATCTCGTAGATATGGATTTGCCCGATTCCGTCAGCAACGGGATCAATTTCAGGCATTGGACGAAATGCAAGGCTGTATCATCGGCAATAGGCCTATTCGAGTGTCAGCAGCAACCCCTAAACTCAGCTGTACACTGCCAAGCACATCACCACCACTGCTACCGCGACAGCCAGCAAACCATGTCAACACCACCGTCTTTGTGGGTGGGTTGTCATGTCCCTTGAAAGAAGAGGAACTGAGACAATACTTTGAGATATTTGGTGAGATTGTCTACGTCAAGATACCACCAGGCAAGGGCTGTGGGTTTGTTCAATTTGTATCGAGGCAGTCTGCTGAAGTAGCCATGGAAGAAATGAACGGTTATCAAATTGGATCTTCACGCATCCGATTATCGTGGGGAAGATCACACCAACATAATATCCAGCAGCAGAGGCCATCTCTTTTGGAGTACAATCAAGCAAGATCTCTAGACGATATGCTACTGTCCTCTCTTTACAATAAGAGGCGCCTACCACAAACGCACCAACAACAAGCATTGAGCCCTTTTGATGACGATGGTGTATTTGATACCAGCTTCACCCGCATGACGGACCTTCAGCAGGCAAATACCAACAAGACCATCAATACAAGCGTGCTTTGGGCAATAGACCTAAAGCCCATCTTTGCACAAGCAATCTGATTTCAATTTTTTCTTCTTCTATTAAATACGAGCGTGTTTATGCTTCGGTTGGCTCTCTGCCTTTGCTTCGCCTTGGTGAGAACCAATCTGTGCAGCGGGGCAGCCCGCGCTACCAATTGCCCTTGCGTATCTTAGCAGAATAATGCAGCTTTCATTTTGACCTTTCACTTATACATGAAAACCCTTTGTATTATCTGTGCATCTGACTCTTATGTCAGGCTCTACATCCATATACACGTAGCTACTTCATATAAGAGCAAGCAGCATACTGGTATTTCCCCTTTCCAGTCCTTAGTGTCCCTGATACAGCAAAAAATGAGTGCATTTGAGCTGTGTTTTCTCGCGTTCAAGGCCGTTTTAGATGGTCAGAATAGTACCAAACAATTACTCTCATCTGGCAGTTACTTCCTGACACCTTTGCTCCATTTTTTTGGAGACCAAAAAAACATGAACAAAATTCGACCAAAAAGCATGAGGTACCCCTCATGGTTTTCATCGAAAATCAAATGATCGCGTTTTTCACCTTGGAAATGAAGACTTTTACTATAGTATGTATTGAACCAAAATGTTTCTATTGATCTAACCTAACCCATGAAATCATCTTTGTGGGACCTTGATATGTAAAATTTCGACTTTTTGGCCAGAAACTTCTTTTTATATTTCCATAAATTACTCAATAAGCTTATTCAAAACATCCATCTTACTTGGCACCATTGGGTGCACCTTGAAAAGCGCTCCAAGAAAGCTTAAAGGCGCATAGGATGATCATCATATTTTATATAGTCGAATCTGCCAAAATAGTCCAATCGAGTCGAAAATCATCAAGATTTGGCCAGTCTGGAACAGACTATGAGGCTGGGCTTTAATTAATTTTGGCTTGTGTGGCCGGCTGGCAAACTCAATGCCCTTTTTCCTTTGAAGTCTTAGTATTTAGTAACGCCAGCCCACCAAAGTACTTTTGTGGGATCAACTTGTTTCCTTTCTGAGGCTTTGAACGTGTAATTTTATTATCTCAGGGTGATATTATTGGTATCTACTTTTTTTTTTTTCTTTCTACATGAGCACTTTACTAAACATGCCATCGCCAATAATGCCATTTAATCCTTCTTCCAAACACTCGTATTTGACAAAATCTCTTACTTGCTCTGTCGTCATACCAGCCACACGCACCAACACGCCTCTTCCTTTCAATAGGGGACTCACAGACCACAACACTTTTCTATCTTCTTCAGATTTCAATGTTAATGGCAGTAATCGCATTTCTTCAGATTTGCGTTGAATCCGATCTACGCTCTTGATCAAAGGACTGCCTGGTTTGGCAATCATCACCAAAGTGGCAAAACAGAGGTACGGCTTAAGACGTGCGGCATAAGCTGTTTCATCCTCTACTCGAGGATCCAGTCGTTTCATATAGTCCTCGTCCTCCAGCACCATGGCGTCCTTGATGACCCACTTTTCTGCAATTTTGATATCGATTCGACTGGAATAATGACGAAAGGACCAGCTTTCACCACGCGTAATGCGGCCGCTTGTAAACCAATCCAACAAGACCAACTGGGATGTATCGTCTTCTAATTTGAATAATTGTCTGGATTGAAACGATGAATCGCGGAAACAAGTGACGGGATCAGGGACCACCAGCAGCGTTGCTTGTGATGCTACGACAGAGTTGATGATTTGGATCGAAGGCGCCACTTTTTTAGGTGGTTGTGGTGTCTTGAATAAGCCTGTGATGGTGTCTAATGAGGGTAGCAAGTTGGAGAACGAGATGGTGGGTGCACTGGATTGCTGTTGTTGCAAAGACGCCAACCAAAGTCTCTGGTGCACTCGATCCTTGAAGATTTTGGTGTTGCCTTGTGTCATTAACAGCAGGATAGCGTCTGTATTAACGGTCATGTCGATGGAAAAAGTGTCGCCACTGATGACTCCACCACCGTAACTCAACATGTACACGACGGCGAGACGATCTGCATGGCCCGTGGTAGGAATGAATTTGAGTGGATATTGAGCATGAATACGCTCAAATTTCGAACATTGGTTGTAACATGAACATATCAAAATGCCTTTGCCCGGTTCGTTTTCTGCTGTAGTCTCGAAGCGCTTCATTTTGTATATTAAGAAGAGAAAGAGACGAGATTCATGTTCTATTGGTGCGCCTTACAATAAGGGGGCGGTTACAAGTGGTTGCTATTGGTCAACTGTTATCTTCAGTGTCACTGTTCAGCTTGATAAAAGATGGGAAAGCAACTATGGTGGATTCGAAATAACGATATCACTGTGATTTGAACCTCGAAGAAGGCGAGTTTCTTTCGTTCTATATAAGTACAATATGGAAACAGTTGCAACATCTGATAGATCCAACTTTGTAGATGTATGTATTTCAGACCTAGCTAGCTATCCGTGAATCTGGGAATGGGTATCTTACAAAAGCGGATCATATAGACATATTTGTGACATTTTAAAGGTTACTCAAAGTGTCTCTACTCGGACCGGATAGCTCAGTTGAACATGTAGATGGCCATCTCAGGCTCAATCTTAGCGTTTAAATGAGACAAGGTGTATTGCCAGAAACCATAATGAATTTTGAATGCAGTAGTTCTGAAATTTCTACTAATCATTTGAATCAAAATACTACTATTACTTCAAGACCTTTGATACGCTGATTAGCTCATTATCCTGACACGTACTGAACGAATCTACTCTGACAAACATATCTAGCAACTGTTATAAATTCAAAAGGGAATTATGTTGTTGAGAATAAAAACAGTGAGATCAATGCTAGCATTTTATTTGAGATGTTTGGATCTAGTTATCAGGAATCCATCCACAGAAGCATTTTCCTTTGTGGCAGACGCCAAGAATAAGTGGAACACCCACACTTTTACTCCAGCAGTGTTCATTACAAGCGTTTTGATTGCGACAAGAGAAATCGCAGCCTCTTTTTGCGAGTCGTTGAGGAGGAATCACCTCACTGCTTACTTTGAAAGCATTGGCCAGAACAGACAAACACGAAACGATGCAGACGAAAAGAATAGTGTTCTTGAGTGTGGATGGCATTGTCTTGCTTGGTATAGTGTTGATTTCAAAAAGTACAAAAGATAGAAAGACCAGATAATGAAATCTCGGGTTATATAGTGTTGCTTGGAATACAGCATAAGGAGAAGAAGGGGCATTATGATGCTATGTATGCTCATACACAGTAGTACTCCTTTTAGACAACCATGTTAACAACAAGATGGGTTAGGAGAGATTGATGTAGAATAAATAGTGGTTTATTATAAATTAAAAGAGCAGAAAGATTGTTTTAGTATTTACATATATATATATATATATATATTTGGATTTAGTATAAATGGTTTTTGTATAGATGGTAACATAAGAGTAGTAATAATAGTAGTAAAAATAGCCTTTGTATGGTATTAGATGAAAGGGAGTATATATGAATAGAAGGAGGAGGCGAGGGGGAGGGGAGACAATTTAATCTTCACTGTAGCATGGAGGTGGCCCCCATTCAGGCAAATGAGAAGATGGGCAGCCATCGCTAATGGCAGTAGAGGTATTTGCTTGATTACTGCTGCTGTTGCTCTTGTTTTTGCTGCTGGAGATAGTCTTGGTGGTATTTGAGTGCATATTTGTAGCTAGCAGAGGCTTCTTGGCAGCAATAGCTTTCCTGGCCTTGAGCCTCTTGTATTCACATGGACAAGGCATACAAGATCCCCAACCAGAGACAAAGGTAATGGGTTCACGTTGCTCCCAAAATGTACTTTGTGACCAATTGTTTTCATTGTAGAGATGACTATCGCCAGGTTGATAAGATGGAGGAGGAGGCAGTACTGTCTGGGACTCATCGTCAGCGACCAGTCGACAATCCAGAATACGAGCAGGTGAATCCAGGAGCAAATCAAAGGTTTTACCGTTACATTCAATGGTGACAACTAATTGCATCCAGTGACTCATCTTGATAGATTCGTAATCCATACTTGGATGCAAGAGGTTGGAACAGTCTGGAACAGGCACGACAAATCTACCGCCAAAGTACTCGCCTACTTTCACAGGTTGGTTAAGCTCCTTGAGATTCAGCATATCTCGGTCAGCAATCGATGAAGAGGATTCATGTTCTTGCGTTTGCATCAAGCTGCTATCTCCAAAGCATTTCTTGGTGCGGTCAAATGTGCTGTTGAGGAATTGCTTGCCTTCAGGACAACCAGGTTGTGGAGGATCAAAGTAAGCGAGGTATTGACTATTCTCGACACGTTGACGAAGATAGCGTTCGCCTTTCTTTGCTGTAGAGGTGGAAGACTTGATTTGCTTGTGAACTCGACTTTCATCTTCTTCGTCTTCTACTTTATAACCATAGGCCCATTTCAATACCATCGTAGTACACTCATTTGTTTTTTTGGTTTCAGGCGCACTTGTATCCCAAGTATGACCAGCAGGCACCTTCATGGCATATCGACGAGATTCGTTCAGTTTTAAGACGACAGATTTGATGACAGCGTCTTCGCAAACAGGTTCAATCATGAGTTCAACGCCAATACTTGTGCCAAGAGCAATGGCAGTACGATCAACGCTAATCTTGTAACGAATGCCTTGTACGCCGTTTAATGTGTGGATAGGTTGATTCAAATTACCCGAGGATCTGCCAGCAAAGGAAAATGCCAGCTGATCATGTTGTTCATCATATGTTCCTTGATAGGCATCCAAGCCACGTCGATTCCAGGGCAATACGTTTTGCTGAGCTGTGGGTGTCGTAGTTTCTGGTTCTGGTTCTATTTGTTCTTGTTCCTCTTGGCTTAATTGAGCAGTGGTCGCTGTTGCAGATGTGGTATTTGTGTTGGGTGTTGGTAGGCCATTCGAGACGATTGATTCCATAGCGCGAACGATGCGCAAAGGTGAGCAGGCAGTGTACTTTTTTTTGAATGTGGTATTGCGACGAGCCCAATCGATCCAGTTGATAGGATTGACGGCACTCTCATTGTGTTGGTGGAAGTCAGCTTGAGATGAACGACGAAGAATAGCGCTCATTTGATAAAAGATTTCGAGGCGATCCTTGATATAAACTGATGTTGGCAATGAAGCAGGAATTGGAAATTCAAATGGAAATCGTTGAATGCCAGCAGGCATGATTCCTTTTGTATTTGGTGGTAGCAATGACAATTCAATAACTTGTAACTTGGTTTCAATGGGTGAGCCAGTGGGAGCACCGCGCATAATTACTATGGAACAATGATTAGATCATCTTATCAGATCATGTCATTAAAGCAAGCTTACATGGCCAAGGATGAAATCGTTGAATACCCTCAAACAAGAGTTCAATAGGTCCCTGTATTTGCGTATCTTTTGGGAAATTGACAATCACTTCACCACGAACCATGACTGATCCAAGTGATTCTTCGACAAAGAGACGAGGCTCATCCAAGACGACTTTGAGGACTTCCTTCTTCGCAGATGGAATGATATGATGAGGGGAGAGATGCATAAGATTAGAGTAGATGTGTAATTGTAAAAGTGAAATTGAAAAGGAATATGAGGAAAGATGATGAAAAGCAAAGATCTGCATGGCCTTTATATATTGATCACATCTTTCAGCGAAACCGTCCCATACTGATGATTAATCTTATCATACGTATCATACGTATTAAGCTGTATATACAATGTGTCAGATCATACATTTCAAGTGCAGGTATGGCGACTTGTTATCAAAGTGACGGGCAGAGATGGCTCAGTGTTACCTTGTTACCATGGCAACATTCCATTTATTGGGCAAATCGGCAATGTGTCAGCTGAATTATACAGCGAAACCCAAATACTATATTCGTGCGACCACGCTTGGAGTCATAGTGAAAACGGCCATTTTATGTATGCTCAGTGACTCACCGTGGAAGGCCTCCATGTAGTACTTGGGAAGAATTGCTTATTGTTCATGTTTCCATGGAGCTTTTTGCAATCAAACCCAGTAATAGAGTAAAAGTAGTGTTTGATCCGAGGGAGTTGCATAAAAAAAAATGTGGAGTAGAGATTATGGACATGAAGTCTAGAGATCGCCAACGCTACCATCAAGATCAACATATTATTAATCAACAGAAAAACCATCATTTTCATTGTTTCCTATATGAACATTTTACCTGTGCAACATCTAGGTATGCATCAACTGACGTGTTTACATCATTTGGGTTGAAACAACTCACAAGTCTAGATGTTATTTATCTGTCAGTGAAAGTTTAAGCTTAATTTAGACACAGAGCTGCTGCGGATTTCTCCACAGAAAATGTAATAATAGATCCTCGCATTTCTTGATCTAAAACCAATATTACTTGCATATCCTGTACGCAACAGCAGCAAAATGACAACCAAAAAAAATCGTATATTTACCTGATTTCTTTTCCTCTTTCTTGCTTGCTTTCACAATCCCTTTGTTGGATTAAAAAGGCACCTTTTCAGGATGATGCTTACAAATTTGATTGTATTCCAGTCACATTAACCTAATACCACGTTGAAAAAGAGAGTAATGCGCGTACTAAAAGATGGGGTATGGTCGGGCCTCTCACCCATTCGTCATTTCCTGTTTGATCCTCGGTAATTCCGAGTTTTCGGTCTCATCAATTCTGGAAGAAAGACGCTTTTAAAATGATGGGAGAGTCATCCTGTATACATCAAGTGTTCTAGCAAGTCTTCAAATAGCACTAAATCATGAAATTGCAAGTGAAATCCTTCTTGATCTAAAATCCAATAAGATGCCCGAATGTAATCAGTGAGGTTTGTCGGTTTTGTGTCGTTTGTATCCATGATTTTCTTGAGTCATATGTGAGTTTTGTACGACATATCCATAATAGAGACATCCTATAACGCCCGCCTACGTCAACAACGTTAATTATCTTATCTTGCTTTTTCTGGTGCGATGTATTCTATTCTCACTGATGAACTGCCATACTCTTTTTCTTTCCTCTGATGAATCATTCATCTTATCTATGACTAAAAATTGAGTATATTCCCAATGGTATATTTACATAAGAGTTCATTTTGGTCAGTATGATAGATAACTTTAACAAATATTCATAGATCTAATCAATAAGATGCACTTTCTTATCGCTGCATCTATTCAAATGTTCATATTTCGAGCACATCCAAGGCAATCGCTTTGATCCCTATCGTGGTACAATCAGCAACCGTTGCGGAGGTTACATATCAGTTGCTTCTATAGATCCACGTTCTCTAATTTTGCATCAATAACCCTCTTGCCCTCAACGCTCGAAATTACTGGCAGTTTCTTGATTTGTAATAAGCTCTTCTTTACTGCAGTCTTTAGGATTCCGGTATAATTTTTGCTTGATTTCTTCTAGATGAATGACATTAAAGGATAGAAGTGCTCAAATTAGTAATAAGTGATATCTTGATCAACTTGAGGGAGCGACCTTCTGAAAGTAGCACATGTTGATGTTGTCCAGCCACAGCAGTAAAACAACATTCTTCCATTTATATCAAGTACTGATTTGTAATCGTGGCTTTCATAATACTGGAGTGAGCAATATGCTAAATTTACGACAAGTCATTGTCAGATTTTACATGACCCACAAATGACCATGAGAAGGCAGAGTCATGCGTTGAAGATCTATCACCAAGTTTCGGGAGCTACCAATATAAGAAGCATGGCATATCAGTTTGACTACTACTTCTTGTGCCAGTTGTTTCAATGCTTTGTTATATAGATGCCGTCAAGAATGAAGCACAAGATCATCATCTTATACGCATGTGATAATACTCATGGTAATTCATTGATGAGGATCTTCAACATGATTATTAAGCAGTATTTGCTTATTTGATTGGCTATATGTATATATAGCCAATATCCAAAAAAGAAACTTAAATTAAAAATTGCATTGAATTCTGTTATTGCCTACGCTTTGTATTTACCATTTTTGAGTTAGAGTCCATGAATACCAAAAGCTCCCGATATTGTGTCAAAATACAATATAAAATTGAGCCTGCTAGATATCTACACCTTTACTGAAAATACGCCCAGAGGATACATTCATATATTTTTCGTTATACTAATTTTTACAGCGCAATAATGATATGTAATGTAATGCAACAATGTTAAATGTCCACCCTACCAGCGATTTGTAAATCATGATTAACATGATTTGCCTAAAGCCTACTACATTGTGAGACCTTATAAACCACCAATTAATACAAAAACCAATAATAGTCGGAATATACATATGGTTCAAATGATTTCTTAAAATTTACGTGGAAACAAAGAGACTCGAAGAAACTTTTCCAAACTGTAGCATGTAATAATGAGCATGCAATATAGAATTATTGCAGAAGATCAAAAGATAAACATGTATCACGTGACTCAAGTATACATATAACTACTTTTATTATTATATTAACTGTAAAAAATTTCTTTCAACAAGTAGCAGATATGGCGGAGTGGTTAACGCGATACGTTCAGGTCGTATTCACGAAAGTGGCGCGAGTTCGAATCTCGCTGTCTGCACTTTTTATAAAATTTTTCAAAATGTAGTGTGTATAGATATAGGTTTAGGGTAGACTTAGATAAATGTATATAAAAGAACAGAATTGAGATAAAAGATGATGTTACAAATCGACTTTGGTTTTGTAACAGAATCTCTCTTTTTGCTGTAAATTGCCTACACTATCGAATAAATTATGCTTCACTGCTTACTATATTGGATCCTACTGTGGAATTTGAGGCTTTACAGACTAAAATTCACGGAAAAAAAAAGAATAAAAAACAGTAATGTCAACTTGATAAAGGTATATTTTATTATCAAACTGACAGGTGTAAAGTAAACTGAAGTCTCTCTACTGGCCAGGTAGATGATCCTTCTTATATACTATAACAATGGATAAAAGTTCTATTAATTAGATTAACAAATAAGTCAACTCAGATCAACTAATGTCTAATCATGCTAAAAGACAACTCCAGCAAGCTAATCATGATTTAGCTCTGTCTGGATGAATAATTAGACTCTCATCCGAAGTACCCTGATCTATCCTTTCTATAAGGATAATTAATATCGATCTAGTAGCATGTATCCGATAGGTACAGTACATAGTCTTCTTAGTCTATATTAATAGTACATATCTGAGTGTATATCGCTAAGCATACATCTTTAGCATGTATCTGGATATATGGCATGTCTATAGCATATCGTATGCATGTCTATAGCATGTCTCATATGTAGTACAAGTCTGTAGTACATAAAGTATCTGTAGCTAGTATCACGTGCAGTGAAATCAGGTTTAATGGATTTCACAAAAAAAATAAAGCAAAGGTAAAATACAATAGAAATCAACTGTATTTTATTTTGTGTATAAAATGAACTGAAGATCCTGGAATTGAGTAAAAAAAAGAAGAGTATTTATACATTTGCATCTGGCTTGTAGGATTGGTGATGATAGAAAGCAATAGGTGCTGCTATTGCGATATCTGGCAAATGTTGTTGATGTTTGATTTAAAGTGGTAATCAATGCAGGAGCACTGGCCATAAGGGTCGATTTGAGTAACCTTGATGGGCTTGGGTGAGCTATCGTCATAGCATGATTTAATGTAACCTTGATGGTTTAAAGTGTGATGTTTGTTATTGAAGCATGGAATCCTTTATCTGGGATATTGTGCAACTATGGCAGCAGGGCATAGTTGTCATATTTGAATATGCTTGTTATTGATTTAATTCTATTTGGATAAAGATACCATCACCTATTACGACCATCATGGGTGTGATTGAATACACTGTGATCAGGAGTGATTCATTCACACGATGTGCGATATAAGCGTGTATCTTTACTTTAGTATTTTTAAATGGGTTTTTGATGTACATTTGAGCGCTTTCATTAATAGATCCAAATAGCATGAATTTGAATGAGTGCTATTTGATGAACTTTGGTTTTCAATTAAGTTGCGTTTGGGTGGCTATTTCATTACATCACGGATATAAGCATGTGTCTTATAGCGTGGATCATGAAGTGCATATCTGAAGCAACAAGCTCATATTGCATTAATCTTGGTGCCTATCCAGATATGGTAAACATCCGTAGTCAATGTCGGAATACAAGTATAAGTCTATAGTGCCATCCATGTCCGTGGTGCCATCTATAGCCTATATCGTATATAGTATGAATCTTATAGTACTAGCGTATCTGAAGTCCATATCTTCTTATAGTATAAATCGATATCGTACATCTAATCCAGCGTACATACAGTTTATATCTAAATCTAGTAACTGGATGAACTGTCGGAATGCAGATCATAGTGGATGTATTCCACACCTACTTCTGTTACTACAATTTGACATTAAACTCTGTTGTGCCAGAAGAAGGGCTACAACTGTCTATAAAGATTAAGGTATTCTTGATGGGTAGATATGTCTGTGTTGTGCAACAACATGAACAAGCTATGATAATTGAAGTGCATCTTAGCTATCTAAATATTGAGGTTCATCAGATGTGATA